AGGAATATTGATTCGATTTCCCAAGTCCAAGTCCAACATTCAACCGCACACGTCGCCGAAAACCCCAGTCAGCCAGCACGTGCGGCCTCATTGCCCCATGATTATTATATACTTAGCGAACAGCATCCACAAATTATTACAATAATTACTCCCGCACAATAATTAAAGAATGTAAAAGGAAGAATATAAAGCAATGTTTAAGATGGCTATTAGTCTATTATTACCAGCCCTACTTTTATTATTGTGTGCTTCAAATCCACAAGTCCTTGTTCACATCTCCAAACACATTAACAAGGCTCATGCCGAAGATGCTATTTGGCTCCTTACACGTAAAGAGTCATTTCTTCCGTACAGACTAATCACAGTCTGGCACATATATGTAAATGTAACAAAGAAAAGTTTATGCGCACATGTCAAAGAGGAATAACTCCTTACGCGTAAAGAGCCAAGTATTTTCCGGAAGGGAAGCTATCCCATATCTTTTTAATCATTGATTAACAAAAACAAACAGTGTTTTTCGTCTCTAAGATACCGATTACTCTGTATTAACTATTGGATGAGTCAGTCAAAGCAACCAAAAAAAAAGTAAGAGGTGGGGTGTGGCCGACATAAACTTGGTTGTAGGCCAAAAGAGAAAGAGAGGGAAACAAGGATGGAGACTGAAGTTTAAAGAAACAAGGGGAAAGGGTCCCCCCAAACAGCCCTACAAGTCTTTTAAAGGGGATAAAGAAAAGGTAAATGTAGATGGATGATCATTTGCAGAATTTGACTAGTATTTCTTGCATTTTAAAACGTAGCCTTTTCAGATAATGTCATGTGCTGCTGAGTGGTGAGGTGGTGGTGGCCTTCAATTTTGAAGACAAAGTTTTTGGTAGACATGCATGCAGATGCAGTACAAAGGGGTTTGGTGCCCTTTCACTTATTTTTTTAATTTGCAACGTTTTTCTTGTACATTACAAAACTTTTAAATCACTATTCGGGTTGGGTCCACTTTTCTATATGCTAGCTAGAGCTAGCTAGCTCTCATCACTGAGATTCTTCTCTTTTCTTTTGTGTATTTTTTTTCCCTTTTAATCAAAGGGCCATCCAATACTAGAGACAATCATGGTATATTAGTTTTGGCTTGATTGCAAAGTACTGGATTTCCTCCATTAATTTTGTAGAAGAGTTTCTAGAATTCAATAAAATGCATAGTGAAGAAAAACATTAATTTCTCAACGAAGTCTAGTCCAGTGGAAAAGGGTATCGACTTGCAATCTCAGGTTCGAATTCTTATAGTACCTTTGGTAGTGTGCGTGTGTTAGAAACCTACTTCTCCTAGTAGTTCTTTTATATAAAGAATTCTAAGATTGCATTCATAATTCAACCAAAAAAGCCACTAAACATAAAGAGCCAATACAAACTAGTCACAAAGGGCCATTATAATAACGGAGTGATCTAACATCAAAGTTAAGACAATCTAGGGCTCCTTCACTAACGATCAAGCAGAATTGAAGAAACTTTGGCATAGGCCCCAACTAAGAGAGAAAACTCAGAATAATTAAAAATAGATAAAGCTTGAAAAAAACCAAGCCATAACAGTACAAATAAAACTCTCACAAAAGAGAGGTGGAAAGCTCTCACAAGTGAGAGGTGAAAAACTCTCACAAAAAGAGAGGTGGAAAGCTCTCACAAGTGAGAGGTGAAAAACTCTCACAAAAAGAGAGGTGAAAACTACACAGAAAACCCAAAGTGTCTCTGTGACTTATTCCAAACATAAAGCAACTGCAAAAAGGATGGTGGTAGAGATCCAACCCTGAAACACAGCTAGAAATTCGATACCGAGACGTATCCCCAATTTTATTTGGAGGAGAGTTAAGGAACATTCAAATTCAGTTCGACAGTTTACCTAAACATCTTGCGTTTTTTGACCGTGCTGCTCTTTAAAAATATTTCTTAACTATAGCTACATTTAATATCTCATAGTTCTGGGTGTTGCTTTCTGTAATTTGACATCCAGTACCAGCCTTATATATAGGTTTCAAATAGCATATTAATAATATATAGCTCGAGTCCTAGAGGTAGCTTACTTCAAGGAGTTTAAAAAATCAACGGCATCTCCGAGAGTTACTCAAAGTATTTGATTTGAGTTCAATGTGCACGAGCGTGATAGCATGAATAAGGCACGGGGACCACATTTTCAGACCCAATAAGTTTATGGGAGTTTCACTAAAACACCCAAAATGGAGGTTGAAATTATAAAAAAACCCAACACCCAAAATACTTTATAAACACACCCAAAACCCATCATTACACACACTCAAAACCCATTTATAAACACACCCAAAAAGTTGACTTTGGGGTTGATTTTGGGTGTGTTTCTATGTTTAAATAGTGCTTGGATTTTTTTATAAATATATGTCTAGGATTGGGTTTATTTATAAATTTGTATAAGTTTATTTGTACCACGCTTGGTACCACATTTTTACATTTATTAGAAATGTAATATACAATATGATACGTTCACGTTAATTCGCTAACAATATAGCTTAACTTCTCAATTACATATATATTTCTCTCAAACAAATTACATCAATGTTTATTACGACAAATAACACATCAACCATCACACCATATTAATTAGATAACAACATGATTCTTTCTCCGATAAGTATAGAAGAAGAATTACTAGGACAATATGTTATACTGCTGTCAAGAGGCAACTATCCCTCTCTATTGATAGGTATTGCCTATAAAACTACTCACTAGCTAGCCCAACACAACACTTCAATTTGTCGAAACTCATACATCAAAAAAGAAAAAAAAATTATTTGATTGACACAACATTTGAATCATTCCCGACAACTTTCTTCCTAACTTTTGTTTTGCAGATTGCAAGACAAATATCTTAATCAATATGTTTGACCAATATTTCGGCCAATCCTAGACAATAGTTTGGGTGTCATGATCATAGACTTAGCTGAAATTGTATATCCAGAAGCTATACAACATTCAATTGTTGCATTAGGTGAAGCCGCAAGGCAAATTCGGCACACAATCGTATAATCCAAGATGACGCCATTAGGTCCAATAATGCGATAGAGTTTAGTTATTATATTCTCCAATGGCCTGAAACTAAGATCTTCATGTATCGTTCATTCAGAATTTGGGGTGGTTTTGGGAAGGAAAAGCCATGACCATTGACGAATCTTGACTAGAAATAATTCCAATTCTCGTTTTGCCCTTTATCGTTATAATTTTTTTGAAATCTTATGCACGCATCATATTATGTTCCACTTTTGATTTTATGATTTTATTAGATATGTAACATGTTATGTTGTTAAACTATCGAAATGTTATATTGATATCGATAATTACGAAACTATTACCTGACATAGTTCGAACCTCCCTCTCTGAATTAGGGCTTTGAATTAAGTCTAGTTTTTAAGCAGTAGTGATTTATATATTCTGCACCTTAAAGTAATGCATCTCATGCACACTTGAACGAGTTTATGTGTGTGTATGCATATGTATGGTCAAACCTCAACATGATGGTCAAAGATGGGGGGAGCTAGGTGGTTCAAAGATCTAATGGGCGCCGAAAGATGCAAAGGAAAGGACTGCATGCCATCATCTTATAAGAGACAAGAAAAGACAGGATTCTTTATATTTGGGAGCTGATCAACCAAAAAGCTCACCCCAAAACATGCAAGATGGGTTTTGTTCTTGTCCTCTTGCATATTATTATCATCTTGTTAAAGTCTGTTATCTTAATTTTGGCTTTCTCACTTTTTGGTCAAGCCATTCTTGCCCAACAGTCTTTACGACTCAAAAGAGTGGAACGCCTTTTTTGCATATACAAGAGAATTTTAGGCAAAAGTAAAGCTACCAAGAATCAACCTAATTGAGTATTTATTGTTACTTTTCCAGAATTATTTGTATTGATTGGAGTTGCTAAAGTATATAATAAAGTCATTTTATCCTAACCAAAACCTCCCTAAACTTTTATAAGTATTGATAATTTAGTACGAGCATGTACTCTCTGTGGGGTCAGTTTCATATATATATATATTGGAAACATTTTCCTTTTCCATTTTGTTCTTGTCAATTTTTGGACTAATAGTTCATGTAAACTTCGAATCCCAGTATTTCATCGTGAACGACATACAATCGACGACGTTTGTGTTGTTATGTTGTCAGACTAGGAATTTAAAGATTGAAGAAGTTGATTCTTGTCAAAATATTAAATATTAAATATCACAAGAGAACACTAAGAAGCATGTTCTACAGTTTACTTCACTGTTTTATTTGAGAGGAGCGGGACTCCTAAAGTTTGGCCTCACAATTATTCATTATCCCTTTTTGAGTTGAGAGGAAACTTCCCTATTTCCGTTTCATTGTCCTATTTTTTCTATCTCTCTCCTCATGTTACTTAAGAAAGAATAAAACAGAAATAAGGGAAGTATTTCTGCTTTGAGTTGCGCTCCCAGACTGGATTTATTCTCCTCCAAAATATTACGAGAAAATAGATGCATGGTTGCTACCAAAAATATTACGAGAAATTAACATAATTCATACCAAAGAAACTTTTGAAATAGATATTTCTTGGTCATTCATTTTTTTTTCACATGGAAAACTTGTGGCAGTAACAAGCAAGAACGAAGGATTACAAAAGGATTTCTTTTTCATTATACCCATATATAGAATCATGTCAGTAGAAAGAAAAAGAAAAAGCTAAAAGAACAAAAAGAAAAAAAAATTACAAAAAAGAAAAGGTAAGAAGCACCATCTCAACAAAAGAAGTAGAGTTGGTACAGTGTGAGCTGAGCTCTCCTGTGTCAAATTATGACCTATGGCTGTCAGTCCACCTCATCTCTAATTCAACTAAAGTTTTTTTGACCCCCACATGTGCATGCAAACCACAAACATTGTCTTCTTCCTTTTGTTCTTCCTTCACTTTCCATAGTTTTTTTGCAGAGGTCCTCATCTTCATCTCCTCATGTGATCTCAGCTGCTAAAATTTATTCCATGCCAAAAATTGGTGTCTGAAAGAGATTGGTCTTTGCATGGGTCTGAAATGTGTGAAGACTTGGCCCAATCCAGCTTCCATAACCAGAAGAAGTTTCAAATCCGCTGTTGCTATTTAAAGCAATGGGTGTAGCAAATGGGATTGAATTTGTACCACTTGTACTTTGGTCTTGTTGTTGTTGTTGTTGACCATGGGCATTGTAATTACCAAAGTACCCGTTGTTGGTTTCAGAGGGAGAAGTGCTAGAGGTGGCTGAGACTGAGAAGTCCATGTTGAAGGGTATTTGTGAGGAATTGTTGCCATAGGGCACATTAGTCGTACAAGATTGGAACAAGGATGATGGTGCAACTGAGACAGTGCTAGGGTTCTTGGCATTGTGGTGGTACCCAAAAATGTTGGACCAGTAGTCTGTTGATGGGTCTTGTTTGATGGGAATTGCGAAGCTTAGTGTGGAGGAACTAGGCTGCTGAGATGCGAAGGTGACAGAGGATGCAGAGGAGAGATCTCGATCGTCCGCTGAACGGTTACCTTCGATGCTCTTGCTATCGGAGTCCGACGAGTTCTTTGATTTTCCGGACATTCCTCCTATGGGAAGGTTGCTGTTAGCAATGCTCTTCACGTCGTAGCGGGTCATGTCAAAGTTGGTCACGGCATTTAGGCCTCTGAACTTGATGGCAGCAATGTCATAGGCCTCGGCAGCTTCCTCTTGGGTGCCTGTTGAAAGCAAAATTAAGGTCTTTATTAGTTAACAACACAAAGTCTTGATTGTGAAATTTTTAAAAGGAAAAAGTGAAGGGACTTACTGAAAGTGCCAAGGTAGAGGTCTTTGTTACCTGCAACCCTTCCTATTCTTGCCTGCCATCTACCATGTTGATGGTGCCTGAAATAAAAAAATTGGATTTTAATTAGACGAAAAATATATATGTATATTAATATCAACAAAAGGTGAACTACAAACCTTGTGACCCCCCTGTAAATAGAAGCTCCTCTAGAAAATCCACTACTTTTCCTGCAAAATTTAAAAAAAAACAACAAAAACCCAGCAACAAGAAAAAGTATTAATTTATATATATATTTTTTTTAAAGTAATCGACAACATGTAAATATTTATTATTTACCTTCGAAGAGAAGCGACAAATTCCTGCCTAGTCATGTTCTTCATCTCATTCAATTCCTTCTCATAGTTAGAAACCTTCGAAATTGATGACAAAATTAGATCATAGCTTTTCAAGAAAAACAAAAAACAAAAAAATCCTAAACTCAAAGATATTATTGCATGCCGGCCGCTGATCTCACCGGAAAGTTTGTGGTTGTAGTCGGACCCCAGTATTTGAGAGCTGCCAGATCGTAGGCTCTTGCTGCCTTTTCTTCTTTATCATATCCACCTATAAATATTATTACAAAACAATTTCAATAAGTATTTATTTAATTTAATTACTTTTTCATAAATAAGAATCTGAGCCATGATTTGGTGCATTCGTGCGAAGAATATTTTTCTGATACAGTGACCAAAATCTAGAGTGAATCTATCTAATCCAAGTAAAACTTGATCATGATCCATCCTTGTACTTGAAAATAATAATGATTTTAATTAATAATGGGCAAATAGTTATATAGAAAAGGCCGCCAGTAAAAACTCACCCAAATAAACTGCAGAGAAGTTGATGATGATGATGATGATGATGATGATGATTAAAGCATATCCATAGCAGCAATCATTTGCGTCATGTACATGCCACAAAAAAGCAAACCCACATCAGAATCTTCACCACTCATGAAATTAAACACAATGTGCACGATAGCAGAGCTAGCTGCTTTGTGCCTAGTGTGCGCCTTAGGCGTCACAGGCCAGAAGATCTAATCTCAATCTGAGGTCTGAGCCCTTCTCTGCTCATTTGCTCTGAATGATCGGGACCGTTGCCAGAGCTAGACCCAGTAATGGATCCAGTGGACCCATTGGATTTAAAGCAACTATCGTACACCTTAGGCGCACGTTAGAATCAAACAGGGGCGAAGAACCTTAAAACCCTAGGAAGATTGGTCCATGGTGAGAAAGATAAAAAATGAAGAAAATGGAAATTACCTTGTCTGCCTTTCCTACTTTGTCCTTCTCTTCTGCAACTGTTATCCCACAGATGCGCTTCATATCTTCCTGTCCACCTGTGCCTAAAAATTCAAACCCACCACCACCAACCCCAAAACAAAAATTATCAATAACAATAATAATAAACAAATATTCTCAAAAATAATTATAGATACATAAAAATTCATAAATATATCAACTTATCAACTTGTAGTTGTAGCTGAGGCGGTAGTTATTTCCTTTTTACCTTGTTACCCCGCGGTAAATGGAGGTGCGTTGGCCGAAGGTGTCGGCTGTTTTTTTTGGGGTGAGTTCGGATGAGGCGAGAGGGACCAGGTTTTGGGGTTTGGTTGTTTGGACACTGGTGGCGGAGGCGGTGGCGGGGGTGGAGAAACCGCGGAGGAAACTAGCGGCTATGGTTTTGAGTTCGGAGTCGTAAATCTCGTTTTCGGACAAAGCAAGAGGAGCAGTTTGTTGGTGATTGTGGTGGTGATCAGCAGCAGCAGTATTACCAGAGAAGTGAGCGAGGGAGGTCGGTGTGGCGGTGGAGCCGCCGAGAAAGTCCTCGAGCTTGGGGCCGCCAACGCCGGAGCTGAAGATTGAGAGGTCGGTTGGAGGAGGAGGAGTTGCACCGCCAGGGTTTGAGTGATCTTGTTGTTGATGAGCTGCAAGAGCAAGAACATAAAAAATAGTTGATGTTAAGTTAAAATAGATTTGGGTTCATTTAATTAGAAAAAATAGATTAGTAATTATTTAAGAGAGAGAGAAAGAGAGAGAGATTTTTGGGGACCTGAAGTGTGAGAGGGGGAGGAGGCGAAGGCCTCGAAGAGGGAGAGATCATGGGAAGGGTGACGGTGATGAGAGTGGTTGGAAAGAGAGAAGCCGAGGAGCCAGTTCTGAGGAGAAGAATCCATGTTTTTTGAGTGTTCCAATTTGTTTTGATGACGGTGATGATGGTGGAAAGAGATGTATGTGTTGGGTTGTGGGTTTTCTTTGTCTTTGGAAATAGAGCAAAATATTCAGAGACGTGTGGGTTTTTTTTCTTTCACAGAAACAGAAAGATAGAGAGTGAATGTCAAAGTTATAAGGTAAATGGGAAGGGTTCAGTTTGCGTTGAGACACAGATATTGAGGAGGTGATATTAGCAGAAGACTTAAAGACTAGAAGTAGTAGTAGAAGTCTGATGGGGTGAATGAAGAAAGGGATGAATGAATGAATGAAATAAAAGAGGGAGGAGGAGAGAGAGTGATATTTAGGGTTGCACGAGGATCGAGATTCTTTTGTTTTATGAGTAAGGGGAGATTAAATAGTAGAATAAATGGCGAGAGAGAGAGAGAGAGAGAGAGAGAGAGGGAACAAAGAAAGCAAAGTGGAAGCTTTTGATGGGATGACTGAGCGGTGTGTGTGTCTACATTTCTCTCTCTTCTCATGTCATCTTCTCTTCTCTTTTGGGTCTGTTGACCGAAGAAAGCCATTACTTTATTACATGATTTTTGAGAGAGAGAGAGAGAGAGAGAGAGAGGGAGGAGAGAGACAGAGAGACAGAGAGAGGGTATGTGATGTGTATGAATGTGGGGAAGCAAGAGGGAGAGAAAAGAAACACCGTGACCCATAATAGTAGAGGACACTCGTAAATAAAATCATTTCAGATCCTCCCTTCCATTGCCGCGTGTCATTTCTTTTTGTCCCTCCCTCCCTCTGTAAAAATATACCTCCTCTCTTCCTCATCCTCTTCATTTGCTTAACACTGAAGCCTCATGCCAGGACAACTCGCACCTCTCGGGCGCCCTTCCATTTTTAACCACATCTATAATTTTGGGGCTGCCATGTGTCAAACATCCCAGTTGCCCTTCAGTCTTGTTCTGGCCTCATCAGCCCTTTTTAAGGCTTTTGTTATGTATTTGAACATTTTGCTTCTTGGCAACCATGTTCAAAGAGAATCTTATAGGAAATATGTCATTAGGCAATTTCATTGCTATCAATGAAGGCCTTTATACACTCTTAACAATTTGATATACATGTTGAAAATGCTCTTTTGAAGGAAATTGAGGTTCCACTCCAAAATCAATTGGCAATAGAGGGAGTAACCCAACTCCTTATAAGTCCTTGCTAGGTTTCTCAACTTTCCAATATGGGACTCTTTACCTTTACATTCTCACACGTCTTCGCACGTGTGGTGAATTTTCAGACCTAGCATGTGGACAACATATATTGGGAGACGTGGAGCACGTGTGGCCGTTGGGTTTTCACATGTGGGCTAACCTGCTCTGATACCATGAAGGAAGTTGAGATTCCACCCCAAAACCAATTGGTAATTGGGGGAGTAACCCAACTCCTTATAAATCCTTGCTAGATTTCTCAACTTTCTAATGTGGGACTCTTTACCTTCAAATTCTCACACTTTTGTGTTGCCTTAATTGAAATGATCCAAACTTTTACTCACACAACATAAGAAGAGAGGCAGAGAACGTGACCAAGATGCGAGTGGGGAATGTCATTATAGCTCGGCATATTGCTTGCTACGTGACCTTATTAGCATCCAAACAATTCAGAGAGAGAGAGAGGCGGGGAGAGACGGTGGGAGTGGTGGCATTGTCTGCGAGAGGATAGATTTGGTAATGGCATCCACATGCGTGCATGTCATCTTAACGACACGTGTACACTACAAAATAATATCAATTATTTATAAACGTGATGCGTGCGTGTCATGCTGCATGCATGAAAACCAAAATGAAATCGGATTGTGAATATTAATTCATATCTTTACTATGACTCTTTATTATGACAAGCAATTATAGAGCAAGCAAGAGCAGGGTATGTGGTACCAGAAGCTGCTGCTATACATGCAGCATGATGCATTATCACTCAACTTAATTTGGTCTTCAAATTATTATTGGGATCTCCTTGGTGGTGTTTGAGGCCATACCCCTCTCTCTCTCTCTCACACACACACACAATATTATTTATATAATTGTATTCTTCCTATATAGCTACCTAGATTGTCAAATTCTAACATGGGGTTTCATTAGTCATGTTGCTAGATGTAAATTTGGATCATTGATGTAGCAGGTGATGCGTGTTTTAGATTCACAGTTTGGTAACATTACAGTTCCTTTTATAGCAATTTTTAGGGATAATTTTACTTTGATACGATTAGCATTAACGAATTTCTTATGTAATGTGACCCAATACAAAAAGGTAATTATATAAGGTTTTAAAAGGGTATATACACACAAGTTAATGCGAATAATTTCATTGTCACATATAATTGGTCTAGTATCATATATTAAAAATTGCTTTCATTCCTAGAAGATATGTATTGATGTGATGATTTCTTTTTTCTTGGATAAGAGAGTACACGATTCAAAAAGTTATAAGATCTTGTGATATTCTAATTGTAGCCTCTAGGGTATTGTATAACATGCGGAAGAAAAGTTGAAGTATGTTGCTTTTGGACCAAAGTTTATTGGATGTGTGTTACATAGCTCACATGTGGCAATTAACTACAGAAAAGTTCAATACATATTTACCACAACTTAATCGTTACTTTAATGTGATAACACAAGCATTATTTAATCACTTGAAACTTAGTCATTGGAATTAAGTTATTCTCTCACTAATTTGCATCAAGGAAACAACAATCCATGAAATCTCAAATCTTTCTTACATAATGTTCTATTATTTGTTCTCTCTCTCTCTCAAATGCCACCTTTTTTTTGGGGAGAGAAACTCTCATGCAACGAGGATAGCACTTTTTGCTATCCGCGGCCAATAATGCAATAACATATAAGATAACTTTTTCACTTTCACATATCATTATGTTATTAGTTGAGAATAACAAAATAGTGATATTCCATTATAGGTAAGTTTTTCTGCTTCCGGAGGCTGCGGCCACATGCCCCCAACTGTTAAATATATATTTTTGTCTGGCCAAGTGTTAAATATATAGCCCTAAGGCATAGTGAGTGAGGGACAAGACCAAGTTGACCAACCACCCAATCGAAGCTGCGGGACAAAGCAAAATCCACATGAATGAGAAAGTAATTGAAGAAAGAAAAGATTAGGTATATATTGCAAGGTGGGCAGACAAGGGCAGACCTCAAAACCCGGATAAGAGCTAAAACTGCTTTTACACTAAGCAACCCCCCACAAGTGTACAAAAGGGTGCAATGCAAGTGAACGAGTATTCAAGCCTCGAAACTCCTGCAACTATATTACGATATTTTTAAAGTTTTGAGCTCAATCTGAAATCAATTAGTTAAAAAATTAGATCACATTTAATTCGCTTATTAAACGAAAGTGATGGAAACATTGCATAATCTTTTGTAAAGATGAAATGACTCATCTTGGTATATTATGATGTTTTCTACATATTAAAAGAATATATGAAAAATAAAATAACAATAGTAATAATAAAAGAAGAGAAAGCAGAGATTGGCAGAGAGTTCGGCTGAATTTGCATTTGTTTTTTCTTTCTTTATAGTAAAAGCTGAAGAAAAAAAATATTGGTATGAAATTGGCTGGCTTTCATAATTGAAACCCCAAATTTTGTCCACGGTCAAACTATGTTTAAATTAAAGTAATTAATAAAGCAATGTGCATGGTGGGTTTGTGGTCAGAGAAACGAATCATTCCTCACGTTCGCTCCCCATTTCTTTATTATTACTTCATGATCACATCTCACATGACATCTTTTTCTTCTTTTTGTTTCTTATTTGCAAATTTTTTTTTATTTTTTAATCTCTAGATACTATTATTGTCATTACAAGAATTTTTTATATTGTATATACATTCTGTGTGTGTGAGGAAAATACTCTCTGATTTGAAGTTGAAACATGTCTTTATGTGAGGACAGGGTTTGTCAAAATTTTCAACTATATAATAAATAAAACTTTTAAATGCACCAAAGGAGATTAGATGATAATTAAAATGAGCATAACCCAATTGTGCCAAACTTGAGTTTGACTTAAAGCTCCTTGATTTTACTTATGTCAGAATTATATTAGATTGTGCCCGAGGTTAAATTTAGCAAGTTTGATTAAGCTTCGAATTGTTCATGTATGAACTCATATGCGGTAATAAAAAATTTAATACAAGCAATACTAGGGAGGGGAAATCGAACCTAGAACCTCAAGTGTATGGGTAAATGCTCTTAACCACTTGAGCAATTCTAATAGAAGATAGTAAACCGGTTTTAATAATTCAATAGAAAGGGAAGAATTATGTACAAGTAAAACAAACAGAAGCAGTTTGCTCAGGTGCAAATGGAAATGAGCCTATTAGTAATATCTCAGCTGTCTACATTTTGGATAAGCTAGTCTATAAGATGCGCATCTAAAAACAAAGTGCAGATAGTTGCTTGAATATGCAATCCTCTGTATTCAAAGGGTTCACAGAACAAAGTAAAAGAACCCAAGGCTAAAGACTTAAGCATTGGCAGTTGATTTGAAGTGAAAGTCATCAACTGTTGAGTAAACTTTGCCTTCCTGTACTAGATTATCAACAGCTAACCTGTTCAAAATCCAAAAGATGTAAGATTTAGATATTCTTTCGGCTGCGGAAATGCGCAGGTAAATGTGTGTGTGTGTGTGTGTGTGTGTGTGTGTGAGAGAGAGAGAGAGAGAGAGAGAGAGAGAGAGAGAGAGACATGAGATCATTCACTGGAATTTTCAGTTGTCGGGCTATATCATCAAGGTGTGCCCCCTCTTCCCTTGCACTGAACCAAGCAAAGCTAGTTACAATTAAATGGAAAACAGAAGGGAAGCAAAAGGAAAAGCTTACACCATGAATTTCACACATCTGCATACAAAAGAAACAAATTGACACTACCATACAATGATGTACAGATATGTATATGCATTCATTCAGTACATCATTGATCTGCACGCCATTTCTTAAGCACCTCCTTGATTATAAAAGGCGGACTATGGCACAAGGCCTTTAAGGCCATTGGCTTTTGGTTATTAACTACTGCAATTTTGAAGCTGTCAAAATTAAGCACGGAATGCAAATAATATTCAAATGACCAAGATCACGCCAAAAATTAAAGAAATATCCAAAACAAAGAAGACCATACTAAACATCTAGCAGATGATTTATTAGTGTGACTTGAGCCACTTGACAATCACCTTGTATCAAGTATTAACATACAGCTATTGCTTGAGTGCGAATTCCTTAATTACTATATTTATTTAACAGAAAATAGAAATGTCACTCACATAAGCACTCCCGAGTTCTAGCCAAAAACAAGTAATAGCCACAATCTTGTCAAAACTTTGAGCAACTTTTAAAACAAAGTAACACCTTGCAAATAGATGAGTTTATAATTATGATTTGGCATTACCATTTTCCAACATAAGATTGGTCCTTGAGTGAGAATACCTATATCAAATTATTCAATAATCGAACTGAATACTAGATTAGTAAACAATCTTGTCAGGGGCTCTTTTTTTACCTTCTGTGTGAGTGTTCCTAGTAATTTCCCCCATAAATAACTTCGATCTTCTTCTCATGGGCCAAAATCTATCTCAATCTCGTTCAAAGTTCAAACAAATGTGATTTTCATTTACTCAGGCCATCAACATCAATCTGACAATTTATTGTCAAAGATTTACAAATGTGATTCTGTTTTTGCAGCACTCATCAACAAAATACACCCATTACACTTGGGTAATTAATACAATGAGTGCTTTTGTATGAAAATTATAATAAATTCTGCCCCAACCAAAGGGATTTGCAAACCTCCAATCCAATGCTTCAAAGCGCATCCTAACCAGTCCAAGCCAGCCCACCAAACGGGGCCTTATAGATCACTTCAAGCCACTAAACATGCAGCATATGACTTGCAACATGCTAAAAGATTTTTGCTGTCCCAAAAACCCACATAATGTCAATTTTTAGTTTCTTAAGCCTTGATTTTAGTTTGAGGCTGCTTTAAAAGTAACACAAGACCACAATCAGCTAAATTTTGAGACGGTTTTGCCACACGGGCCACTTCACAGCAATATTTTCATAGCTAAACATGACTATTTTCAAGGTATGTACTCACAGATATGAAGGCTGGCTCAAAATTTCTAAGACCTTTATTTCAGTGCTACTCTGTCCATCGAAGCTATATTGGCCAGAAAACTGAAAGAAACAATGAATTAGACTAGTAAGGCAATAACAAAAAATGCATCAGACTGAAATCTATAGTTGAACATCAAACCTGATTTGTTGGGATTGTCATATGTGGTTGAGTAGTGACGCCAACATCAACATGTGCTTTCTATCAGAATATTTACAAAGACATCAGAAAACCAGAGCATACACTTCCATAATGTAATAACTATGCAATCCAAGTTACAATCAGATTCTCAGTAGTTAGGCCAATACCTGTAACCTGCTGTTGTAGACATGGACGTATATACACTCAATGAAGTGGCTTGCAATCTCATTATAGTCATTCACAGGCCTGAAAATCACACCAATTTCAATGTTGAAACCTCAATATGAACGATAGCATAAGTATATGTTGGTCAACGAATTGGACCCTGCTTCATGAAATCCAATGATGACTTAGTAATTTCCAAGACTTCTAATATCTAGGCCAATCATTTGGACTCTCCTTAAGAGCCATATCAAACAATTACAGGAAAACGGTAGCAAAATGATGCTACTGGTTCTAGTGGTCACACCTTGTGGATGCTTCTCTTAAGAAGCTTTTAAATCTTCACTAAGTAAGTGGTCCTTTGGGACCCAGAGTACATAACAAGATCAAGAATGCAGCATTCTCACAAATTTTAAATTACAACTCTCTGAAAATAACTCCAATACTGTGGCACGTACTAACTCTTTATGAAAAAAAAACTTCCATACAAGTTTGAAGTCACTACCTCGTGTGCCACACACAATAATGCTTGGAAAGAAAATACTTGGGATGACATATTGTATTTACACAAAATAACATATATTGAGTATCTCAGTGCAAGGTTTTTCTAGAACGTAACATGATCGATGCAGGGTAGACCGCAAATTCCAGTTAGAGCAATAATATTAGCCAGAGAGTTATCATCAACGAAACAATTCAAGATCCTAAAAGACACAAGTACAACAATACGTACTGATACAAATTTTCCTTTCAACTGTACCATATCATAAGAAACTTTGTAACCTCCCTTGAAGTTTCTTCTTCATAAAAAGATAACAAAAAGATAAAATTGATAGATTCTTTTAATTGTAAGCATAACTAGTTTTAGTTGCTTAATCAATTTTATTATTTTCTCTGCAAGATATAAGTCACGCACTACCTTCCCTGAAAAACTTATCCACTCTCTACCACATGCAGAAAAGTCGACAGGCCCAGATTTTACATCAGAAAGACCAATATACTAATTACTACTAATCCTGATAAAGACTTCAATTATTTCTTTCCAAGGGAATTTATATCAATCACTGTACTTGCTGCCTAGTTTCAAGCAATTCCTTGACTCATTCATTCTAATGATGGAATGATTATTGTTTTCCTAATAGCTAAACAAGCCATAAACAAAACTCAAGCCTATAGTCTCTCCAATAGCAAACAAGCGATCAATAGAAGTGAACTTCATAAAATAAATGGCAAACAAAATGCTAACACTAACCCAAGACAAAGAGTTCCACAAAGTACAACAAAGTTTACCGAAATACTGAATTAGAGACCTACTCATTAGTATAATCTCTTAAAGTGTGAAACAAAAGGGAATATACCTAATAGAGAAGACATTTAAGGTCTTTTTGCCCTGAAAGCTCTTCAAGCGTCCATGAACCCGGACATACATTCCATCCCTGATATTAAGGATAAATATTAGAATGCATTAATTTAAAATTTCACTTGATTCCATAGTAAAAGGGGAAGGAAAAAAAAATTGCAATATATCTTGAAAAAGAGGAACAAAATTCAATCAGAATATGAGTGAGTGAGAAAACACCCAAATAAAGCTACATGTTAATCGAAGTACAACACAGAAACAGGTGCAATTAGTTAGGCAAGAAAGAAGCATACAAGATTCTTTCCATTTCATTTGCGTCTATTGCTTCATCAAACCTAAACAAGCACCAGAAGCCGTCATTGCCAATTTGACAGAACTAAGAAACTTACTAACATATAATTATCAATCTGATGACAAGAAAAGCCTTGAGAAAACTTACCACTTGTTACAATCCAACCGTCCAGTCCCATCGTCAAGAATGAAAGCAACATCCGTAATTCTTCCAACTTTGTCACGGACCATCCCCACAAGTGTAACCTAAGAACAAATAAAAGTCAGAAACCCCACCAACAATTTAAGAAAGAAAACAATCTGAAGAAATAAACCCACATTGTTCACGTCAACACCGTCAATAACAAATTCTGATTTTTCATTTGCTGAGACAAATGCATCCTTTATCTGCTTCACACTAAGTGGCAGCAATGTCTGAACGTCACGATTCTGAAAAAGTGTCACAATTACCTTAATAACCGCACTTTAATTGGTCAATGAATAATACATGTATGTGCTGTTATTTTTAGAAGACACAAATATATGCTGTAATTAAGCATTGCCATCTCACAAAGCACAAGACAATCCATATCCCGAATACTGTTTGGTTCACAGGAATGGAAATCGTGAGAAAATGAACAGTGTTCTAAACTACCCATCAGTTCAATACCCTAGAAGTTCACAATTGCTGCATTGAAAATTTCAATTTTCCTCCGGTTTGTTCGTAACCAAACAGAGTAAGCACAAGAGAGAGAGAGAGAGAGGTACCTTGGAGGTATTGAAAGAGGGGTCGGCGGTCTGGGTGGCCTGAGGGGGCATGAAGCCACCGCCAGAGAAGGCCGCAGTGCCATCGAATTGGGTGAAGCTCATGCCTTTCTGATCTCTGAGAAACCCTAAGAGGCTAGTTTGATCAAATCAAATGACCCTGCTGAGTATTGAAAGACCGAAACTTAGAGCCAATAGGCATAAATGGAAATCTGATTCCCGCCACATTTTTCCCCTTTTATTTTCCTTTTATTATTTTCCACTTCTTTTACTAACAATGAAAGTTTAAATTTAGCTCCAATTACTCGTGGGTTAGTCCAGTTGGTCAAGTAACGTGATCATTCTCTTTTACTCAAATTCGACCTCTATCCCCATTTTCTTTTACTTTTATTCTTGTCCACTTCATTTATTTATGTTATGAAGAGTTAAATTTCTAAAGAAAACTATAAATAATTTTTTTTTTTATACGGAAAAATATTCCATTAAAAATCAAGAAATAGTAGAGAGTGAGAACCATCACGGCTATCCTATAGCGGGTACCATTTGCAACGCCTTTCACGCAAGGGCATTTCTATGTTAAGAGCACTGTTGCCCAATTTTTGAATATATATATATATATATATATTGACTAGGCAACTTCTCCCTTGTCTAGTCTGCATCAACTTCTCTCCACTTGTCTTGTCTACATCAACTTCTCTTTTACTTCTCTTGACATATAGACATCAACTTCTCCTCTTGCTAGCAATTATTCTTCTCATTTTTTCTTTTTTAATTATCTTATTCATCTTTAATTTGAAATTGAGTATTCTAAAGTTTAATTAGGAATGAATTAAAATTTGGAGATTTTGTTGTTATTAATTAGGGCTTTGATTTAAGGAATTTTGTTGAGATGTTTGATTTGTTGTTGCATTTTGAGTTTTTTTTTTTTTTTTTTTTTTTTTTTTTTTTTTTTTTTTTTTTTAGTATATTAAATTACAAATTTATAAATAAATCCAATCCTAAACATGTATTTATAACAAAAACCCAAGCACTATTTAAACATAGAATCAACCCCAAAATCAACAATTGTATATTTTTTGGGTGTATTTATAAATGGGTTTTGAGTGTGTGTAATGATGGGTTTTTGGTGTGTTTATAAAGTGTTTTGGGTGTTGGGTTTTTTTATAATTTCATCCCCTATTTTGGGTGTTTTAGTGAAACTCCCATAATTAAATGCATAGATTCTATTATGAGAATTGATTTATTTTTGTTGAGATGTTTGATATCTCTTCTTGGCAAAATCTTCTCGAATCTCCCATTATTAAGCCTCAAGTTGAAACAATTGAGAATCAAAGAGTCGATGATGATCAAGATTTTAATATCAATTATTTTAAGCGTGATCCATGATTGTCTAGTTTTAGTTTTTGTATTTGTTAAATTTTAATTTATTGATAGAAATGCATTTGAGGGTAAGGCTCATTATGTCTCTCTGACTATGTGTATCTTTATATATTTATTAACAAAATCCACTCGTATCGTCGAGTTTAATACGTAAGTTTTGCCCAATAGGCTTTCGAATCTTGGAACTGCCACTTCACGATTTAGCATCATAGTTTTTTGCACATATAAGACTTCTCTCCGTAGGCATTGGTTCAAAACCAAAAAACACTCCATTCCTCGCATTCCATAATGGCCACAAACCAACACGAGGCACACACAACTGCAACTTGCCGACGACCTCTAAACCAGAAAATAGAGTATCTGTTGAGAGTGTTTATCCCACATTGAAAATTAAGTGACTTAGCCTGGGTTTATAAAGACTTGAGCTAATACCCCCATTGCCAATTGATTTTGGGGTGGAACCTCAACTTCTATCATGGTATCAAAGTAAGGCTTCACATGTTGGGCCCAACGTCTACACGTGCTCCCACATTACCTAATATATGTTGTTTACGTATTAGGCTTGAAAGTTTCTCACATGTGCGGGGGCATGTTGAGAGGTAAAGGGACGTCGCCGACCCATTGAAAATCCCTTAGTGTAGGGGTTTTTTTTTTCTTTTTGCGCTCCTTTCGAGACGACCTCAAAAACCTCCAATTTGCTAGATGAATGAGTGGTTGAGAAGTAGGACATTCCTCGAAAAAGGGATGTAACAATTATGAACAGAATAAAACATTGAAGAATAAGAAAGCATTTTTTATTTTATTAAAGGTTGTGACTGTTCCCCGACCCTGCTTTGATGTGAACTGAAAAAATTTATTGTTTTTCTTTGCTCTTTTTGAAATAGAAAGAAAATTACAATGAAGGTAATTAACTCGCTCAAACAAATGGAATTATGTCAAGTAGATGGCACCACAGTGCTTCTAGTTCAGAAATGAATTAGGTTCAACCATAAAACTCAGAGCAACTTCCTCTCATCTCATATAATTGGAAATATTAAAGTTATCCTGAATTGAGAAACATGTAGTGAAAGAAAACCTACAGTATCCTTCATTACACTGGCTACTTATATACCTAACTTTCACATTCCGATTGATAAAAGGTAGAAAGACTGATGAGAAGTATACTGTATATGAGAAGTATTTTCATGTGAATTAATCCACCTTTGTTGCAATTGTTGTCATATATATAGAAGAAGTAAATAAATTAAAATAAGACTCTAACATGTATGATGCTCATTTCTAGCGACATTGTGTAATTAACCAAGCAATTATGAGGAAATGAAGAACAACCCTGATTGAAACATGGGTCAAATTTTACTGCAAAATCATCCCTCACATTGATAGGTTAGAAATGAAGTTTTTCCCAATAGAAAGTTCAGCTTTTCTGATTATCAGATCACCAAGAGAGAAAAGGAGGTCTAGAAATTTAAACTGCAGCTCGCCTTGGTGTCCCCTTGCGCCGCCGTCTCCGCGGCTTCGTATGCATTGGTGGGTTGCTTGTAATTCCAGCAGGCTCCTGATCATCATCATCATCAGCAGCATCAACTACTTCTCTTAGTTCAGGGGAGTTGGATTCTTCAGCTTCTGCTTTCTCTGTATCGTTGACCAGTTCAAGTTTACCTTTAGCACTTTTCTTTGGCCTTCCTCTCTTTCTTTGCTGGTTAATCTTCACTTTGGTGCTATTAGCTTCAACACTGTTTCCACTCTCTCCCTTCTCCATCTCCATCTACAACTATGACATAGAAAATGGCATCTCTCTGTCTCTTCTTTAGCTCTAATTAACATTCTATAAGTATATATGAACAGCACAGTCATGTGCAGTTGATTATTCTAGAATAAGCAGTTGTAAGCTGTAAATGTTTCCACCCTATAAGTCTAAACCCCCCCAAAACTGGAAATGATGCTTTTGCAGTTGGGAGAATTTATGTACATATATTTTTCCAGCTTGATATGTACATATTAGGAAAAGATAGGAAACTTGCATGATGGTGTGCACCATAAATTGGTGGCTAGAAATTAGAAAATGCTAGCTTTCATTAGAATGATGAGTTTGGTTCCTAGCTACACCATTTTCTGCAAACTCTCTACACTGATTAAGTTACAATATAATATAAACTTATTAGTCTGACTCTTTCAATGTGTTCATATATGTATGCCACAATGCTTTTTGTTGGCAGACTATTATTAATCTAAAACATTCTGACATGATACAATCTTGATCGAAAAAAAATATATTATCCAAAAAATATAGTATGGCTATGGAATTAGGCGTCCATTGTTTATTAAAGAACTCAATGTCGATGTCTCATCGATAATGTGTCGATATCATTGTCGCCAACAAAACGTACCGATATGTTATTAATACATTTTCAAAAATATCAATATGTGTGTCCATTCTTTAATAAAGAACGAACATCTTGTCCTAAGAAATTGAGTAATGTATCTTATTCAGTCTTTTTTTATTGAGGGATATACAACACGTTTATAAGGAATGGCACATATGGGGCAACATAAAAGCCAAATAGTAAATAGGTTTTTGGTCAAAGGAAAATTGTATTTTCTTTTCTTTTCTTTTTTTTTCCATGAAGGAAATTAGTTTAATGGACATCGAAAATAATGGTTTAGTATACCAACTTTTGTGTGGAAGAAAAAAGTTGGAATTTCACTTCAAGGAGTTTGATGGAGAAAATAAACATGGAATTTGAACAAAACTATACCTTGCAGTTGCAGAAGTAATTTTGTTAATTACACGGATATAATAGAGGTGCAAACTGTATTTCAAAATTCAAATATTACAGGTGGTCAAATAATATGAGAGAGAGCTTGATTCACTCCTTTGATTTTGCTTCATCAGCTTATAATCTTAACAAATTGATGGGCGAGGTCATCCTTTTAACGGATTCTGTGTTATCTCTAAGCATAATTACTTGCAGTCTTAAACTACATGTACAAGTCAACATAATGTAAGCATTTACACTTGTGTAAATGGGTCGACCATTGTATATTCATCCCTTTCCATACTTTGGCTTTAAACATTTACTAATTTTCTAGTTGTTGCTATTTGCACCATATTTACTTATCACATTGCTAACCACCTCTCTTATATATGTAGGTCCTGCATACATTAGTGGGACCCAACTCTATTAGAAAGGTGATCAACAAAGTGTTCAGTAAATATAGTACAAATAGTATTATTGTGTCTTTTATCATCTAGTACACATTGGCATCAGAATTGTAAATAATGTTACATGTGACATACGGTTGGGAGAATTCACAAAACCCTAGCCGTTAAGAGAGAGGGAAAGAAAAAAAGAGAATATTGTTACACGTAACATATTTATGAATATTGTTTATATGATTGGCCACATTTCCTACAAAAATAAGACCCATTTACACAAGTGAGCTTCTGTAAAAATTGCAGTCAACAAAGATATTCACTCATAAAATCATTCAAGACAGCCGCTCAGAGTTTAAGTCAAAATAGCTAATTGAGAAATTAAAAGCACTAGTTGTTGATATTAGATAAGTGAGATCATGTAACTTCAATGATACATTACTCTCACGGGAAAGAACAAACTTGAAATCCCCTCCCCTTTCCCCCCCCCCCCCCCCCCCCCCCCCCCCAAAAAAAGAAACACAAAAGGAAAATTAAAATAAAATAAGGGACTTTTTATTGGCACTCCAAAAAGATTATTTTGCACTTCTTTTATGAAAATTGTTTTTATACACAAATAAGGAATGTATGATGACATTTTTTTTAGGTATGATGACTTCTCTGGAATACCAATAACAACTCCCTAAAATAAACTAAATTAAAACGATCAATCGTTTATTTGCGACATCGCGGTATGTGATAACAAGTATGTATTCTCCATAGTCCAATTAATCCAACTTTGTTGTGGTTTTCCATACAGCAAGGCTCAATAGTTGCATTGTACCAACACTGGTAATTAAACTCACCATGACTTCACAATAAGAGTTTTTGGTGAAATCAAAAGTTCAATCACCTTCTCACCATTATTGCATCACATGAATACTCCTACACATTATTAACCTAAGATTTAATATGCAATTTGCAAAATCAAACAAAGGCAAACCAAGGGCACATTGTTGCTGAAGTTGGTGATAAATCCACATGAACAAATCATGAAAAATATAACCTAAAAGGCCCATCTGATGAAACCCCTAGCCAGCCTTTGTATCTTCGAGGGTCGAAAATTCTGATCAGATGTAGAACTAGATGATGAAGAACCTGAAGCTGAAGCCGTTGATGATAATGATGAAGAATTACAAGAACTTGTTGATGACCCATATGAACCAAATTTCATAATCTCCTCATCAGATTTGCACAAGTCAGCCTGATGATAAAGTTGATCCAACCCAGCAACATCAAAGTTTCCCTCAACATTATTCTTGTTGATCTTCTTCAACTTCCTCTTCAACTTGTGAGTCTTCTTCAACTTCTTCCACAACCAAACCCTAGAATTGCTGAATGGGCCTGAGGAGTAGGGCAAACTGTTCATGTTCAGGCTTTGTGTAGCTGGTGGAGGACCAATAATCAATGGAGGGTTTTGCACAAAATCAAAATTTTGATGTTGTTGTTGTTCCTCATCATGTGCCTCCAACTTGGGCTTGCCAGGCTTTGCTTCCCATTGAAAAGGAACAGAACCAGTCACACGACCGAAATAAGAACGTGAAGAGCTGCTGCCCACAGATGAGTTTCTTGAGAGAATTTTGTTGTAGAAAACCTCATTGGCCGGAAAAATTGCAAGGGTTTTGAGATCAGAACCTTTTGCTGGTGATTTCTCCATGGATTTTTTGTTGCTTTCTTTTGAGAGAATTAACAGTCTGTTACGTTGACACATTTTTGTTTATTATATAAGGAATTAGGTCAGCATATAGTTGGAAGGTAAATAAAAGTCATACCAATTTCACATATATTCTGGAAATTAAACCCGAGAAATCACAACTTAAATCAGCAACTTGTAGTCTCTTTCCAAATTTAAAATATGTTATGAAATATAACGGGATAATATGTCTCGTTTGAATTTCCTTATTTTTCTACCTTTTAGTTTGCAGGCCTGCAATTTCTTTTTTTTTTCTACCTTTTATAATTCCTAATTTCTGGCATAATTATAGCGACTTAGCTAACCATATAGTCTATGATGCAGGGAATTAGAATCTTTTTTTTTCTTCCCATAAGGTAATATATATTATTAATTCCATCTTCAAAAACAAAAAAGGCAATAGAGAGAGCTTTGTTGCAATTGATTTTAAAGTTTTGACTAAATGGAGAAGTCATATGATTAATGCATTTTTAATTTTTCTTCCTTTTTTTTTTTTTTTTTTTTTTTTTTTTTTTTTTTTTTTTAAATGTAAATGGGAAAGTAGATTGAAGGTTGACCAAATCAAAAACAAAAAAAGGGTAATCAGCCGCTTTCTCCTTAACTATATTGAATTTGATAGTATCAATTTATCTTCAGTCAATTTTCTATATAAAATTGGTGGATCTATCCCCTATCCTCATATATTTCTAGCAATTACATTTAAGATGACCAAAAAGCCCTTAAAATACGTGACTTTAAATTGCTAGGAATATGCCGATGGTCAGGTACAATAGGCTAGAATGAATTACTCAATAACAACCGAAAAAAAATACATTTTGAAGCTTACAATGTGTTTGCTCTCTTTAGCACAATATGGTGTGGATTACTTGTCTCAGGGAATAAGCATAAAATAAGATATAAATAGCATCTCATTATCGCTATATATCTCATTAACCGTTCATATCTATGATCTAATTAATTGCTAAGAACCAAGAAAGTTAGAATTTAATTAACTTTTCATATATCATTATTCATCCCTTAAGTAATAGGTACAAGTTCATTGTATATTTATTGATATTATACCTTAAAAAGTGAGAAATCCTAACCTTATAGTCCATCCATATTATAACATGTATTACAGTACTACAGTACTACCGTACAATACCGTTGATATCTATGATCTAATTAACGGCTAAGAACTGAGTGAGTCAGGATTTAATTAAGAATCTTACTAAAAAAAATTAATTTAATACATATATATTACAAAGCATAATGCAAAACTCAATGACACAAATTTATACTGCATCAAACTCGCCTTGCAATGCTAATAAGGACAGAGCTAAACTTCCAAGGACTGCAGCTGAAATGACCAGAACTGCTGAAAGACTCGCTTGCCTGAGTGCTCTGCAAACTCGAGCACTGCCTCGAAAGCCGACCTTTCGAGAAGGAGGACGAAGACGAAGAGCTCGAGTTCAGAGGCGAAGTTGATGCCATGAACTCAGTGTCAGAGCTACAAAACTCCACCTTATCAAACTTATCTGACCCTCCAACCACATAATTAACGTTGTCATGAACATTGTTCTTACGTTGTTTGTTTTTCTTACTTTTTCTCCAAAACTTGAGCCTGGGTAGTGGACTTGTTGGAGGCCTTTTGTTTGGCTGTTGATCCATGTAGGGTTTGGGCAGCCCTAAGCTGAGCGCAGCTGGGGGAGGACTTATTGGTGGAATTGCTTCTTCTTTTGGGGGGTTTCTTGGTGTCCCTGGCTGCATTTCCCAATGGAATGGAACCCCTTCACTGCTTCTGCAGTAATAAATCCTAGAAGAGCAACCCACTGAGGGGTTTCTTGATAGGTTTCTGTTGAACAAAAGCTCTTGATCAACCCCTCCAGGTACTGAAACTCCTTTGATCTCCATCTTCCTTCGAAGCTCGAAATCCATCGGTTTTCGGTGTGTTTTCAGAGTTTGATTTTTCTGGGTACTTTTTCGGCAATGATGAAAAGTTAGATGCCAGTATATGAGTGTATGGGAAGAGTTGTGTTTAAATATATAGAGAGAGGGATTTGAATCCGGCTTTGAAGGCATGTGATGGTGTCTTGGGGGTGCATGATCCTGTTGTTTTGATGATTGATTGACAATCTAAAACAGGTTTAGTTTCGTTTACTTGTGATTTAATTTGTTACTTGTCTTTCGAGTGACTTGAATATTGGCATATGAATATGATTTTGGCAAGCAAACCATGGAGAAAAAGGAAATTTATCTTTCTTCTTAAGCTTACGTTAAACATATGCATCAATTCTGGCTGTGTTGGGGGGCCCTGTGGTGCATGTGCAATTACCAAACCCTTAAGACAAGTCTACCTTTGCTTCTTATTTACCACTTCATGCATTAATATATACCAAAATGAAATCGACCAGTTCAACCAGTTCTTGGAATGAGAAAGTGCCACACCATCTTGAAATCTAGAAGGTTAGAAGTGCCCCTATTTTGTTTTATTTTTATTTTTATACAAGCGATATAAGGGGATGATAGTTTTCTCATACGTTGTCATCAATGTTGTCATGGGGGTTCAAACTTGAGACCACTTATTTGCAAGTTAAACGATTTCCACTGTGCTAGACACCGTTGGCTTGTTTTTATTTTTCCTACTAGGATTATGGCTTTCTAGTTTTGAAGAAACAAAGTAGCCTTGGGGAGGACCTTTGATTCAATGAACCGACCATAAAATCACGTATGAAGTTGACTTTGCATGTTTTGTTTTTCTTGCATTTTATATTTGATGTTTTGGAAAGATAGAATGATTAATTACATTAATTAATTGAAATTAGACAGGAAGTAGTTAACCAAACTTTAATAAGAAACTGGATTCCACTCATTAGACTTGTTGACTACACAAAAAAGATGTTCCTCTGTCATCCCATAAATCTCTCCACTGATACAGGTGATGTTAAAACCCAATTGCTACGAAGTGTATTAAGAAGCAACCACTAAAATAAAAATTCAAAATCATATGAAGAGGAAATGGTTTTGATTTTTTTAAGTCAACATGTTATCGGATTCACATCATGATTAGATTATAGGACTGAAAATCTCAATCCGTTACCCTAATAACTTTTCAAACTCAAATCAAAATCCGATCAACTGACAAGTCTAGTCGGGGATGTAAAAAGGCCGTAGATCCAAATTGAAGAAAAAGTCTGTAGGATAAGAACAGTTGAGAAAGAACTACGTAAGAACATGCAGAAAGTAAAGATAGGAAAATATAAAGGATAAATAAAACTGGACTAGAACTGGTTTAAACATATATTCATAAGAAAAGCTAGATAATAATTACACTGGCAATACAGATAAGTCTTCTAGGTTATACATACTGAAATATCTGTTCTGGGTGCTCTGGTCAGAAATAAATCTACAATAGCTTACATGCTTGCTGCCATTCATCTCAGCATACAGCCAACTTCAAATAATCTTTGACATTGGCGCTACAAATTTTGGGTGGGACCAAGCTGGTTAATTTCTTACCCCCTGAACATCAATCAAGAAGAAAATCAGACCAATACTGCTAGCATTTCATATTTGATAGCTCACTTCTTTTTTGAGTCGGATGTTGAATAGTACCTCATTATGGGGTTTTCAAATTCATACATAAAACCATTAAGATTCAAAGGGAACGGGGAATAACTTGTAAAATTAGTCAGATAAAATGTACGCAATATATGTGAATATGAAAAACCTAAATGACCTTTTTTCTTCTAGGAACCTAAATGACCATTTTCAAACCCACACACTCTCCTAGGATTTCCAAGGTAGACTTGATATTCGAGGCATGCCATTATCTAAGGCTATCCTTAAACTGTAAATTTTAGAGATAGTTATCTACCCTGAGAGCTCAATTTCATTAAAACACAGAAATTACAAAAAAAATTGCATAAATATCTTATTTTTACCTCAGCGGGAGATGAAATGATAGACTCCCTGCCAGAATTAAAATGGCCATTCAGATTCCTGCATGAATACATATAACCATATAAATGTCTACTTCACATAGAGATTAAAAGGGAGAAGGGGAATACCTCGGTCTCTCAGACTTGGCCAATTGTTTAGACATTATGGATGCCTGCAACAAAACCAATTCTCTATATTTATTCCTGAACCAAAAACATAATAAACAGCAGAATTACATCACTGCACTGGTAGATGGATTAGCACACTCTACTTGCACAAATTGAAAGGCAAGAAGAGGACATCATTGAACAGGGTACAGGGATAAAAAATTTCAAGGAAATTCTAGGATTTGAAGCAACATGATTAAAACTTGGAGATTCAACTCCTTAGAAAGTTGCAACTTTGTGCACTTTTCTGGTGACGCTACAAACAAAAAAATTTAGAAAGATATATATAGGAAATTAAAACTTATTTAACTAAAGAGGTAAGGGATACAAGAGGAGATGGTGAAGTCCATATAAGCATGGTCTACGACAATCACTTAACAAATAATCAATGCATAAGATGTCAAACAACCTAACATGTTACCTTGTCTGACTGCAGATCAAAATTGTTGATTAGGTAGAATCATGTTTGAATGAGGGGTCATGATTCACAGCCTGGCAACTAATAAGCCAAATATCTGGCACGAGTCCAGTTATTCTCTATACCCCCTAAACCCATATTTCTTAAAGGCAGGACGCATTGAGAAAATCTCGCCTCCACTCAATTTTCTTCGACTTTAAACTCATTCATTGACATGGTTGATTATTTTAGGGTTGTAGAATCATCATTTAGATCTTACACTTTAGGTTTATAGTCTCGCATTGGTTTATCGCTTTGATTTAGGTTTGAAGTAGCAAAATTTTGGGCAAGGCCCATTCTGTACCATAAATATTCAACCCTGTCATTAAATTGGATCAAAGTTGAAGTGGAACTGAGGTTTTCTCAACGCGTCCTGTCTTTAAGAAAGATGGGACGTCTTGTATAAAGCATTGAGAGAATCATTCAAAGAAAATTCATTTAATCTGTATCCAATTAACACGTAGATTGCCTCACATCTAATTTCTGATGCATAAGAGTAAAAGAACGAGACCTGCTCTTGGATTATGCTCCTAGCCTCAACCAGTTGGGCTTCAAGCTCAAGCTCCCTCTCAGTTACTTCAGATGTAACCTCTGCTTCTTTTTGTGCATCTTGCAATTGAACCATGCGCTCCTTCAAGTTTGTTACAAAAGAAACGAAACCCATCAATAGCTCATATTTTGCAAGATTCACAAGAGGAACATGTGTAAACGGAAAACAAACTACCTTTATGGAAGCCATCTTATTTCGGAGACTTTCTTCTATTTGATCTCTCGCCATGTGAAAAGGCAGATCAAAGACATCCTGCAAGGAGCAAACTCGGTGATTCAAATAGCATTTGAACAAATGAAAAATTTCACCCATACATAACATAGAGAATGTCATACCGTCCTCCCACCCAATGGAGACTGTGTGTGGTCAGTTTCAACTCGTTCATTGGCAGCCAGAGACTGCTTGGATTGCCCATTTGGAGCATTTATGAAATCACGCATATCCACCTGTACAGAAACCATTCCAGTATAACTTACAACCCATTGATATGCAAAGAAAAATAAAACTGAAGAATTCTCACCACAAATATGACAAGAAGTAAAAATAACAATAAATTAATCTGGTGGAGTAAAGACATTGGATAAGGGGGAGGTGCAAGGGGAGGAATTCCTAGATGCTGACTAGAGCACTGCTTAACATGCACATAAGCAGCACCATCAGAATCTACACAAAATGCAGAAGTTGAACTCCTAGCACAAAAGAATATGAAGATTATGATGTCATCCAATGCAGATCTACACAACACGAGGATAATGCCCAAAAACTAAGAAAACACGAGTTCTAAAAACTTAGTTTCCAACTTACAGAATTTATTAGTATTATCAAGGTTACAGGATATTGTGCCAAATCAAAGCACTAGCATGACATATTTTCTAGTATGGATAAATTATAGGGTGGACATGACATACAACAAATTACGGACTTCTCATTATAGTGAAACATGAAAACTGACGCATCAGTATATAGAGAACAAAAAGAAAAAGACAGAAAGGAATCATAAATGGGTGTCACAAAATGTGAGCAACAATAGAGCAACTGACGGTTCTTTCGAAAGCTGTTGTCATGCAGTAGGATAGACAGAGTGAAAAGTAAACAGGGGACAAAGAAAAAATTACGCATTAAAGACAGAGCAGGGGAATAGGAATTAAAAATGTATGAACGAACATGATGAAGAGATGAAGAAGAGGACAGCAAAGTTAAAGGCTGCTAATTTTTCTGGGAAGAAAACAAATAGGTACAACACCCATGGGACCCAATGGAGGTACATAATGTTTCAATTCCATAGTGCCCAATATCCAGGATATTGTTTCCCATATACACAGATTACAGATGAGACAAGAGACATAAAGAGGGCAATTATGCACGTGTGTCCTTCAACTTATAAAATTAAACATTAACAAACACAATTAACATAGAAATGTGAACACATACATACACTAAAGGATCCTGAACTCATGCTTGTTCCCAAGAAAGGTAGCAAGTAAACTTCTTATAATAGAGTGTAGTAAGATTATGCAATGAGTTACTGATCCTTAATCCTCACGCAGAAAGGGGATAAAATAGTGTGTCCAGTAAAAAAACTTAACATCATCCCGAAGTAAATTAGGACAGCAGATACAACAAACAAAATGAAAATAGATCCCAGCTCCCTTAACCCTATGTAGGACTTCTGCTGCCAAACTCAAGTACAGGAAATTACTCTCTTTATCTTTATTCTGATGTAGACAGCTCAAAGAGTTTTGCTTCAACATAACCAAAAAGTTTCAAGCAAAATTTTTTTTCAACCCTCACCCATTGTAGGACTTCTGCTGCAAAACTCAAGTACAGGAAATTACTCTCTTTATCTTTATTCTGATGTAGACAGCTCAAAGAGTTTTGCTTCAACATAACCAAAAAGTTTCTAGCAAAATTTTTGATTCAACCCTCACCCACTGGGACAGGAATATTAGACAAAGTTGATCCATTTAGGTTATTGATGTGACTGAAAGCCAAGAACTCATATGTTCAATAAGTCTTTGCAATGAAATAGCAAAATAAAATACACCAGTCAAATTACTATTAGAAAAACAGGAAGAAAAAGATGTCATCGCAATCAACAAACGTGCTTCAAGATACTGCCACAGAAAGCTATGTACCCCTAGTGAAAATTGGGAGTCATGAACCCACAAAATTGACAATAATGGCAGCACTTCGATAATGATTAACATTACCTGCATTGATCGCAATAATGCCTTTAAATCAGCATTCTCTGCAATCAATTCTTGATTTTTTGCCTCATAAGTATCCACCTGCGAATAATGTAAAGGCAAAAATCAGACATGAAGTGGCTGTAAAAAGATAAATAAGCCAATCAAGCTACATACAATCTTTTTATAAAATTCATTATCAGCCTTCTTTCCGTTCCATGTTCCACGCTGCCGCCCTTCTTTCTGTTTGCACATAATATTAAGGGAGAAAGAAAGTAAAATTAGGTGGATGAATTTGAAGTTCTGTAGGTCATTTAAGTAAGTCAGCCAATTAATACCTGAAGTAAATTCATTATCTCCATGCCTGATCTAGATTCCTTCTTTTTCTCCATCAACACTTGATTTAGCCTCTCCTGAAATTAAAATAATATGACTCTTTCTTTCCAAATCTAAAATCTCATCCACCTATGTAATCAGTCACGTTATAAAATTCTAATCTGTGAACATAAGTAACCAACATATTCTCCTCACAATATATGAATACATGTAGAAAATATAGTACCTGCAACTTTATGTACTCCTTTTCTTTTTTCTTCATCTCATGCAGTTGTTGAGTCCTAACTTGCTTTGGTAGCATCAGCAGATCATTGATACTTGTCAGGATTTGTCCATTTTCACGTAGTAGCTACCAAAATTCAGCAAAGAAACTGCATTAAATTCAAATGTCCCAACCTGATTGCCGATGACCATCCTCTGAAACTCATCGCGCTCCTGCTGTAGTTTGTCAATTTGGGACTTAAAAGCTGCTGTAGCTTTAGCTTCCTAATCATAGATAAGTTCCAAAATAATCAATAAAAATACGAAACCAATATGAAGTCACTTTTGCAAGATTGCAAGTTTCTAACCGTTCGTGTTATTGTTGCTATCTCCCTATCTTTGGCTTGTAACTGCCCCTCAAGCCTCTCAACTTTAGCTTCTAATCTTGATATGTCTGACAATAGCCTATATAGTGAAAAAGAAAAATTAAAGAAAAAAGACCACTGGTATCATTCTGAATACTGAAATTCCAAAACTTTTCAGTAAACTAAAAGTCCATACAAAGTGGACAAACATAAACTTAATGACAATGTGCTCTATCAAATACATGCATAACACTAAATTAACCCAAAATGGGTATAAAACCCCTATGAAAAAAGGAAAAAAATTTATACACACTTTCCGCCCAAATTTACTAATTCAGAGATCCAAGTCCAAACACATAACGCATTACTCCTGGAGAGAATCATACCGCTGTCTCTGTTCGTTAGCAGACTCTCGAAATTCGACATCGCGTTGTCTCTGCTGAATTAACGAATACATACAATTGCAAGTCCGAGCAACAGAAACCTACCAATTGCATCAGATAAATCTAAATAAATACATGTATCAAAAACAAAACAAAATTTGAATTTTTCTGAAGCAAACTGACCGGATCATTTGCAAAGAGATCAAGTGAAGCCGGGAATCCAAAGGTAACAAGGGTCTGATTCAAATACTTAATACAATGCTCTAAATTCCCGACATCGGCAAATGCGTACTCTCTGAAGCACAAAATCAAAAAACCTAGACATGAACACACTCATACACACATACATATACATTCACATAAACACAATGCCCAAACGCATATGTAAAAAAAAAACCCTAGAAATGGAGGAGGGAAACTGACCCGATTGCGAAGGCGGACTGAGGAGACGGCTGCAACAAAACGGAGAGAGGTAATGTGAGAAAATTACAGAGAAAAACGGAAGTGCATTGTTAGGGTTTAGAAGAATAGTACTCTGAGATCGAAGTCTGCGTCAGTGGCTGGCATTGTTAAAGGCAGAGCTTTCTTCAATCTCGCAGAGAGAGAGAGAGAGAGAGAGAGATTTGGTTTTGGTTTCGGAGCAGTCTCTCAAGTGCGCGTCTCTCTCAATAGATCTGAGCGGTGTCCAAAAACTGCACTGCTTTCAAATTTTTTTTTGACTTGGCTTAGACTCCGGTGGTTAGTTTCGACGCTCATGTTCACCTGCGCTGCTGCGCACAAGTCTATTTACATTTTGTGCAGGAACCAATAGCCTTCGGACAGTATGACTGGGTCAATTTCATATACGGACGTGGTACATTTTTAGTGGTGGATTGGTGGTGAAATGGTGCCGTTTGAGTGTAGAGGATATATAGTAAATGGCGCCAGAAGCCACAAAAGGCGTGAGCAAAGTGATTACTGTGGACCCCCCGTTATTATGCATTTTCCGATAAATTACGTGATATTTATTAAAGATTATTAATTGAGGAGTTCGAATTCTAACGTGTTAGAAATAGGCATGAGAAAAAATGAATTATTTTATCTTTAACTTCTTTCAGATAAAGCAAAATAAAACATTTAAAATACCAGAAAATATCTTTGGTTAATACAACTATTAAAAATTAAAATTATTAATTAAATAAGAATAATATGATAAATTCACATTTTTAAAATTTTTTAAAAATCAGATAATAGATCCTATTTTTATAAAATACAACTACTCATTATCTTTTTTAATTCTAAAAAATTTAAATTTAAAAAAAAAAAAAAAAAAAAAAAAAAACATCAAGCACAGAAGCACACGAGCAGAAGAGGCTAATATTTATTAACACATAAGAAATAATAAAAAAAATGGAGTTTCACTAAAACACCCAAAATGGGAGCTGAAATTATAAAAAAACCCAACACCCAAAACACTTTATAAACACACCCAAAACTCATCATTACACACACTCAAAACTCATTTATAAACACACCCAAAAAATATACAATTTTTGACTTTAGGGTTGATTTTGGGTGTGTTTCTATGTTTAAATAGTGTTTGGGTTTTTTTATAAATACATGTCTAGGATTGGGTTTATTTATAAATTTGTATAAAAAATATGTGGGTCTCACCTTGAAATCAATAATGCAATACCTTAAGAGTGGTGATTTCCCCACTCCTTTTTCTCCGATTTTATCCACTTACACTCCTTTTTTATATGCAATTGAAATAATGTAAATAATGCTTATATGAAATTACTCAAAATAGAGATAACTGAAAATATCAATTTTATTTATACTCACAGAAGCAACTTCAAAATAGCAACTTCAAACTCCAGATACAAAACACTCAGTGTTTACAAAGATGATTTCTCCAAAGTGTTCAGAGAGAATCTTTAAAAAAACTAAAAGTGTAAATTGTAATCTGTCTGCAACTGAGGCCAAGGCCGGCTTAAATAATACAGGGAAAACAACTATGGTTTACAAAAGCAACTAGGGTCATTCTGAAAAGTAACTAGGGTAACTGAAAGCAATTCTGATAATGGAGAGGCAACTGTGGAAGCACGAGAGCAACCTGATTCAACTTTCAATTATGTCTTACTTTAGTAACTTTTGACTTTTACTGGGCAACTTTCTTCTTTTACTCAAGGTGAAATGTCGGGCAACTGACTGCTTGTCGGGCAACTGACTGCTTTTGAAGATGCTTTAATCATATTCCGGGGCAACTATTGTGTCGGCAACTAGAGGCAATTATTGTGTCTGCAACTTGTGGTGCTTAGTCAGAATTCAAATCATAAGCATCGTATGGATCTTGACTATCTTCATACCAAGACTTTTTCTTGGCAGGGCTTTGCATGGGCTGACAGCTGGACGATGAAGGGGAATCATTGTCTTCATCATCATCCATTTGAGAAGCTTGGATGATCAATTGGTGGGCAATTTCTTGGAGTTCAGACTTCGATTTTCCTTCGACTGAGAGAGAAGATCGGGTCGAACCAGTAGGGGAAACTGGATGCGGAATAGGCTCTTGAGGCAGATCATTGTACACATATTTAGCAATTCTGTCAACTTCAAATTTGTCCCACCATTTAACTGAGAATTGGCGGGCAAAGACTCTTGTGGTGTCTCTGGCAATTTTGTAGGACCATTTGAGGATCCAAGGGACTTTGTATTTGGCAACAAAAAGCATCTGTTTTGGGAAGAATAAATCAACTTTGGTGAATTTGGCTTTTTTAGTATAATGGCGGATTAGCTCATGAACTGAAATGGGTAAAATTTCATCAACTGGACCATGCTTTTCCCACCAATGGAGGAACCAGAAGGGAAAAGGACTTTTGAACTTGTTGTCAAAATTAATAAACCAGGAATGACTAAAATCCTCGGTTTGATGGAGGAAAATAGAGTACCAGGCTTCAATATAATCAGAATAATTATATTGCAATTTTGACTGAAGGGTTTTCAACTCATAAGGGTGGCTACTGAAGGATTCTTGGGTTATGATCTTATGGATATAAAGGGAATGATAAAGGATGATCTTAGGGTGATCTCGATCCCTTATCGGCTTAATTTCAAGTGACTGAGTTTCAAGTAATATATCCTTATAGTACTTGAGAGACTTGTATGGACTAGGAGGCATATAATGGAATCCAGGAGGAAAATAGTGTTTGGCTATTTCGACTGGATCAGAATGAATATCATAAATCGGCTCAAGAACAAATAAATGAGAGGTACTTTTGGGCATATAAGGAGATGACCTTTTGAAGGCAACTGAGGGACCAGCTGAAGGATCAGCTGAAAAAGGATCATAACTAGAGATTAGGGTCGACTGATAACTGGGGTGTATTTGGCCAACTGTAGAACCTAAGGCAGAGAACCTATTGGCAACTGAGATCGGTGTGGCAAATGAGATTGGTGGGTGGCCTGGGTAAGGGACCACCTGCTTGGGATCTTCTGGCTTATTTTGACTCATAGATGAAGGGAGGATTCGGAGCGACTGGGAAGGCGACTGAGATGGCTTAGATTGGCTGGTTGACTCTTTTTGCTTGTCTTTTTTGGGTGCCATTGTGCATCCTGCAAGAATTCTCTAGTAAGGAAATCAAGAATTGAATTTTCACTTCCTCTCAAATACTCAATATCAAAATCAAATATACTTAAAATGCTTTGCCATCGTGCAAAAATCTGTTTAGATGCAATGTTTTGAACATCTTTTTCTAAAACATGTTTTGTAGATTTACAATCAACTCGTATTAAAAACTTTTGATTAGGCAAATCATCTTGAAACTTACTGATGCATAATACAATAGCTAATATCTCTTTTTTAATAGTACTATAATTATATTGCGACTGGGTCCAAATTCCAGAATGGAAACGAACAATCTGTTCTTGAGAATTTGGACAGGCTCTTTGTTTTAGAATGCCACCATAACCTGTGTCAGAGACATCGGTTTCAACTATTTTGAAAGAATCAACTGAAGGAATGCCAAGGCAGGGAAGTGTCTTGACATGGGCTTTGATTTGCTTGACAATTTCAGTATGAGTGTTTGACCATGGAGGCGGATTACTCTGCAATCTATCAAATAAGGGCTTACATTGTTTTCTCAGATTTTTGTAAAAATCAGAAACATAATTTAGAGATCCTAGAAACCTCTGGAGCTGACTTTTATCAAGAATTTGATCTGGGAATTTATCAGCAAATTGAATGACTCGATCAATTGGGGAGATTTGCGACTGGCAGATATTGAAACCAAGAAATCTGATATTGGTTTGGAATAACTTGATTTTCTTGGCAGAGACAACTAGACCATTTTGTTTGATGATTTGAAGGAACTTATGCAAATGTTTCCAATGTTGTTCTATTGACTCAGAAAAGATAAGAACATCATCAATGTAAACGATTGAAAAATGACTATAAGGATTGAAAATTTCATTCATGATATTCTGGAACTCACTAGGGGCATTTTTCAGACCAAAAGGCATTACATTCCATTCATAATGACCAAAAGGGGTGACGAATGCAGTCTTATATCTATCTGACTCATCTATTTGGATTTGCCAGAAACAACTCTTCATATCAAATTTGGAATAAACAACTGCTCTTTCTAATCTATTAAACAGGTCTCTTTTGTTAGGTATGGGGTACCTAATCCATTCTAAGACTGAATTAAGGGGCTTGTAATTGATAACTAATCTTGGGACTCCTCTTTTTAGTTCAGCATTTTTTTGGACATAAAAAGCAGGACACGACCAAGGGGACTTACTTTTGCGAATTATTTTCTTTTCAAGCAACTCATGAATTTCTTTTTTACAGAACTCCATAATTTCTCGACTCATCTGAATTGGCCTGGCTTTAGTAGGAATGTTTTTCTCACTAAAGGTTTTGATATAAGGAAGACAGACAACATGTTGTTTTCTATACCAAAAAACATTAGGCAACTCAGAGCAAATTTCATTTTTTAATTTAGTTTCAAACTGCTAGATTTGCAACTGTAAGGAAGTATTACTAAGTTGTTGTTCAATTCTTTTAAATCTAATTTCTTCTTTAAGAAAATTCAACTGATTATTTTTTCGAATAATTTGTATTGACTTAGAAACCGACTGTTTTTGCAGGGCTCTCAGATTATGCAATTCTGGTTTAGACAGAAACTCAAATTTAACCTTTTCGCTTAGATAGGTAGAAATGACACCATCATAATCCACCTGAAAGGGGCACAATAAGGCAATAAAAGGTAATCCTAATATGACTTCATCAGTGATATTTTTAACTAAGACAAATGAGGTTTTGAAACAGATCTTATTTTGGCAAACATGGGCTTTTGGTATTTCAAAATTCAACTGGAGAGATTTTCCTGAAGCAGTACTTAAGGATTCTCTAGACTTCTGGTAAAATTTAGTAGGGATTAGACCTTCCTGGATACAGTTAAGATCAGCTCCTGAATCAAATAGGGCAACTGTGGTGAACTCAAAGGTCTGGACAAATATTGTTACTTTTGAATACCATTTTCTAAAATTGACTTGTCTAATTAGGCTGACTACTTGTTGATCTTCTGGAGGTTCATCATCAGAATTATGTGGGCTTCCAGACTGGCTTTCAGGCTTAGAGGAATCTTTTTCCATTATATGAACCAAATCTTGTTTGATTGCATAATTTTCACTCTGTAATTTATGACTCATTTGTTTTAATTCAATTATTTCTTTTTTAATCATTTTTACTTCGAACTGCAGATCCTGTATGGTGACTTCTTTCTTTTTAGCAAATTTTTCTAAAGTAGTGTTCATACTAATTGGCTGGGGGGCGGACTGACTCGGGCTTTCTTGGCTAATAACTTTTCTTAACTTTTTCAAATACTCGGATTTCAAATCAGGATTCTCAACTTTGCTTATTAAGTATATTAGTAATTCTTCTTGTTCTTCCTGTTTAGTAAGAACATAGATAGATTTTAATCTATTACAACATTTATCATTGCAACCAATTTGGATATTGGGTGAACTCAACTGTGAATCTGAGGATTGGTCAAATTCAGACTCAGAACTGGCTACTAAGGTTTCAATACTGCTTGTTTCAGAGTCTCGCAACTCCAAAACCTTTATCAACTTTTCTTTTTCTTCATCTGTAATTTTTAACTGCTTAATAGTATCTTTTACCTTACATTCAGAGGCATAATGGCCAAACTTTTGACATTTAAAACATTTAACTTTAGTTTTATCATTATTCCTTTTGGATCGATTCTTCCTTTGACCTTTTGGGGTTTTCGACCAATTTTTCTTAGGAAAGAATTTTCTTTTCTTGTAAAACTCATGATCATCATTATTTTGTCGTGAAAATTGTTTTCTGCGAGAAAAATGACGATTTTTTCGTAGATGATTAGGCTTATTTTTTATGGAAGGAGGAATACTGGTAAGGCCATACTGTTCACAGAAATTTCCTAATTCATATTTGGCTGACTTCCTATCAGACTGTATTTGTTTACCAATTTTAAAATCAATACACATTTTCATTCCAACTTGGTTAATTGTACTTACAATATTTCCATATGTTAAACTATCCCAATCTATATGACCTTGCTCATTACTCAATGTTGTGCGTATCTTATGGGCAAATAGATTCGGCAGGCCATTAACAAATTTTTCTTTCCAAAAAGGTTGATTGCTATCATCTCTAAGCATGACTCTAGAAATGAAGACATCTTTATACCACCTGAAATTAGACAACTTAGGGCATCTTAGATTACTCAATTGATCATGTATCCTAGCAGAGGTATGGCTAGGGGTTCCAATGAAATGCTCAATTATTGTGTAAAACAAAGTATTGACTCCGTCTTCTATACCTTGACCTATTTGTTCGTCAAATATAGGGAGACCGTCTTCATTAAGTTTTACAGCATGAATGATCAAGTTTTTAGACTCAGGGGTTAAGTGCTTATCCCACCAATACCTGAGAGTACCGGTAAATCCAGTGACTAACAGGGGTACAATTTCAGACTGTCTGAAACTGTGATTGGTGATATAACTATTGGCAACCATGGACATGTGTTGTAGTTTATTAAAGATCTCTTGCTCAGAAAGACCATCAATGTTCCATTCATACAATTTATCAGAAGAAACCGAAAACTGGGTTTGAAAGTTTCTTTCTTCAAATTGGATATCTGGAGGTGTTGGCATGGGGTACCAATTTTTGGTTAAACTAGTGGGGCTTATGTGTTTTTCTAATTTTTTGACTTTGGGTTCAACTTGGACTTCTAAGTTTCTGAAAGCATTTTCAATTTTTGAAATATTGCTGGTTTTAGAATCTATCGTCTCTGGCTCAGACTCAGAATAGTAGAACTATTAATTATATATTAGGTTTTAATTGATCAAATTTCCCATGCGGAATTTCATATTCTTCAACATACAATTTGGGGTTTCTAATCTATTGGGCTTTTTCTATTATTGTTTGGGTTCAACTTATGTGGTTAGGACCAATTGAATCCTTCCATTCAAAAAGTACTTGTAGAAGAAAATCCTAACTCATACAAATTAAAATACATCCTACATAACATTTTCGTAGGAAAATCTCAAACCAAATACACATATCCACAAAAATATGTTCTTTTTTAGCTAAAATGTCCGCCACTATAAAAATGAAACGGTCACACAAGAAACACACATTACATGCAAAAAATGGAGACGAGCGCGGCATATGTCACATGTGTGTGGCGCATATGAATGCCGTTGATTATATGAAGAAAGAAACAAGCCACAAGTGTGTGTGGCGCTGGTGACAGATCCTAATTAAGCTCATGCCATGCAGGATGCCTCACTTGTAGAATATTTAATTCCCAAAGTGTTTTTTCTTTTGGTGTCGTTGTTGTGTAGGAGCATATCACTTTCCTCCACAAACTTGGTAGATTTTAGAAAGTTGAAGCTTGTGGTGTTGGTGTCGGTGGGCCATGCTCATGTGGGTTCCAACTATATATAGGTTTATGTCTGTGGCTCAAAATGATTAAGAGCATTTACTCTGCACTTGAAATTTTAAGTCTCGTTCTTTCTTTTTTCAATATCGCTTTGCTTGTATTAAAAAATACGCACAAAAAAGTCATGGATCTTAAATGGTGATTGTTCTAGAATTCCCCAGCAATAATTCTCACATATCAATTAAGGTGTGGTGGTTCGGTGATGGAAACTAAAGAGGAAAAAGTGTTTGCCATGCCCCCTTGTACGAAGATTTCAATAAATTATTATAATTATATCACATATGCTACTGCCTGCTGTGCAACAACAAGATCTTGTTTATATGGAGAAAGATTCTAATAAGTTCGATTTCTCTTTCCGCAATTATTAGAAGGAAAAATAGGAAATTGGCTTGGATCTTCTACTCTCTACATCTCCACTTAATGTCTTTAATTGAAGTATGTATGAGCAACCTGATGTGAGAGCAGAGACTTGGCATCTGTACGTAGACAGTGGTGGATCCATAAACTTTTGGCACTGGAGGAAAAATGTAGAAGTTCAAATCACTAAGGGTCCGTCTGGTAACGTTTTCGGAGACTGTTTTCTTAGAATATTTTCAGAGAATGAAAACAAGAAAATGAATTTGCATTTTCAGAAAATGAAAATGCGTCTGGTAGATTAATTAGAAAACATCTTCAAAAAACAAAAAGAATGAAAACGTGTCTGGTAGTAGAATTTGAAATAATAATATGTGAGTTATTTTTATGAAAACATTTCCCATGATAATGAAAACAATTTTTTTATGTTTTCTACAAGTACGCATGAACTTGTTTTCATTTTATGAAAAAATTTTCAGTGTTTTTTGTTTTTGGGCCACCAAATGTGTTTTTGCCTCATTCTTGTTCTCTGAAAATGAAAACAACCCCTTAAAACGTTACCGAACGGAGCCTAACAGACTTAAGCTCAACTACCCTCACAACTTCGTCCCTCCATGTTCTCTCCGAGGACTTTTATCTAACATTTTGCCCCCATTAGAACATACTCAACCTCCTCTTTGGGGCATTTAGTTGAATATCTTGCAGGCTTTGTTTGCCCCCATGCTTCAAGAAAACAACAAACCAGCTGGACAATTTCATGAGTGTATTCCATATATTGAGTGATGGCAAGTGCATGCACTCGTCCCTCAATGGATCCGCCAGTGTCTATAGATGATAATCTAATTGAATCTAATCCATTAAGAAGTTTATCAAAACATAAGTTCATGAATATCACCACTTCGATAGAAAACCTTACTCCATATTTCTAAAAAGTTAATTGACTAAGGAATTCGATAATTACTTGATTACCATATTTAATTGGACAATTGATAGTATCATATTTAGTCTCAATATCATAAATATATGTTCGTAAACTTATAACCACAAATGTCCCTAACATTGTCACTTTCACTTTCTCTTCCAATGGAAGTTTATTTTATATTCATGTATGCATAATGCATGTATGCATACACGAGCTAAATGCATGAATATGAATTAATAAGATGATCTAAATTAATGAAATATATGATTATAAGACAAATCATGTGCTTAATTAGGTATTAATATAAGCAAATGAATCTGATGCACTTGTTCATTGAACCCTCTCCTCGGATTGAAGGTTCCTAAGCAAGAATATTGTGAGGATATATATTATTATATTTAACAACTATGTTTTGTACCTGTGCATGATTTTCTAGTCTCCCTCTTTTTGTTTTTTCGTTTTTCTTTCTTCTTTTCCAAAATTCTCCCTCTTTTCAATTTTGAATGTTTGGACCCATTGACTGTTGCTTGCAGCAACAGATTACGTTCCTCCCATGCAATGTGTTGTTTTCATTTCTTTACTAAGGTCAAACTGTATCAAACTTGACGCTGAGTTATAAAGTACACTTCAATAATTGAGGCTTCGTAGAGTATACATAGTTTGACTTTTTCCTCTTGCTCTTTCTTTGAATTTTAAAAAACTCTATATATAACAGTATAAATCAAACGCATAACCTCGATTGTAAGTTTAATCGCTCGAGTTACAAAGTTCCTTATAAAAAATTTTAAAACTCGATGAATATGAGAAAGAAAGAAAAGAAAAAAAAACCCTACTAGCTTCCAGTCTAATAATATTTCTTTTTTCAATATTAAAAAATGTTCCGAGATCGAATCAGTCCTCCTCTCCCTCTCTCTTATGTCCAGCCTGATACAGCATATCTGTGACTGTGGGTAATATAATATCATTCAAAATACAGAATAAGGAGGTGGAGCTGTATCCGGTGAAATCCGAGGTGAATGGTCGACGCCTGATTTTATAAGCAGCACATCTTTCTTATGGTATTATTATTATTCAAAGTGAGTCCTATTACTAGTCACGATTTTCAGGGCTTTGACTGTATCAATTTTTTATGTGAGCCAAATCGCACGTTATTTATTATTATAAATTATATTATAAAGTTTTTATGTTTATATTACATCTGGCTTTTGACTGTTTTGTTTAATATTTTAATCCACATAAGACCCTGGGACCTTGGATCTTCGATCTGATAGTCCGCACTTGCAATTTGACAATGTCGCGAGAGCATCTTTATGGTAAAAAAAGAGAGAAGAAAGATTGTTGTCTTGTCATTACCATAATGTAGTATAAATGCTTAATCAAAAGATACCAAACTTATCATATATAAGATTTTGCACAGCAGCAAGCAAGGGGTATAAATGCTTTCAAAACTAGGTGTGGCAAATTCGTGTTATCGGTTGTGTTTGCGTCATGTCATTTAATGTTAGTGTAAAAAACAAGTTAATTTAATCCAACTTATTTATGTATTGTACCAAATGATTCGTCACTAACTCAACTTGTTTATAAATGTGTCATGTTGCCATGACAGTTTTTTTTGACTCTATTTATTTATACAATTGACAAACTAAACTACTTTAAGTTATTGTAATCTACGTGAAACGAGATTTAAGTTTGAGTGCAAGAGGAGGTCACATTGTTACGCCAAACTAACCTAATTTACATATACAATAAATACAAAACTAATTACATGTGTTTAGCGTGTCAAATTTGAGTTATTAAACTTGATAGTAACTCATACCCGTTTACTATTTGTGTTTATGTATTTGTGTCAAACAACAATCAAATCTAAACCCACTAACTCTCCTATTAGTAGCCCAAAGTAGCCTGGCTCAAACTCTCATGTTAGTCAATGACACGTGTGGTACTCTTTCCTATCGTGGGGTTTGTCCTATATGATTTTCTTAAGAAGGTTTTAACGAAGCTTGTATTTGTGTTATTTTTTGTTTGTTTTTTTGGTTTATGAATAAAATCTTCTTCTAAAAAAAAACCCACTAACTTTGTACCGATTTCAAATCTAGTTATCGGATTAAAAAATTTCAACTGTATTTAAAAGCTTTAGTAAGTGATTTACCAATTTAACGTGGAAAAAGATTAGCCGGACAGGGGACTGGAATCATCTTTTGCTATGCACCACTAGTTGAACCAAAAGTGAATAATGAAAACCAACGAACCAACCCCCCCAGCCACTCATTTGGCAATTGCCATAATTGCAACTTAATAGTAGTAGGTAGAGCAATGGGCACCGCAGCTTGCGCGCCTACCTACCCAGCCGTGAACAACAACATTCAAAACCTCAATAATACCAACCTTCGATGCACTGCTTCTCTAAAGTTCTTCAAACACTTCGATTTTTAATAACGGTTTCGACTCTATTCTAATATAAGCATTTCTAGGCCAGCGGGGTATAGTTTAGTTGGTTGAACTCTTCAACTTTCACAAATATGGACATAGATTCGAAACCCCTAGACATCCGTGAATATTTTTGTAAAATCCTAAAAAAAAAAAAAAAAAAAAAAAAAAAAAAAAAAAAAAAAAAAAACAAGAATCTGTACTTCACTACAGAATATTTCCTCCCAAATGAAACATTTATTAAGCTATTTTGAAATTTAACTTAACAATGCAAGAGACTTGTAGCTCAAGTGATTAAAAATATTTACCCGTTCACCCAAAGTCTTAAGTTTAATTTCCCCATCTTTCAATATCGCTGATATTAAAGTAAAAAAAAAAAGCTTGACAACAAGTTAGAAGTTGCAGGCTACAACTTACAACCTTCAACCAGATTCGTCATGGATATTAAGAGTGTGCGCGTTTTTTGTCTCTTTAGACTCCCCCACAAAAGGCCAAACTTTGCCAAACTTTGCCTACAAGACGCATTTTTGAATCTTTATACTCGTATATTTTAGGAAAAAAGAAAAAAATTATAAGAATTTAAATTTATTTTCAGGAGGGATGGGGAGGGGATGGAATTAATGGCTTTGATTCGTGCATGCCTTTAAACCGAGGGATTCTTGTGAATGGGATGCCTTCCACGTATTGGAGCAGAGCGGACTTCTGGGTCTCTTTCAATTCAATGAGTCCTGGAATTTGCTTGGCCTGCAAAATATCGCTCAGATCCTGGTAAAAATCTGTCGCGAGTCATGTTAGATTTAAATACCCCAGTGTGTTTTTTTTTTGGCTCAATTAAATACCCAGTTCTATTTCCCGGATTCGTCACACCATGTCAGCATATTAAATAATGTTAGTAAATTTAGGTTTTTCAATAATGTTGTCGTTACGCACAATGATTAAGAAAATGCTAATCCTAAAGAATTAATCAACCCTAACTCATATAATTTAATTTAAACCCGACTAATTATGTAAAAACTTAAAAAAAGACTATGAGATCAGGATCACCCCAAGCTTGCATATGCCTCCGCTTTTACAAGCCCTATAATCACCGGGATCTAGTTGAGTGAAAAATGATATTGACTTATAAATCAGTGATCTCATATTCAAATCCTCATAGCATCTTAGTAATGTGTGTGTGAAAAACTACCCGCCCCTTATAGTTTATACAACCACTTGTATTCCAAAAAAAAATCAATATATCAAAAAATAAGAACAACTACAACGAGTAATTTTTTTTTTCTTCAATGCAAAACATTAATTAAAGTTATTGAATTATTGTGGCACAATTGAATATATATGTCAACGAGGGTTGATTGAGTTGGTAAGAATCGTTCTCTTTGCTATCAAGGTTTAGGTTCGGGTCTAACTGTTGACAATCCTTCTTAATAAGTAATTTGTAAAAAATCCAAAAAATGAGCTAAAATCCCCTATGTAAGTCCTCAAAGGCCTTAGTATGCCCTGACCCTGGAATGAGGTATCCTCTCCTCCTAAACTTGTTCTCATTAAAAAAAAAAAATCATATATAATACATAATACGCATAACATGTTTACTTTCCAAAAAAAAATAAGGCACAATACAAACGAGGGCATCTACTACTATTTTCTAATCTACACGTATTCCCCACTAAGAAAAAGACAGGATAGAGCATGTTGTTTTAGAAAGCACAACATCAAAAAACATATCATTGTTGTTGAAAATTTCTCCACTCATTTTAGTTTATGATTATTTCAGGAATGTTATTTTTTTTTTTTTTTTTTTTTTTTTTTTTTTGTGGTCAAGATTTAGGGGTTGTTTGGTTCGCTGAATCAACTTGGTAGGAATGAAAATAAGGAAATAGACTTTCTATTATTTCCATGTTTGGTTTATGAAGTATTAGGAATGAAAATTTATTGAGTTTTCCAATAATATCCTTTATTTTTATATTCAAACTTTTTAATAAAAATTGGTATTTGAAAATTAAAATAGGGGTCATAAAAAGGGCATTAAATGTTTTTCTAAGTGGAGGGAAAAAATTTCCAAAGAGAGCCAATGGTACTTGAGTGCTAAAGTGCGTTAATGGGTGTGAATACACGTGATATAAAATGAATGGGAAATACAAGAGGGAATGTAGCTAGCATTTTCCGTATTTGTTTTTACCATGGAAGGAAGGGAGGCAGGAAGGGAGGAAGGGGAAAGAGAAGGTGTTATTATTGGAGTGTTGATTAACCATGGTTAAGCCCAAAATATGTTCGTGTTAGGTGGGTTTGACCAGTCTGGTTTGGTAGGCGTTTGGTTCAGTCACACCCTCACACGCACACCCCATTTCATCTTTCCCCCAACACACATATAAGCCCCCTCTTCCCTCCATCTCTCCCTTCAGAAAACTTCTAACTCTCTCTCTCTTCCTCTCTCTCTCTCTCTCTCTCTCTCTTCAACTACCCCAACCACCACAGCGCACATTTCCCTCTCGAATTCTCCCCACTACAGTTCGCTACAGTCTCTACAGTTCCTACGGTGACTCTTCGGCCACCGGAATCCGGCTCCTCTCCCCTACACACTATCATTTCCCGCCACCGGATTCCGGGACACACCGCCGCCTCCTTGGAACCACCACCTTCTGTGCTCAGATGGATTCCTCCTCCAGCTCCATGAAAATCTCGCCATTGGATCTGATGGCGGCGATCATCAAGGGCAAAATGGACCCCAGCAACGCCTCTGCCGACTTATCCGGCGCACAGGTCACCTCCGTCATGCTCGAGAACCGCGAGTTCGTCATGATCTTGACCACCTCCATTGCCGTCCTAATCGGCTGCGTCGTAGTTTTGATTTGGCGGCGATCGTCGGCCCCTCAGAAGCCGCGAGTCATTCAGCCTCCGGCGCCCGTGATCGTGACGCCTGAGCCGGAGGTCGACGACGGGACGAAGAAGGTCACTATCTTCTTCGGCACCCAGACCGGTACCGCCGAAGGCTTCGCTAAGGTCTGGTTTTACATCAGAACACTTAAATTTCAATCAATATCTTTGCTTTGTTAGCTCGTTTCATGGCTTGGTTTTACTTGTTGGATGTTGGTGTTTCTTTTTGTCCCAACGTTTTGTTTGATTCAAAATGCAGGCTTTGGCCGAGGAAGGAAAAGCTCGATACGAGAAGGTCACATTCAAAGTTGTTGATTTGGTATGCTTGCTTTTCATTTTAGTTTATGTTTTTTTTTCTATGGTGCAATTGGTTTATTTATTTATTTATTAAATATATTTGGGATGATGAAATTGGATGGTGTTGTTTACATGGTAGGACGATTATGCTGCTGATGACGAAGCATATGAGGAGAAATTGAAGAAGGAGAGCTTGGCATTTTTCTTCTTGGCCACGTAAGTTTAAAATTCAACTAGAAACTTTTTATTGAAAAAAGTTGATTGATTTATTGATTTTTTAATTTTTAATTTTTTGGTTTCATAAATAACATGTTTGATTGGTGGTGGATGCAGATATGGTGATGGTGAGCCAACCGATAATGCTGCCAGGTTTTACAAGTGGTTTACGGAGGTAAATTTTGTTTTTGGAAATTTCGTTAATATATTTTTTCTGGTTTTGTTATTATGGTGCGCTATAATTTAGATCGAAATTTGAATTATTATTATTATTATCATTATTATTATTTATTAATTTTTTTTAAATGTGCGAATTGTGATGATGGTTATAGGGTAATGAGAGAGGAGAGTGGCTTCAGAAGCTTCATTACGGAGTGTTCGGCCTTGGAAACAGGCAGTATGAGCATTTCAACAAGGTTTGGAATGAACTTAAGTTTATAAGTAAATTCTATTTTCATGTCACTCTAGCTTTTGGAGCTTGACATTTACTTATAAATTCTCTGGTTTCCTGTTGGGTCGTGTTTGATTTGTATATAATTTTTCCTGTTGTTAATCAGGTTGCTGTGGTTGTCGATGATGTCCTCACTGAGCAGGGTATGCACCATCTTTCTTTTATTTTTTTGTTGACTTTTTTCCTTTCTGATGGAAGTCATGTGGGAGTGGGAACTTGTGGATTTTGAGATGATTCACGTTGCCAGGGTGTTACTTTAGCTAACAAGAATGTTACCATTTTCAGGTGCGAAGCGACTTGTTCCAGTGGGTCTCGGAGATGATGATCAATGCATTGAGGATGACTTCAGTGCATGGTACCGAGAAGTTTGATAGCCATTTGAGTTAATAGCTTGAGAGCATAACCATTCATTAGTTATTTATTAAATTCTCATACATTTCTACATTGACTGATGCTCTTCTAGGCGAGAGTCTGTTTGGCCTGAGTTGGATCAGTTGCTTCGAGATGAGGATGATGCAATGACACCAATTTCTACACCTTACACTGCTGCTGTGTTGGAGTATCGAGTTGTAATTGAAGATTCTGCAGATGCATCAGTAGAGAATAAGAGCTGGAATAATGCAAATGGTCATGCTGTCATTGATGCTCAACATCCATGCAGGTGAGGGAAAAAAAACCTTTTTAAGGCTTGAAGATTGCAGCTTGTTCTGTACTTTTCCCGTAAATTTTATTTGACATTTCTTTTTGCTGCATGAAGAGCTAATGTGGCTGTGAGAAAGGAACTTCATACTCCTGCATCTGACCGTTCTTGCACCCATCTCGAATTTGATATTGCTGGCACTGGACTTACGTAAGTTGCTTTGCCAAGGAAATTGTTTTCATCGTCTTCTGAGAATGGAAGCTATGTTACGTTTTAAAAGAAAGTGGAAAGTAAAATGCCCACATGGTGCTTAATACATTCTTGTCTCGTTTTTCTTTCTCAGATATGAGACTGGGGATCATGTTGGTGTCTACTCTGAGAATCTTCCTGAAATTGTGGAAGAGGCGCTAAGCTTGTTGGGCGTGTCGCCAGAAACATATTTCTCGATACACACTGATAAGGAGGATGGCACACCACTTAGTGGAAGCTCCTTGGCACCTCCTTTCCCACCATGCACATTAAGAACAGCACTAACTCGATATGCTGATCTTTTAAGTTCTCCCAAAAAGGTTTGCTTTTACCCCCAATTATTTCCTTTTTAGTGTTGGTTGGTTCACAGTTTTTCTGATGAAAACTTATGCGACTTTGGATCCTTGGTTTTTTTTCCAGTCTGCCTTACTTGCTTTAGCAGCTCATGCATCTGACCCAACTGAAGCAGACCGATTAAGACATCTTGCATCACCTGCTGGAAAGGTAGTAAAATCTGTACTAAGTACTTTATGTTAATTTTACTTCACTAATATCTTATTCTTAGATGTTTGTCAGTGTGTTAACTTTTTCTTGTAAATTTGTGCAGGATGAATATGCACAATGGGCGGTTGCAAGTCAGAGAAGCCTTCTTGAGGTCATGGCTGAATATCCATCAGCCAAGCCCCCACTTGGTGTCTTCTTTGCAGCAGTCGCCCCACGATTGCAGCCTAGATACTATTCAATCTCATCATCTCCAAGGTAAATGTTTCTTTCTTTTTCCTTAAACTGGAAATTGAGTTCAGAAATCATAAAGAGTTTTACTAGGCAAATGCTATAAGATATAGAGTGGCCTTTTTTATCTCTCTTTCTTAGTTATATTTTTGTCTCATGTCCTATTTAATTTATTTGTGACCACTGACCATGTACTTTTTACAAATATATTCAACAGGATGGCGTCTTCTAGAATTCACGTAACCTGTGCATTAGTTTATGAGAAGACACCAACAGGAAGGATTCACAAAGGAGTGTGTTCAACCTGGATGAAGGTAATTTACATGTTCTCTTTTTGCAATCTTGTTGGTCAAGAAAAGCGTAACAATTTGTTTACTGAGACATATCGTGCTAAAAAATAGTGAATGGAGTTTTCCTGTCTATTAATAAACTACTATAAATGCTACTGATTTTAAATATCAGCACAATTTTATAGGGAATGGAGCTTTCTTATGTTTCTTATAATTTTGAACTGATGTAAATTCGTTTTTTCTTTAATCCCTTTGCAGAATTCTGTGCCTTTGGAGAAGAGCGATGATCCTAGTTGGGCACCCATTTTTGTTCGGCAATCAAACTTCAGACTTCCTACTGACACTAAAGTACCCATTATCATGGTTGGTCCTGGGACTGGATTGGCTCCCTTCAGGGGTTTCCTGCAGGTATTTATTGGATGATTTGATTTTCATTCATTTTGCACTCTTTATAAGTCTCAATATCCTAGAAGACTATAAGTAATTATGGATTTACTCTTTCAGGAAAGATTAGCTCTTATAGAAGCTGGAGCGGAACTGGGACCCTCCACATTGTTCTTTGGATGTAGAAATAGTAAAACGGTAAGTGTGCCCTAGGAAAAATCTATTATGGTTGTGGTGGGTGACTGTTGGTGCATGCTGTGTTGCTTTGCTTGTGTAATGTAATTGTGGTATTTGATAATTGATATACTCATAACATTGCAGGATTACATTTACGAAGATGAGCTGAACAACTTCTTAGAAACTGGTGCACTTTCTGAGCTAGTGGTTGCATTCTCACGCCAGGGACCCACCAAGGAATATGTGCAGCATAAAATGATGCAGAAGGTTTGGCGCCTTCTTTTATCGACTACTGACCTTCCGTCCTGACATTATTTTTGGTTAATTTAAGAAATTAACGACATGTTTTGGTTTGTGTTCAGGCCTCAGACATCTGGAACATGCTATCTCAGGGAGCTTATATTTATGTTTGTGGTGATGCTAAGGGCATGGCCAGGGATGTCCACCGGACTCTTCACACAATAGTGCAGGAGCAGGTATGTGAATAAGCCTGGATATTAGAATTACTAGTTTGATAAATGTGGTTGCAATTGTCACCTACCAGTTATGAAGGTGACATAAAAACATAAAACCTTGTGGTTACAAAGAAAAAATAAGATAGAAAAGATAAAAATGAAATCTGTGGATGCAGGACTGCTATTTCATGTAGTGCCTGGAACTCTTTAACTTGCCGGGATTGTAATTTCACAAGTGCGGTGAAATCTGCTGGATCATGTAAACTAAAGTTGGGTGATTTTGAATTTCAGGGATCTCTGGACAGCTCCAAAGCCGAGAGCATGGTGAAAAATCTGCAAATGAGTGGCAGGTATCTGCGTGATGTGTGGTAATAGTTTCTCTATGCAGCCTTCCACCTTGAGAGAGAAGGGAAGTTACAGCTATATCCCTATAAAATATTTATGTGCCGAGGCTAAGTTCGGGTTAAACAAGGATGCTCGTTTCGGATGCCTCAGAAGGAAAATTGCTGGTGTTGTGATTATAGCAGTTGGTTCTGCGATTCTTTTTACCCTACCCATATGAAGGATTTTTTGGTTCGTGTAATTTATTTATATACATATTATATATATAATAATTAGGAATTAGTTTATGAGCTCTTAATTTTCTTGTAATGTATGAACCTACAAGAAGGTTCAAATGACAGACAAATGTGGTTTCTTTCCCATCTGTAATTGTGCTAGATGGATCAATGTAGTTGAGGTTTGGTATCTCAAGTCCCGTGTTTTAATCTCCTTTATTCAGCTGCTACAAGGTTGTCAAATTAACCCCACAATTGGTTGGGGGCAAATATGGACATAGATATGGAAATGCAGGCTGCTGTGAAAAAGGAGACCCAAAAAGAACCAACTTTAATCTAGATAGTACAGTAGACATTTCAATAGGAATTCAGATTCTTACTCCTTAATCCAATTCCTCTTCAATTAAATTCGTACTGATTAGTAAAAATGCTTATAATTATGTCTATTTATCCTTAATTTCTCCAAATCCGATTACGGATTAGTAAACATACCATTATAATTGTGTGTATTTGTCCTCATGTCTTGAGAACATAAAGTATTATTGGACGAAAATAAGTTGGGGTGAAAGATTCAAACTTAAAACTTCTTCCCGAACACCAACCCAAATTGAAAAGTTTAAATTAGTAAAATTTGTTTTTCAACCTAACTCGAAACTTACATGGAATTAAAACGTTGAGTAATTAACAAGCATTCATAAGCGCCACCTTATATAAACAAAGTCAAATTATTTTAAAACACGACTAACCAAATTGACATATTCACATAGCCAAGCAAAGCTTGAACATATCAATTGATAGGTTTGGTAAGAAATAAGAAGTTGCCCCAGTCCCAGACAATAAATAAATAAATAAATGAGAACTCAGTGTTAAAAGTTATAGTTGTCAAACTAACGAGCTATTAATTTAATGATACTTCTCTTTTCAAATAAACGCAACAAATACATAACGAGATTTTAGTTCAGTTAGTAAGTACCACTGACAATCAACGATCACAAATTTCTAACTTAAATAATATATCTCAGAACTTAAAGAAAAAACAAATCTCAGATAGCTACTGATGCATTATAATTTATACTTCCACACAATCTGCCAACGTCTAAGAAATGATCTCGTTATACTAAAGAACAATTTGATCTCAATAATTTGGCTTGCTTCGGCGTTGTCGTCTTCTTTCAGATCAAGTTATTTCCAAGTGAACAAACTTTAAAGTCTCTTTCGGCCAAAATTCAGAAGAAAAAAACTGTAAACTTCTCTACGTCTGAAATGAGCTGTCCAAATCTTTAGCTATAATAAAAAATGAATGAAATACCTAAAATGCAGGAAGTTTGGACAAATTACTTGATGAGCATATGATTCAGACTAACTAGCTCTTGGATTAATTGTATTTATCTCTAATTGATTGGAGTAGGTTTCAGATTTGACCCACATGTGAATAACGGTGATCATATATATACTTGTGACGAGTTCGATAAATTGTGGTGTAACTTTGTTATTGATGTATTGGCATATTATAAAAGTATATTGTAATATCCTATTGTTTGTATATAAAAAAAATCATAAAATTCAGGCTGCCAAAATTGCTATTATAAAAAAAAGAAGAAAAGTTTAGCAATTTTAACAACTAAAGCAACTAAACAAAAGCAAACCCTGGCCCAGATGTGGCGTTGACAGTTTGCCACCCCTGCTTATTATTTTTGAACAAACAAGAACATAAGTTGAGGGGGGTTAGGTAAGCAAGAATCTCAACCACAAAATAATTCACCTTTTAGTCTTTACCTGCAAGTGTATCTTACCACCACCAAAAGAAAAAAAAATCAACAAATTCAGGTACCACATAAGTAGTGACGCTTATCAATTGTCATTTTTACGTGGACAATTGCAGTTAGCTTTAGTATAAGTTTCAGGGTGACACGGTGGTACATGTTTGATTTACACGGGTGCATGGGTGATGGGTGGTTGTTAGCTGTTGACGGGATGTGAGGCCGATCTTTCATTAATAGTTACAACCACTCATAAACCGGGAATCATTTCTCTAATAGAAATTGGAGCAGAGTGGACATAGATTGTGACATTTTATTTATCTCATGTTTGTTGGGTCCTCAGTCTGACGTTTCTATGATATCAACCTGTAATTTTTCGTGGTTGAGAACTCAAGGGCATTCAATCATGAGCACCAAAGTCAAGAAACACTAAATACAATAGGAAGGGCAGATGAGTGTGAAACTCTTGAGTTTTGAGAGCAAGTTCAAGTGATGAATGAGGATGATGCTTTAAAATTTGAAGTTTGAAGTGTTTGGTGTAATAGGGGCCGGCGGACGTGTATGCAAGTCCCACACACATAACAACTAAATACCGCCCATACATAGAAACCAACTAAATACTCCCCATTCATCCAATTCATGACTTAAAAAAAAACTGTTGAAACTAAACTTATGGGGCTCCATTTGGTCCACGGAAAAGATTTGATGGGAAATCAATCTCTATTTATTATTATTTTTTTTATGGGATGAGAAAAAGAAGATTTATTTCCCACTTACGTTTGGTAATACTGAAAAAGTAGCTAAAAAAAATACTATTTTATTTCCTTTCTCATATTTGATTTGTGCAAAGTAAACTGTGGTTGGATAAAATTGTCATCCTAAATTGTTAATGTAGACATGTATACATTAAAATATATATATATATATATACACATGCCCTTCATAAAGGGGATCCCATTTCATTGTTTGTTTATTGAATTTTGCTCGTGTCATGGATTTGAGCAGATTAGCGAAAAAGTGATTGAATTTATGCTTGATCTACATTATGAGCAAAATGATGATAATTTATCGCTTCTTTCTTGCCTTCTCTAATCCAGAAGAATTGGATTTGCATTTGCATCAGTCCTGTTACCATAATGGTGGCCTAGGTTTGAACAAGAACGAAGTACTGATAAAAAGTACCATTAGAGTAGAAGCTAAATGAATCACATATAGGAAGCTACAACAGAAATCAAATATTTATGAGAGAACTGTATGCAAAAAATCCAGAAAAATCTCACAAATCCAGGCTTCTTAGACATGCTCTAGATTGCAGGCTACATGGGTTAGTTAGGCGGTCTCAACTGCATACAATTGTAAAATTGTTGTAATAAAATAAGTTCATACATACAGTTAACAAAACGAAAAATGAAGATCCTGCAAATCTTCGTAACATCTCCAAAATAAAGAGAGTAAATTATGCCATCTACAGAAATGCTACAATGAACATCCAAATGATGAAATGCTTCAAATTTGGTGCAGTGAATAACTAAAAAGGTTCCATTTCAAATCATGGTTTTGTAATATGAAAACGGAATGATTCTTGTACAACGACGAACTGGAGCTCATTTAAGTTCAGAAAACCATTTGTCAGCTAGGGCCCTTTTAAATGACACGGGCATGTCAATTGAACATCCAACGATATCTATCTCTACACACAATACAAATACATCCTAACCACTCCAGGTTAAAATAAAAAAGCAACAAAAGTAGAGAAAAACTGATTACTGAACTTCTGTTTTGTTCAAGAGTTTCTAGTACTTGCGTTTCATTCCGTCCATTAGCAAGACTACTGCTCCAAAGTCCACATCTCAGTCCTGTAACTGTTCAGCTTCTTCAATTTCTTCATCCTCTGGCACCCCACGAAGATAGAGAACATTGTTGCATCTGCAGAGGGAAAGATGAAAAGACCTTTAACTCATTGGAAAACAAATTATGTGGAAGGTTGATGTGAAAATATCCGTAGCTTCAGGGAGGAAACAGGTTGTATTGACTAGAGGAAAATTTAGAACTTGAATAATCTACTATGTTCAACTGTTTGTTACCAAACTCACTAGTAAAATTCCATCTGGTAAAAAGGGAGATTAGAATTCTTCCATAAGACAGAATATATTAGTTCGAGTATTACATCCTTCAAGGAGTTCTTATGTATCCTATATTTAGTTCATTTGCAGCTATACATTACACAGCCATATATCACAGGCTAAAAAGTAAACACAAGGCATGCAAAATGCGAGAGCAACAAGGAATTGACTAATAGCATTTCAACATCCATAAATTTTAGGCTTCTATAGTACAGACCGTAAGACTTGCGCCTGCCACATATTACCGTTTTAGCAGAAGAAAATGCTACATACTCTTGCACCTTTTGAGGACTATGATTAACTCCGATGCATATCTATGGTCCTCAACCTTCCTTACTCTTATTAAATTAACATTGTTCCTTTGCATTATCTCTGTTCATCCTATGGGTTCAACTTTCTTCATCAAGGGTGTTGAGAATTATCTAAAAATATACCTTTCCTTATCTTGGCTTACATCTACAATTCACACCTCTAAATTTGACCAGCAGGGTATAAGAAAACAAAGCACACTTGCTCACAAAGATGACTTCAATACAGTCTGTATAATATGCAAAGCAGAGGTACACGAGGGGCAAAAATGGCACTGGCATTAAGTACTATGTTGTAGATAAAGAGGGTTGGAGCGGGGAGAGAGGGAGATTCATATGCCTACTAATACTACTTGTTCAATGCAGACATGAATCACGATAAACTAGACAACCTCTAATACATTGTTGACCACACCAAACAGAAACTTCAAATCCACTTATGTCATATATGGTCTCTATAAATTATACTACTTGAGATATATGCTTTTCCCAGAATTTTTTTTAAAATTCTCAATGGTAAAAAACTAGAATAAAATGAACAGTAAGAAAAATACAAGGCACATTCAAACATTAGATTTCTAGGGAAGAACACAGTTAAGAAGGTCAAAGAATTAAACTGAACTCACCTGATCAATATCTCTCCAAGATTCCCAGTGGATTGTCCATCGATATATTCTTCAGTGTTTGCCAACTATACATAAGATTTCATATTATTAAACATTGCTACCAGCTTCAGATTTCTAGTCTCACATAGAAAGAAAGGGGAAAAAAGAAGCAAAAAGAATACGCATTTAAAATGTGTAAACAAAAAGAGTTGAAATTTTAAGAGAGCACCTGCAAGTTCATATAGGAATCTACTGAGACAAGAAAACCTGAAAGAATGCATTATCAAACAGAATTAGAAATAATCAAGCACATGCTAAATAGAGTTAAATAGCATGAGGAAGCGAAAGAAAACTATGCCACAATGATAAAATACTTTTCCAGAAAACATAAGCAGTATACCTTTGTACTCCATTCCCCATTTAAGTTTCACGATGACAGTCTTTCCAGTCAGATTGTTCAAGAAAGGTTTTGGGTTAACTGGTATTGTCTGCATTTTACAAAATCCAGAGCATGACATTATGTTCAACAACTGAATTTAATTATACCAGGACAAAAAACATATTTCGTACAGCTTAATGTTCAGATTATTAATCAACTACACTAATCAAATACAGGGCAAGATCCTATTGCAACGATATTCTTGTGCTTTTTTTTCTTTCCCTAGTTCAACATTGTTCTAAGCTTGTAAGAAGCGACCATATTTATAATCTCCCATCAAAAACCAAAACATCATACAATTAATACAAATACACATACTTCCATGTTTCCCACATACCATTTAGCTAGCAGCTCAGAATCCTGGCAAACCACATGTTATACTAGAAAACCCAAAATTATCCCAGAAAATAAATCTCTAAAGGAGCAATATTTGGTTGCAAAGAAACACCTTCCAAAAATCTTGCATTAAGCATCTAAAAACTCTCAAAGAAATCGTATAATTTTTTAGACTGGAAAATTTTGAAACCATTTTGATAAAGACCAGAAAAATATTCCCAGTACAACATACATAATAATTTACGAATACGAATATGCGAGGGAGAAGCATATCTACAAAAGAAATTACTCACAGCCATTGGCGAGAGAGGCAGAGACGAGAGCTTCAGTGGAGCAGAGAACAAAGAGGGTTTTAGGGTTTTTACAATTTGAGCTAGGAATTTTTTTCTTTCTTTCTAGGAGTTGTTGTGTAGGGCACGTGGGTTTTTTTAAAGGGTAAACTAGTGAAATGCCCATTGACTTGTACTTAATTTTCAATTGACCCTCCTTATTCTTTTTTTATTTATAAAAAATTAAGGATATGATTTTTTTTTAGGCCAATGTCCCTATGTTGTATAAAACCTCCTACTCCCACCCCAAAATTTTTTTTTCCTCCAACCTTGTTGACTCATAATTTGAGTCCACAACTTTATTAAATTGTTTAAGAATTATTAACCTATAATTTTTTTTTGTCGTTAATTTTTCTCGACATTATTTTTGTTTCAACATTCGTGATTTAATTTTGTGAACATTTTAACTTAAAAATAAAAACAAGTACAACCCAACTATTGCAATAAAAAAAACCACCTAGCTTTTTTTCAACCGTTGGATTCCAACATCTTTCCCTCTTGAAGTTGCCATGTGTTGTGCAAAAGGGCTGCTAGCCAGACAACTTTGCTGTCACGCGGGGCCCACCTATTTTTCCTCTTCACATGGGTTGCAAAACAGACCTTTGGGCTATACACAAATTAACAGTCCAAGCAAAACTTGGACTGAAATTCCACCACAAATTTCACATTTCTCAAATTTCCACCCCCCAAAATACATGGGTTGGAGAAGAATTTTGGGCTCAAAACTGAAAATTTGGGTTTGCACCCCAATGGTTGGAGATGGTCTTAGAACCCATAACCCAGCCCACAACCCATCCCCCATACATGCATAACCTAACCCTCATTCCCTTTTCGTCTCCCTCATCATCCTCTTTCCCCTTCTTCCCCTTCCATCTCCCTCACACTGCCCTCTGATCTCTCTCTCTCTCTCTCTCTCTCTCTCTCACCCTCTGTTTTACTCTCTACCCAGACCTCCCCCAAGCCCAATGCCACCATACAACCACCCCCATCCCCACCTAAGATCCATCCCCCTAGCCCTTCCCCTTCCGATTACTTCTCCCTATTCCCTCCCTCCTTGGCGGCAACAGACCTCTACTTGTCACGCCCCGGACCCGGAGGTCGGTGAAAACCCCGCGCCTAGTGCGTGAGAAAATAAAAACTAAAATAAAATAAAAAGATGACGAAACATTGGGTTTAAAATAAACTTTTCTTATAAAAATAGATCTAAAATCTTACAAGTTTACAATTAATAAATAAAGCTCTATTACTCTCATCTAATTCAGCCTCAACTGGTTTATCCCTTTTCTTGCCCACTAATTCATCTGAAAAATTAAACAGGATGAGGGGTGAGCAACCACAGCTCAGTAGAGACATGAGACCTTACCACAGTAGATTGATATAACTAAATTAAGTGACATGCAATCACACATAAAAATATCATATGATTAATAATAATGCACGAATGCTCTTCATCTAATCCCGTTAATTCATATAACTGGACAAACAGACCTGTGCGTTCTATACCATGCTTATACCACTTGGTCCCGAATGCCCATTTATATGAACTAATACCCATTTCAACCATCCCATAATTCCCCTTTTGTTAGTCATCTTGTCTAACTCCCCTTCGCTAGTCCCGAATCACCCAATAAAAATCATATGCACTGTGGGATCCCTGAGACTTGGTACCTGCCAAGAGTTAGACTCAACTACCCAAAAGACTATTTCCATTACCCTCTTTTCCATCATTATTTTCTCAAGCCAGCAACTCCAACCAATTACCATGACATGATATAATTATGCCAACATTATTCAAATAGTTTACAATATGTAAATATCCTATATCAAGAACATTATACAATATCACACATAATATAGAGCTCACGAAATTTAATTAGATCAATCTCCGTAAAGGCCCCCAAGAAACCCCTACATCGTTTCCAAAGCTAGTTCCAAATTAAGAAAATACACAAATTGGGACCTCTACTCTTCCATAAACTATATCATCACCAGGGACGGACTCGAGAATCTTATCTCGTATGGTCATAGTGTAAAAGTTCAAATTTTTTTTTAAAGATTAAAATAACATTGAAAATGAAACTATAGTACATTCATTCATAAATCATGTAAAAACAACATTACAAATTACAATTGGCCACGACTAGGTTTCATATTTTGAAAACGTAGTATTATAGCTTCATTTTCAATACAATCAAAAACATCCTTCTCAACGTAAACAAGTAAGCTATCACTCAACCATTGATATCCCATTTTGTTCCGAAGTGGACCTTTGATAATATTCATGACGGAAAATGCCCTTTCGACTGAAGTAGTAGCAACCGGTAAAACTAGAGCCAATGTAATAAGCAAATACACATAATTGAATGCTCGATGCATCCTTGTGTCCACCATTTTTTTTTTGCAAGATCACCAATCCCTTGCAAGTCAGAGAAATCACTACTCAAACGCACATAATGAATATAAAGCTCAAGTTGATCTTCAAGTGCCAAAAGATCCCCATTCGAAAAGTCTTGAGGATAAAATTGAGCAAGATGAAGTAACTTTTGTTTATCAAAAGCTACAAATGAATCATTCGGACTCAAAGATGCCAAACAAATAAGCAACTCAGTATTTACCTCATTAAAACGATCATCTAACTCCGTAAGTTGCTCATCAATGACATAAATAAAGAGCTCCACACGATAATGATGACGATTTGTCTTTATTGGAGCATTACGCCTTGACCTCCCTGGAAGTACGAATGTCTTATCCATGTTAGGAACATCAATATGATGTTTGTCACAAAATGAAGACACCTCTTCAACCAATGCATCAAACCCATTATTCCTCATCCAATGTAGCTTTTCCTTGCATGATTTCATCAAAGCCATTGCATTCACAATTTCTTGATTTTTCTTTTGCAATGCTTATGACACATCATTTGTGAGTCCCAATATAGCTTTCATTAAGAATAAGTGAAACACAAACTGAAAAGTAAGCATTTCCCTTTGAATCTTATTTGCTTCACCGGCACTATCATTGGGATTATCATCAATAATTATTTGAAGCACATGAATCACATATGAAAACATAGAAATGATGCTAATAATGGTACCGTAATGTGAGCTCCATCGTGTGTCACTAGCACGTTTGAGACTTGTTTCTTGATGCAAACCTCGCCCCGTTATAAGACGATCATTTTCAAAAGCTATCACAAGTTCTTCTTGGAGTTGTGGTCTAAGTGCATCACGCCGTTTACAAGATGCTCCAACATGGTTAACCACACTATTAGTGGTTGTGAAGAAAGAGGCAATATCAATATTTTTCTTTGCTACGGCAACAAGTGCTAGTTGAAGTTGATGAGCAAAACAATGAACATAATATGCACAAGGTTGCTCTCTCAAAATCTTTGTTTTAAGGCCATTCAACTCACCTCTCATATTGCTAGCTCCATCATAACCTTGTCCTCGTAACTTGGAAAAGCTCAAACCATTGGAAGAAAAGAATATGTCAATGGCATCCTTTAGTGAACTTGAAGTGGTGTCGGTAACATGTTGAACCCCTACAAACCTTTCAATTACATGCCCTTTGTCGTCCACATAACGCAACACCATAGCCATTTGCTCTTTCACAGAAATATCATGTGTTTCATCCACTAATATAGAAAAGAATCTATCTTTTAAACCACTCATGATAACATCAAGTGTTTCCCCCGCACATGCATTGACAATATCTTTTTGAATCTTTGGAGCTACTAACTTGAGATTCCCCGTAGCATTTTCCAACACAACTTCTTTAACTTTCTCATCATTGTCTGCAAGGAATTGCAATAGCTCCAAGTAATTTCCTTTATTGCTTGAAGTGGCACTTTCATCATTTCCACGAAAAGAAAGATCTTGCCTTAATAGAAACTTAGTGCACTTGATTGATGCAATTAAGCATCTTCGATATGCCACACGAGCTTGTTCAGAGCGTTTGCTCACAGCCGTTTCAATATGTGTATTTTGATTTATCAAATTTGTAGTAGTTTCTCTAGCTTTATTATGAACACTACCAACCGGTCCAACATGCACCTTCATTCTTTCTCTCCCTTTCTTCCAATTCTTAAACCCTGCTCTAGTGAAGGCTTCACTACCCACTTGTTCAAAATTGGATTTAAAGAGATAGCAATAAAGACAAAATGCAGCATCTTTAGATACACTATACTCCAACCAATCAAATTCATCAAACCATTGGGGAATGAAGTGTCGATTAATTCCTGAGATATTACTTTGTGGGAAAGAATGACCTCTAGGTTGACAAGGTCCTTTTTGTAGTTATGCTCTTCGAACCTCATCTCTAATGTTAGTATCATACTTAATCATACGAATTCTTAGTCCCGGGTCTACTTGAAGATTAGCCAAAACCTCATCTAACTCACTTTGTCTTGAACCTGAAGTTCTTGAACTACCGACACTATCCGAACTACCCAATGATGACTTTCTCTTAAAAAATCTTTCCATAATTCTACATAAATTAATCAAAATAATAACTAAAATCAATTAAAGAGAACACTAAATTTATACCAATTAACCACAAACAATTCATAAATGAAACATCCAATAAATCAAAACAATATAATACAATCATAAATTCAATTTCAATTCAAGTAATTTAGTTTTAGAGTTAGAATTTACCTTGAATTGTGAGGTGGTGGAAGCGGAGGCAAGCTTTTGGAAGCGGTGCTGCTGCTAGCAGCGGCGGCAATGGAGGAGTTGAGGTTTAAAGGCTTGGTGGGGGAGAGGGTTAAAGGTTTGTGGGGGGTGAAGATTGAGGATTTAGGTTTGAGGTTTAGGAAATTGGGGTTTTGGAGTGCTGAGGGTCTGTTTTGGTCGAAGAGGGCCTGTTACAATCTTTTTTATTTTATTTTATTTTATTTTAAAAAGACCTAGACCAAAACGACGTCGTTTTGGCTAGGTCTTTTAAAAAAAAATTCGTTGAAGCTGGTCCAAAATGACGACGTTTTGGCCAGCGCGTTTTAAAAAAATTTCGCTGGGTTGGTCCAAAACGACGCCGTTCTGGCTAGCCTGTTTTAAAAAAAAATTAGAAGCTGGGCCAAGACAACGCCGTTTTGGTCAGCTTCTTAAAAATAAAATAAAAACAGAACCCTGTTCAGCTTCTTCTTCCTCACATATGCAGTAGCCTCCTTCAGCCATTCATGGGGTCACACACCCATTTAAAGGGACCTTCTACCTTGCGTTCATGGAGTCCATAGGGTCGTTTGACCCCATTGACCCATTTGTGGGTTCGTCCCTGATCACCACTAGCTTTATCTCTCTCTCTCTCTCTCTCTCTCTCTCTCTCTCTCTCTCTCTCCCAAGAACTCTTACTTTGCATGCGACGCATGCAGTGTGCAACCTCAATTAATATAGAAGGTTTGTGTGTTTTTCACAAGATGCAACGGATAGGCCTATTTATATTAGAAGAAGTCAGTTGCTACTAGCATCTTATTGGTCACATAACTGAAGCAACTATTAAACAATTAAAAGAGATCCTGCATACTTATTCTCCAAGGAATAGAACCTACTTATTCTCCAAGGAAATACAAATATCTACTATATTTAAAGACTAAGTATTTGCATGTGTGTGCATGTGTCAATAGGATGAATTTGGACTAGCCACCTCAAGTTAAAAGGGTTTCCTACATGTTAACTGCTCTACCAAAATTATAGTACTAAGAATGCATGTAAAACCTCCACATGCTAACTCCAAGTCATTGGTTGTTGATAAGGAAAAAGTAACTTGATAAAACACAAACTACATGTACCAAGATAATTATTTATATAAGTTATAAGCTAAATATGTAACAAAATATTTAATTTTATGAAACATAATACATATACATATATATATATATATTAAAAATACAGGGTTTCACACTACTCCCATCCCCCACTCGTAGAACCCATAACCGAGCCCTTAATCTACCCTACAAAGAGAGAGAGAGAGAGAGAGAAGAGAGAGAGAGAGAGAGAGAGTTATTTCCATTTTTCAATATTTATTTATTTATAACATACAAAATGACCATTTTGCCCTTATATTTAATGGCAAATTGGATGAAATGTTGAGGATTTAGATGGAAGGGGGACATAGGCGAGAAAAAAAAAATCGTATCCTTAATTTTCTATGGAAAAAAGGATGGAGGGTCAGTTGAAAGTTACGTACAAGTTCAAGGGGCATTTCACCAATTTACCTTTTTTCAAAACCCAAGGAAATTGGCTATTTTGGGTAACAAGTTAAAATAAGAAAAAACAAACCGCGTGCTTGTTGTTCAACTTGGCTCTAAACGCTCTCTCATCTCAATAGCGCAAGCTAGTGGTAGAGGACAAGTCGGACCGCTTGCCTTTTCTCGGAGTTGCGTCAGCCTTTCGAACATGCGATCGTCTTGTCATCACGGGAAGATGCGTCAGTTAGACTTGTTGGGTGGTGCTGTGTCCATGACGGTGACGGTGGCAATGACGCTGATATTGTTGGGAAACATCATTGTCACGGAAGCTTTAACTTTGCCTTCACCATTTACTAATATGAATTAGAACTCAATTCATGCCTCTGTGTGTGCGAATTTAAGTGATGTTGGAATGAGGGATTTTGTGGATTCTTCTTTGAGGATCTCTTGCTTGGTAAGAATTGTAGTGAGAGGGAAATGGGGAGTGGGTAGACAGAATCAACCTATCAACCTAGAAGCAGCTCCTTATCACTTTCACGTGGTACAACAAAATCTCAGGTCAAGGCAATAGACAAAGACAATACCTCTTCAGCATTCAAATTCAACTTTAATTCACATTAACTGAAAAATCATAAGGGTACTAGGACATTCCAATCCTACAATTCAATGACTTTCCGTTTGGATGAAGGAATTGAAAATTGCATAGAATTCTTAAATAATGAAATTTAGATATCCATCATTTAAATTATGGCAATTAATAATTCCAGTGTTTGGGTTTAGGTATGTCGAATTTTGTTAAAATGACAAAAATTACACTAAAAATGAATTCATACTCAATAGAAATTGTGAAATGACGCCTTTTTTGGCGGAAAATAAACTCGGGAATCTTGATCCCAAATTTCCATGATTTTTCCCGCCGTCATTTAATAAGTTCCATGCTTAAGTTTCCAAACAATGTAAATATCAATTTACCCTATTCAATTCCTGAATTTTAACTAATTCCCGAGTTATTTACCTTCATCCAAATGGAGGGAAATTCGACTGGGAGATTTTAGTTCCCATGCATTTGGCTTCTCTTGGGTTCTTATTTTTATTTTATTTTATTTATCTTATTTATTTAGAGCAACAAGTTTGGGTTCTGTGAATTTTTCTTCCTTCAATTTTTCCCTTGTTCTTTGTTTAAATAAAAATAAAAATTAGGGCTAACCACATAAAAGTACCCAATCTTTGGGGGTCGTTTCAAATTAGTACCTAAAATTTAAAATTTTTCACGTACATAATTATTTAATAAGTTGTGGTCCTTTTTATTTTATTTTATTTTATTTATAATTAATTTTATTTTAAATAAATCGGCCATACTCTTTAAATACATATTGGGGTTCTTTTCTTAATTTTTTTAAAAAATGTTATTTTTAACAATAACCATTATCACATAATCTCAGACAACCTCAACATTGAAATCCTTATTGAGCTTCTTCCAAGGAGGTGAAGAGGATTTCATGGCATCAAGCCAACCATTGGACTGAACTTTATTAAGCTTTCCTTGCTTTTTCTTGAGGATGTATATGTACTTGCGAGAGGAGAATGATGCTCATTGTTGTGAGTATGGCAACAAACCAGAATGGAGGCCTAGTCTTGATTTAGTTCTCAGTGGAGGCGACATGAGAGAAGTACATAGAGGTTGTTGAGTTTCTTTTTATATATAATTTTATATAATTTTGTTATTTGTGTTCATTTTTATTTATTTATTTGTAAACTGAACTTTTTAATTTTTATTAATTTTTAAAGCTTTAATGAAAATTTTAAGTTAATTTAATGGAATTGACAGCAATGGCTAACATAATAGAATATAGGGACTCAATTGGCCAAATTAAAAACACGGGAATTAAATTGGCCAAATGAGTAAAACATAGGAACCATTTTAGCATTTAAGCCTTTAAACGTACTTATGGCTATACTTAATATTTAAAAATGGGGTTTTTAATTGTAGATGTCCCTCAACTTTATCTCTAGTTTCAATTGAGTCCCGCAACTTTTTTTTTAGGCAATTACATCCGTGAACTCCACAAGTAGTTCCAATTGGGTCCTACCGTGATGGTATGTCAATTTGGCCTTCAAAATGAGGGCTAAAAACATCATTTTGAGTTCCTCAACCCTTTCTTCATCTTCTACCTCCTCAACTCCTCACAACCGTAGCCATCACCACCATCACAAGGGCTTTCTCAACCCCTCAACACCATAGCCACCCTTCACCACCACAAGGGCTTTTCGGAGAAACTCTCTAGTGAAGAATCTATTTGCCAAGGTTTTGAAGCTTTGCGTGCGTCAAAGCGTTTGATGAGAAGTGTTAGCCATAAGTTGGGGAGGAAGAATCAGAGACCTAAAGGAGAAGAGAAGGATGATGCGAGGGGAAGTAGGTGCTGACACATGGGATGATTTTGGGAATCCAAGTTACAGAAGGAGGTCAAGTGACAGCGATGAAGGCAAGGGATACAGACGGATACATGGTACCAAGGAATCTGGAAGGGACTGCTTCTCGTGTGAGGTGAGGGAGAAAATTTGAAATAGCTGAATGCACATGTTTCTTCCATATAACATATTGGAACTGTGCTTGGCGTCTGGGGTTGGCTTTGGACGGCTGTGGGAGGAAGATTTTTTTTCAATTTTTCAATTTATATTATTCTACTTTATTAATATTTTAGTTCATATAGATGATTTTGACCCTCAAATTGACAGCCATATTGATAGAAGGTAATAGAATGACTTAATTGGAATAGATGAGAGAGTTGGATGACCTATTTGCCTAAAAAAAAATTCTGGGACTCAATTGAAACTCATGTTAAACTTTAGGACCTCTTGATAGATTCATATTTTGCATATATAATCTATCTCTATTTGCATTGTTTTCGTGGGAAATTGGTTAGTTTAATGTGCTTAATGAGGATTTTGTAGGCAATTATTCATAGCAAGGGTTTGGAGCTAAAATTATGATTTTGGAAGCTTAAGGGATCAAAATGGGTGGAATTATCAACTTAACGAAATCTCAAGAACTCACTGTATCATTTCATCGAACACCTGGAGTGCATATGTGCAAGTGTCAATTTATACCCATAACTGGTCTTAGTGACCAGCGCAAAAAATATAGAGTTAGAGAAATTTACAATTATTTTAGAGCTGAAATCGTGCGAAGACCCATTTAGCGCTTGCTGAGGAGTTGTCGCCGAATGAAGTGTTGACATTTGTTGAAGCATGGGCTGGGCTTTATTAATCATGTTAAGATTCAATATTACCATGGCTATTCAGAATATATTTAATACAACATGACTTCTTGAACCCGCCTCACACACGAACCAAAATTTTCACAGATCCCCTTCTTCGCTGGTTTCATCTGCTGAAAGCTATCATAATTGATGGTTCCTCAACCATTTTGTCTGCTCTTTGTGCTCATCTGAGCCATGGCAGAAGGATAGCCTGAGATTTTTATGGAACTTCCTCGCTTTTCTAAGCGGATAGGATCGTCGGAGGAACTCAGTTCAGTATGCAAAGTCGAGCCTGTTCTGATGGTTGATTCGTCGTCTGAAATTCTCCCGCTTGCACTTGTGCCCATGTTTGTGGGATATGGAAGCTTTTGTGATAAGCTCATGAATCAAGTAAATTTGGCCAAGAATGTGGGTATTGTTGTTGACTCCTTGGATGCAGATTATAATGAGCTTACTGATAATGACGATGTGATGACTTCACGTGGGGATTGAGGACCAAGCATCCAATTCTCTGGTCGTGAGTTGAATAGGCTTTGCCAACTATGGAAGAACGCTCTAATCATCAAACTTTTGGGTAGATCTCATACCTACAATTATCTTCGTGACTGATTGCAACAAAAGTGAAGTCTTAAAGGTGATTGGAAATTAATTGATTTGGTGAATGACTATTTTGTGGGCAAATTTGGAAGATGATCTAAACTTTGTGCTTACTGAGGGCCCTTGGATTATTGCTGGACAGTACTTGACTCTTCAAAAATGGCAACCTGGTTTTTGCCCTGCAGCAGCTCATATAACCCAAATGACGATGTGGATACGAGTTTCTGCCATCGAACTAGAGTGTTTTGATGTATGGGCTCTTGAAAGAACTGGAAATCTACTGGGTAAGCTTCTTAAGATTGATGCTCTCACTACTAGTCAAAAAGAGGTAAATTTGCTAGGTTGTGTGTTGAGCTTGATTTGACTAAGCCTTTGGATGCCTTTGTCCAGATTAATCAAACTTGGTATAATGTTGAATATGAAGGTTTGCCAGATAGGAGGAAGCCTAAAAATGGCTCTAAAGATTTGAATGGGCAGAGTAATGGTCTTAAGCATCAAGCATCTTGGTTTGATGCTATGAGAAAGGTTGTAAATGATTTTGGGCATGACGTTGTGGAAGGTGGTGGTGGTGTTTATTTGCCTCGAGCTCAAGTTGGTGCTCATGCCAATTCTGGACTAAATGAGAAGGTGTGGACTAAATCGAAGAATCCTAAAGTTGGGGCGAGACTTGTTTTACAAGATATCTCAAATAGGAGGGTAGCTTAGAGGCCTAAAGGGGCAGCTGTTAATCCAAGCATGATGGGTGATAAGGGTGATAATTTGGTTAGGATTTTGAATAAAGGTAAAGGGGTGTTTGGTGAAAAGAGGGACTCTCATGGGGGATCTATGAATGACCAACTGGATGATTGGGTAGGGGGTCAAATTTTGCCCAAGGATAAGGGTGTGTATATATTTGGTCATCAACTACCAAATATTGCAAATGAGAATGATAAGCGAGTAGAGGAGATGGTGCCTGATGTGGATAATGTCTCTCTGGCCTCTGCTATGACAGATGGGTGCTATCCTATGGAAGGGATGAACCTTTCTGAAGGTCAAGTTCACACAGAGGGTGAGACAGATGCTAATCATACCTCTAAGTCAGCTGGAGGTATGACCGTTGCTCTTGATTTGTGGGGTAAGTCCTTGGGTGATCCATCTCTTTTATCTTATTTTATGGATATTTTGTGTTGGAATGTTCGTGGTGCAACCTGCATAAAGTTCAAATTTAATATGATGGAGTTAATTCACCTTCATCATATCTTCTTTTTGTCTGTGAGCCTGGGATTAGTGGGAGCAAGGATCTTAAAGTAATCAAATTCTTAGGGTTTTCTGGTTTTGAGGTGTTGGATCCTATTGGTTTTTCTGGTGGTATGTGACTTCTCTGGAACGAAAATAGAATTCGGGTGGAGATTATTGGTACTTCTGATCAAATTATTTCTACTTGCGTTTCCTGGCATGGTCAACAGCCTTGGTTGTTTTCTGGTGTTTATGCTAGCCCTTGTTATGCGAAAAGAGAAAAGTTGTGGGAATACTTGGATTTTATGGCTAGCTGTTATAAGATGCTTTGGCTCCTGGCTGGTGATTTTAATGAAATGCTCAATGTAGATGATAAGGTTAGAAGATCTCATTTATGTAGACTTAAGGAGTTTAAGAAGTGGTTTGATGACCATAGTATGGTTGATTTAGGCTATTTAGGGCCTAAATTTACTTGGAGTAATAAAAGAATCTTTGAAAGACTGAATATAGCTGTGTGTAATACTCAATGGAGGCAATCTTTGTTGATGCCTTTGTTTAGCATCTTCCAAGAACCAAGTCTGATCATTGCCCCATTAAAATTGGTCTCAAATCTCAAATGGTTTCTTGTCCTAATAGTAGACCTTTTAGATTTGAGGCCATGTAGTTGAAGCATGAGCAATTTCAAAATTTTGTGATTCCAAAGTGGGAACAAGGGGTTGGGTCGGCTTTGCATAAATCATGGGGGTTGGTGGAACCTCTTAAGCAGTGGAATTTGACTGTTTTTGGTCATTTAAATCAAAGAAAAGTGAAGCGTCTAGCTCGGCTTAATGGTATTCAGAGGGTGTTGTATCACATGCCTATTAGGTCTCTCAATTAGTTGGAGAAATCTCTTGTTGTGGAGTATAATGATGTTTTGGAGCAAGAGGCCTTATTTTGGCAACATAAGTCAAGGGTAAAATGGCTTCAAGAAGGTGACCGTAATACTAAGTTCTTTCACCTAACCACCATTGTTAGAAGAAGAAGAATAAGAATTGAAAAGCTAAAAAATGACAATGATATGTGGGTAGAGGAGGCTGAGGGTTTAAAAGAGCTTGCTGTGAATTATTTTTTTGGCCTCTTCGCTATGACTCTTAGGGATCACAGTGGTCTTTCCATGCCTAATCTGTTTCCCAGTATCAATGATGTTGATTTGAATGGTTTGGTGGTTCGTGTTGATATCAGTGAAGTCAAGAAAAGTCTCTTCAATCTAGGTGGTCTCAAAGCCCCTGGAGTGGATGAGTTTCCTACATGTTTCTACCAAAATCAGTGGAATATGTGTGGTAATGATATTTACGATATGGTTGTTCAAGCTTTTAGGGAGCGTCACATTGTCAAAGGTTTGAATGCTACTTTGATCACTTTAGTTCATAAATTAGCTAACCTAGTTTCTATGATGCATTTTCGCCTTATTAGCCTATGTTGCACTCTTTATAAAGTTATTTCTAAAGTGATTGTTGCTAGGTTGAGGCCCATTTTGACTAAGCTAATTAGTCCTCATCAAGTGAGTTTTGTTCCTGGTAGGCATATTACAGATAATATCCTAATTGCTTAAGAGATTATGTTTAAATTTTGGAGTATTAAGGGGGAAAAAAGGGTTTATGGCTTGGAAGATTGATTTATCTAAAGCCTATGATCGGTTGAGTTGGAACTTTATCGAGGTTGTTTTGCATGAAGTAGGTCTGCATGCTAGCTTGATTCAGTTGATCATGGAGTGTGTTTCTTCTGTCACCTATCAAGTTTGTGTTAATGGGGAGCTCACCTCAACTTTTACTCCTAGCAATGGTATTAGACAGGGTGATCCACTCTAACCTTATCTTTTTGTACTATGCATTGAAAAGCTCTCTCAGCTCATTGTGGAGGCTGTGGGGAAGCATATATGGAAACGTGTGAAAGCTTCTCAAGCTGGGCATGTTGTTTCCCATTTATTTATTTGCCAATGATTTAATTCTTTTTGCTGAGGCTAGTTCTCACCAAGCAAGAATAATGAAGCAGTGCTTAGACATTTTTTGTAAAGCATCTAGTCAGATTGTCAACTTTGAAAAGTATGCTATATACTGCTCCCTTAATATTAGCAAAGAGGTGGCTACTAATATTAGTTGTATCTATAGTTCACGTCTTACTAAGAACCTAGGCAAATACTTAGGGATGCCTCTATTACACTCTAGGGTGACTAAGGTCACTTATAGCAGTCTTGTGGACAAAGTGCATGCTAGGCTGGCTTCTTGGAAAAGTAACATTCTTTTTTATGCTGGAAGGGCAACTCTTTTTCAAGCTGTCACTTTAGCTATACCAGTGTATGCTATGCAAACATCTAAACTTCCTAGGAGCATTTGTGAGGATTTGGATAAAGTGAATCGCAATTTCTTTTGGGGAGGCAGTGAGAAGAAGCATAAGATTCACTTGTGTCAATGGGATCTTGTGTGTAAACCTAAAAGTAAGGGAGGTTTGGGTTTGAAGAAAACTCATGATATGAATCAAGCTCTCCTAGCTAAAGTTGGCTGGAGATTATTGAGGAAGGATGAGGGGTTGTGGGCCCAAATTTTTGAAAAGAAATATATTAAGAGGCATTCCTTTTGTGAGCCTAATATGGTTCCAAAACAAAATTATTCTCCTACCTGGAAGGGGACTATGTTTGGTGCTCAGTTGCTTGACAAAAGGTTAATTTGGAGGCTCGGGAAAGGCGATAAGGTTAAGTTTTGGAGAGATAAATGGATTAGTGATGTGCCTCTGATGCAGACAGTGGATCTTGCTCATGATCTCAATTCGAATTCCCTTGTTTCTGATTTTTTTGTGAATGGTTGGTGGGATGTGGAGAAGTTGAGGAGTGTTCTTCCAGAGGAATGGGTCCAAAAAGTTATTGGTTGTTCAACTGATTTTCAGGGCATTTTGGAGGATTGTCAGATCTGGAAACCTACTTCTAATGGGTTTTTCTCTGTCAAGTCTGCTTACAGCTTGCTTTTTCAGGGGGCAAATTGGCTAAATCCTTGGTGGAGAGCTCTATGGAAGCTTCGAATCCCTCCTAAACTCCAAATTTTCTTTTGGTTGGTTTTTCAGGAGAAAATTCTCTCTAATGAGCAGCGAGTTCGAAGGCATCTTGTTGGGAATTGTGCTTGCGATTACTATAAGTGGTCTATTGAATCTACTTTGCATATCTTAAGAGATTGTTCTAGAGCTAGAAAGGTCTGGGATCTCTTTATGAATTCTATGCAAGCTTTGCCTTTTTTCCAAACTGATTTTCATCCTTGGTTGTTAAGCAATTTGTGTTCTAAGGCTCACTTTGCTCATATTCCATGGAGAATTATGTTTGTTTTTATATGCTGATATATTTGGAAATGGAGAAATGAATTTATTTTTAAAGATGAAACTGATTTGCCTTTTAACCCTAGAGATTTGATTTTTACTACTGCAAAGGATTGGTTTCAGGCCATTGTTGGTATTAATAGTGGAACTAATAAGGTGCAAGTGTTGTTGGCTTGCGTCCTTCCTGAAATTGGTGTGGTCAAGTTAAATATAGATGGGTCTCGCAGGGTCAGTACTGGTGCCATTGGTGCTAAAGGGGTCTTAAGAGATCATTTGGGTCAATGGATTGGTGGCTTTGCTGTCAATTTAGGCCAGGGAGAAGTGCTTGAAGCTGAGTTGTGGGGTCTGTTTTTTGGGTTGAATTTGGCTGTTGAGAAAAAAGTAGTTATTGTTATTGAGATGGATTCTGATACTGTTGTGCTTCTTATTTAGAGTAAGGTTTTGAATGCTTGTCAGCCTAATGCTGGGTTGGTCAGCAGCTGTAAAAGGCTTGTGAATCTGTTTCAAAGGATCAAGCTTCAACATATCTATAGAGAGAGGAATGATGTAGCTGATGGGTTGGCTACTTGGAGTCACAATCTGGACCTGGGCTGTTACTACTTGGTTGTTTATTGCTTAATGATTCTTTGGGAGCTGTTAAGGCTCGCCTGATTAGTACTAGTTAGTTGTTGTGTTGGTGTTTTGGGGTTTCTCCCCTTTTTCTTCATATATATATATATATATATATATATATATATTACTATGGCTAGGCTTTCTTTGCCGCGTCACTTTTTCTCCCGACCGATAAAAGAAGAGCAGCCTTAGACTTGTAAAAGAATTAAAAGAGTCTCAGCCGCTCATTTTCTCCTTTTCCAATTAGGACTTTCCCTTTATTCCTATTATTTCCATTAGTTTCCTATTGTCCCTCTATTTCCCAATTATTCTCTACAAATATATATCCCTTATTTCTGGAGGATTCCCTTAGCCTATAAATACAAAGCTTTAACCTAAGAGCCAAACCATCTTGATACCATATACTTTTTCACCATATTTCAAGACACCAACAAAAATATCAAAGAAAGTGCCAAGAGTTTGTTGCTGTGGTGCTTTTGGAGCTTACGAAGGTATTGCTATGGAGAATCAAGAGATCAAATCCATCGGCCAAATCAGTTTTATGACAATAATTTCCTTGTTTATCTTTTCTTTTTTCATGAACTAATTTTCCTTGCTAGGGCTACGATGTAGCTTAACCGTGAATACTTAATTTTTATAGTTATATTAATTTCTTCTTACTATTCCATGTTGAGTATTTGTTACTGTTCTTAATGCTTTAAATATCTAGCTAATATTTAATTGATAAACCAAATAGAGACGGAGAGAAGATGTTTGGTGTTTGCTTCTCATAACAAATATCATGTCTTGAACAAGTGCCCGAGAGGGACTAACATGACACATGTAGTTTTTTTTTAGGTTCTCATAAAACTTAATGGGTTCTTAATTTTCTAAATTCGTTGCTCGAGAGAGAATGAATTGTTAATTGAGAATATTTTTTATTGAGCCTGAGAGGGGATATTGAATGAATTAGGAGAAACCAACTGTCAACATGGGTAGTAATTAGGGTTATTTGGTTACAAGAATTAAGTGGAATTGGTTAGGGTGAAATCAGGTGCTCTAGTGTCTTATCAACTTGATTTTTCACCGTTAATTAAATTGCTATTTTTCATATTTGTTTTAACTTAGTTTAATAAATCAATCACTCTTATTAATTAATTGTTCAAATAAACTTATGATGGGATGTTGTTTTAAGGGTTTTGTGATTGGGGTTTAGGTTGGTTTGTTTCGTTAAGTTGTTTGACTATTTTGTTTAGTCAATAGCATGGGTAATACTCTTTCCTACCCCGGAATTTTATTTATCTATGAAGGTTTTAATTAGGCCGCCGTTAACATGCTAGGTCTTACCATGTAATGTTCCTTTTGGTTTAATGAAATACCATCTTTTCTATAAATAAATAAATAAATAACTTCTGAATTAATCATAATTGGTACTTAAAAGGAAATTACAATTTTCGTAGGAACGACACTTTACTTATCTCTATATTATTTGGGCGGGTTGTACGTTTACAATAATTTCACGAGTAATGCTACACTTACCACATTTTATCCCACATTTCTATACCACATGATGTGGTATATCCATATCATATGTCACATCAATTAAATGAATGAAGTGTATTTTAATAAGGGTAATGCTAGGCTTACCACATTTTTCGTACCACAATTGTACCACCTCTTTAATAAAGGTGGAGCCCACCAATACAATGGGGCCCACCTCTATTAGAGAGGTGGTACAATTGTGGTATGAAAAATGTGGTAAGCCTAACATTTTCCTTTTAATAAATAAAATTAGAAAACAGAAACTAGTATGTTACATGATGTGGTATGTACACATCAGTTGCCACATCATGTGGTATGAAATTGTGTTACGAAAATGTGATAAGACTAGTATTATTCTAATTTCACACCACCTCTACAGTTAAAAGCCCTTAAAAATGAGTTAATAAGGGACATAATGGTCTTTTGATAGAAACATCACTTCCATTTGATGCGTGGCTTCCGACCATCCGAGAGTCAAAAGTAGCGAGCCGTTCGGCGACCGTAGCGCGGTCGTCACCAAAGCCCATGCATTTCAATTTACAAGATCCATTGTTTATTTTTGCATTATTTTATTTTGTATTTTAATTATTTATTTACTGTCTTTTTACAGCTTCAGCTTGCTTTTTCTTCACGCATTTTTATCACCATCCCAATACAATTATTATTTTATAAAATTAAAAAAAATTATTCATGACAGCACCTACCATGCACATATATAAATGCAAAAAACAGAAATTAAATATTAAAGAAATGTGCAAGAATGGAGACATACGCACACACCCCTCCTTTGCTTTCACAAGCAAACATCCCTCACACTTTCTCACCCTACGTTTGTTTTCGTAAGCCACTTGTGCTGGATTTCATAATTCTGTATTTTTTTGGTTGGTTAATAAAAAAACAGGTTTTGCCCCCTTCCCTATAAATCAGATCAAAGAGAGAGCTCATGGCAAGTGCCGAGTGAAGTGGATAAACATAAATAGGGGGTGAGTTTCTAGCTCATACTTACGAGTAGTTCAACGTATAATATGTATTGATTATTACTTAATTAATGGTACCTTGTGTAGAAAACCAAAACGGTGTGGTTGAACACGGAAAGCGTTATATGGAATGTGACCGTGACATCTCAATGTGGGTGTTACTTTTTCACATAAATTATAATACGTAGTGAAAACTAAATATTGAATTTATACCTTTATATGTAATAATATTAATGAATATACACATATACGCAAAGGTCGCTATATTAGCATGTCACACCCATTAACCACTTGTCGTTTTTATTCAATTTTAGACAATGCTAGATAACCGAAACTTTTATTTATTTTGATTATTGTTGGAATTAAGACTTTTATACTCAATCATGGATAATTATTAATTTTGAACTATAAAGTTTGGTTTCATAAGGACCAACAATAAAGATTTGGGACATTTTAGAAAAAGCAAAAGGAGAGAGAAAAATTTTAAAAGAAGCAAAAATGGACAAAAATGCCCTTATTTATTTTTAGATTTCCTAAGGAATCCAATACATTTGCATGTCTTCGATTTGAAAGTTGAGCGGTTTTTTTGTCTTTTTTGAAAAAGCTTTGGCTTTTTCCAAAAGTGAAAATTTTTTTATGTCTAAAACCTAAAAAACCTTATATATATATATTACCTAAAGGGAGCCCAATTTTCAACTTACGAATTTTACAGGACCTGCCTTGAAATATAGATCTCGCCTAGCTAATTGCATAGGCAAGTCCACCTAAATTCTAATTTCTCCAACTATTTGATATTCAATAATATGGTTAGTAATAGTAAGTATATAGTACACATATATGTACATCAATTTTATTGATGAAGTATTCACCACGTGCCCTTAAATGAGATACTATTTCAGTGTGACAGTTACACCGTCATGTGGTGTTACTTCATTCAAATGTTAACACATGTATTTCTTGTCATCCATCTATTTTTTAACATGTGAATTTACATCACACGATGGGATGACAGTAACACTCAAAAGTTTCTCCATTAAATAGCTTTGAGAAAACAATGGAAAGCACTCTCCAAGTTGAACCCGGTTCCAGACACCTAACAGAATTGATCACTCCCGACATTTGTGCTTCTCTCCTCTCTCTCTCTCTCTCTCTCTCTCTCTCTCTCTCCTAACTCTTCTATTTAACACCCCACACTCCAAGTTTTACACCATCCTCTTTTCAAAACCCACCAAACACCAAGCCCCTTCTCATCAGTTTCCTCAATGAATTCCTTTCTCTCCCTAACAAAATAAATCCCACCAAAAAGACCAAACCCTTTTCACTTCCAAAGCTAGCTAGCTCGCTCCCTCTCTCTCTCTCTCTCAAAAGTATCAAAGTATATTAGAGACACAAAACATAAAATCATTACAGTGTGAAGAGATCGACTAAAACCATGAATGTTTTTGAACCGCAGAGACAAGACTCCCTGAAAAGGAGGTGGCAGGAGAGGAGGCAGCAACTTGGTGGTGGTGGTGGTGCAATTACTCTACCTTCTTCTCATTTGATCAGAAACCCTAACGGTGCTAGTCTCCACAGCTTCCCGGCACTTCTTGATGATGATCTGGTTTCCACGATGGTCCCTCCGGTCACCGTCGTCCTTGAAGGCCGTTCTATCTGCCAGCGCATTAGTCTCCAGAAGCATGCAAGTTACCAAAGTCTTGCGAAGGCCCTACGCCAAATGTTCGTGGATGGTAGCGATGTGGGGGCTGTTAATGACAAGGACCTTGATCTTTCAAATGCTGTTCCTGGTCATGTGATTGCTTATGAAGACATGGAAAATGATCTCCTTCTTGCCGGTGACCTTAATTGGAAGTGAGTTCTAAATACTCTCTTTCTTTTGCCTTTAATTTGACAAATTCATAAATGATACAAAGTTTTAAGGTCATGATACGAGAGTAATTTTCTTCTATCTAACATATTATGTAGTTAGACTGTGAATTTAAATCACACATTTCGACAATAATTTACTTTAATCGATGATTCGATTATTAACATCCTATTTGTGTTGCTCTTAATTTGATTCTCTCTGATGATCTATTCATGTGTGCGTGTGGTTGTTATAGGGATTTTGTACGCGTTGCCAAGAGAATTCGGATACTACCATCCAAGGGAAATTCAAGGAGGGGAAGAAGGGGTGCATAGCTAGCGTATGCTGGAATTTGGCATTTTGCAGATGGTGTTGGCAAGAAAGTCAAGGAAGTTATATATACAAGTCATAAACGAGAAACTTGTGTCTCTTGGAAACATGGATTTTAATGTCATATATAGCTAGCTACTTCTTGGAATCATATGTACTTTTCCCAATGAAATGTAAAGCATGCTCACTTATTTCCTTATAATTTTATGAATAAAAAACCTTTTTCTCATATAGATTGTCTCACATCCTTGAATTTTCTTCCTTGTTCCATCCGGCTATGTGTTTTGTGTTCACTTTAATTTCCCCAGCATGAAGGAACACACCGACATAGCTAGTTTGATAGAAAGCTAGCTTCAAGGAGAAGCTACTTTCTCCTTTTTGAAGTTAGGTTCGATCTATTCTAGGTACATTACCAGCATGGCACAAAATTGGCTAACTAGTTAGAGATTCATAATACACAAGCATGTTCCTCAATGGGATATTAATTAAGGGCCCGTGCTCGTTTGATAATCATTTCAGTCTTTAATTTTTAATTTTCATTTTTAAGAAATTGAAAATAGGAAACTTGTTTGGTAACCAATTTTAGTTTTAAAAAAAAATTGAAAACTAAAGTTGTTTGGTAACTCTTTTCAATTTTCAGTTTTATGTGGAACTTAGAAAGAAATTTTTTTTGGGGTCAAATTGTGAATTTGATATCATAGAATGAAAGTGCATGTTTCAAAGTGTTTGTAGTTTTTTTTTTTAATTTTTTTAATTTTTAATTTTTTAAATGTGATTTGTTTGGAGTTAGGGTGATTTTTGTGGTGAATTTTGGATCTACAGGTCCCGAGGCCTGGACCGGGTTCGCAGTCAAACTCAACAATCGGGCAGACAGGTCCAAGTTGGAAGGTCCCAAATACTGAGTTTCAATAACTGGAGTGCATTGCATGTGTAATGATGTAAAATTAGTGAATCATAAAGGATTGCAAAATAATGAAAATAAAAACTGAAAAGACTTTCAAGTCGTTTAAAAAAAATTAAGAGTGATGTTGAAAACTATATTTCACTTTTTTGAAAACTTCAAACAAAATCTGTTACCAAATATGTTTTTAGTTTTTCAGTTTTCAAAAAAAGTGAAAATGAAAATGAAGTGGTTATCAAAGAACCCCTAGGGCCCGTTTGATAACCATTTCAATTATAGTTTTTAGTTTTCATTTTTTATGCTAGAGTATAGAGGAAAATGAGAGTGAGAATGGAAGTGAGGATGAGATTGAGAGAGAGGATGAGAGGGAGTAACAAAAGTGAAAACAAAATCTTGAAAGTGAAAATAATTTGAAATAGATTTCAGTTTTTAGTTTTTGTTTTCACTTTTGTTACTCTTCCTTCCCATTGTCTCCTCTCATCTCCCCTCTCAATCTCATCTCCACTCTTATTCTCACTTGCATTCTCCCTCTTTTTCCTTTATACTCTAGTACAAAAAATGAAAAATGAAAACTAAAAACTAAAATTGAAATATGGTTATGAAACGGCCCTAAGTAATCTCTTTTGCAAAAACCCTTGCCACAAAGAAAAATGTTCTTTCTCTGAGCCCCAAAGGAAAAGACCAAGGAGGAAGAAGAAGCGCCTATGCTTTCCCTTCTCTACCGTCCGCTTCTTTACCTTGTTTTGGGTTAGTGAATAACAAGTCCCCTTATTAAATAGCAAGCCCTTGCGTGGTTATTTAGTGCCATCCATGCTCAGATCTCAATGGCATTGGAGGCATCTAGGGTTTTCAAAATGTAATAACGTAATTTGTTTGTGAGGTTAAATAAAATTTTCTTTGTGGTAGATATATAATTGAATATCAATTTCTCCAGAAACATATATACCTTCTGGATATGTACGTTCGTAAGAAGCTAGCTGTATAAAACTTGCATAGCCTTATCCTTAATTTGTCTTAAAATCTAAATTAAACTATAATGAAATAAATTACGTCGTTAATTAGTTTTTATTTGTTACTGATTCTGTGAAGACCGGAAAAACTTTAAGCTTACAGTACGATATTTATTCTTAATATAGTCATTGGATTAAAAAAGAAAAAGGTAATATAGTTATAAGACATTTAACAAGCAAGCTCTCAATGGGTGTCTAGGTTTTTGTCTGAAGATGTCTTAAATTTGAATCCCCTTAAATCCTCAATTTGATTAAAAAAAAATTAAAATATGTAGTTAATTGGTGGATTATATTGATTGATATAATTGAAAAATTAAACAAACTTTGTTTTACATTCCTATGCAAACCAAACATGTGAAAGGAAATAAAATGGTATTTCCTAATTACTTTCCCAGCATTACTTAACATGAGAAAAAAAATATTTCATTTCTTATTCTTTAAAAGAGACATGAAAAATCTTTTTCGCGAACCAAACGGGGGTTTAGGTGTAGGATTTGATTATGCCTTAGATTGGACATTTCCTTTTGGGTGGCCCCAACACACAGAAAAATTCATGTTGTAATTAGTATCTAGCTAGATTGAACCTCGCTAATTAAATAACGTAACATAAATTGTAGGCAAACAGTAAAGTAGGTAGAAGTAGCCTTTCCACGTTGTATTCGATTTAAATTTGTCAGTTGTCTGGTCCTTAATGGTATATACAGTATAATTAGCTCTTCATTCTATAAATGATCTTAAATTCTCAATCTCCAACAAGTGGCATCATCGACATCTATGGTGTCTTTGGTGGGGAACAAAATTAAACAATTGAAAATGCGAAGGAAGAAAAGTTTGAATCAAATTGGAGCATTGTGTTGTAATAAGAAAAACAAACCAAAAGGGATGGTGGTTTCATATTCTGTATTTAAATTCATTCACATGCATTAGTAGTGGTGGCAATTTTCACCCGATACACAATTCAAAATCCACACAGAAAATTAGCAATTTAATCTGCATGATTAAATTTTTAGGTTATTTTTGGGTCAACCAGCCATGACTTGTTTAATAAACGGCTGAATTTTAGGTCAACCCGCTAAAATACATATATAACCCGTTTATTAAATGAGTAGTGTCAACCTGTGAAATACACATAACTCGTTTATTAGTTCTTCTTCATTTTCTTCATTTTTTTAATTTCTCTTCCTCAATCATCATACACAAAGAGGCAAAATATAATCATTATTATTTTTATATAAAAATTTGAAAAATTGCAAAGTGCAATTACTTGATTAAATTATCCAAATTCAAGTTTTTAACTGTTTTTTTTTTATGACCTTGTGAATTTGAGATGTGCGCCTTTGTTTGTTTGTTTGTTTGTTTGTTTTTTTAATTCCTTCTTTTTATTTGTTTTTACTTATTCCCAATACTCAATTAACCAAGTGATACTTGTAAGTCGTTTGGGCCATGCACACATCTGGGAGAATATAAACTAGATGTATGTCATCAATTCAAATCAATTTATTGCAAGGCTTTAGAAAAAAAAAATATTATTTGATAATGATAAGAATTCTTTTTTTGTTAAATTATGATAAGAAATCAAATATAGCAATCCTAATAATTTGTTAAACATGTTATTAACCAACTAGCATGTTTAAAAACCTGTTTAAAATGACTCGAACTAGACACGACACGTTCATTAAATGGGTCGGGTTTGAGTTGAGCATTTTTGACACGACACAATTCATTGTCAGCCCTAACTCAGAGCGTGACTTGGCTGACTAAACTAGAGAGATTGGTTCCCTTGTTTATTTGTTTTGTATTATTATTATTATTATTATTATTATTTTGTAAATCAAAGGGAGGGTTCAAACTTGAGACATCTTTCAAAATTGAGAAGAAAAATACTACCATATTGAAGAAATCAAATTTTATGACGATTCAATTGTTTGAGAGAATGAGATAGATTAAATTAATGATTAACTACTTAAAACCTCTCCAAATTACTTTCCCAGCATTACCAAACATGGGAAGAAAAAAAATTCTATTTTTCATTCTTTGGGAAAGACATGAGAAATTTTTTCTCATCAAATTTTTTTCGCGAACGAAACGGAGCTTGAGGGTGTAGGGGTTTTTTTGGGTTTCATAGAGAATGTGGTACCAACCATCGAACCCAGGACCACTAGGAGTTAGTGTAAGTGCACTCAACCACAAGGGCAGGTTGAAGGCCAGTTAGGGTGTAGGGTTTGCTTATGCCTTAGATTGGACCTTTCTTTTTTGGTGGCCCCAACACACGCAGAAAAAATCATGTTGTAATTAGTATCTAGCTAGATTGAACCTCGCTAATTAAATAAAGTAACATCAATTGTAGGCAAACAGTAAAGTAGGTAGAAATAGCCTTTCCACATTGTACTCTTATTTAAATTTGTCGGTTGTCTGGTCCTTAATACCATTACACAGTATAATTAGCACTTCATTCTATAAATGATCTTAAATTCTCAATCAAATCCAACAAGTGGCATCATCGACATCAATGGTGTCTTTGGTTGGGAACAAAATTAAACAATTGAAAACGCGAAGGATGAAAAGTTTGTATCAAATAGGGGCATTGTGCTGTAATAAGAAAAACAAACCAAAAGGGCTGCTGGTTTCATATTCTGTATTTAAAATCATTCACATGCATTGACACTCATAGTAGTGGTGGCAATTTCTGATACTGATTCAATACATGATTCGAAACTCACATGAAAAATTAGCGATTTAATCTGCATGATTAAAATTGTGGGTATTTTTGAGTCAACTAGCCATTACCTTTAATACACGGCTGAATTTCAGGTCAATATGTTAAAATACATATATAACCCGTTTATTAAACGGGTCATGTCAACCTATGAAATACACATAACTCGTTTATTTAGTTCTTCTTCATTTTCTTCATTTTTTTAATTTATCTTCCTCAATCATCATACATACGGAGAGGCAAAATATAATCACTATTTTTTTTTATAAAAATTAAAAAAATTGCAAAGTGCAATTACTTGATTAAATTATCCAAATTCAAGTTTTTTACTTGTTTTTATTTTTATTTTTATTTTTATGACCCTGTGAATTTGAGATGTGGGTCTTTGTGGTTTATTTGGTACACCGTATTAGACTCTGGATAAAAGTAAATAGTCCATGTCAGGTGTTTGGTGTCAACTTGTATTATTTAATTACCTTACTATTTAAACGGGTTGAGCTTTTAATACTCTCCTTACCTAACTAATTAATACGACCCACACACCCTGGTTTAGATAACACACGCTTAATTATATAACTACGGAAAAAGAACACACACGTTCATGTGAAAAATCCGACGACGCTATTTTCATCTTCTTCTCCCTAGAGTTCTTCTCCGCTATCTTCTCCAAGGTTATTCTCTTCACTCTTCACTCTTCTCTAGGTATCCATCTCTCTCTCTCTCTCTCTCTCTTCCATTTCTTTATAGATTTCCTCTTTTATTTAATTTTTGTGGAAATTAGGTTATGAGTTTTTCCTTTTTGACATTTTTTCTTGCTGTATTGGAACAATACATGTGACTGTGTATCCAACTCAATAATTAAATAATCAAATTATCATCATGCGGCTGTGTATCCAACTCAATACATGTTGCTGAGTTTTTCTTGCCTTAAAATAAATAAATATATATATATATGTATGAGATACTACAATTATGATAATGGGTTATATGAAAAAAAAAATCTTGGCAAAAACAATTGAAAAACAAATCTTGTCATATGAATCTTATCAAAAAAATTTCGCGTCATTTGAATTTCAATTTCCACTTAAATTATCAAAGAATTTTTTGTAAAAAAATAGTATGATCCGATGTTATTTGGAATAGCACCATACACAGTATAACTTAGTTAGATTATTTATCCAGAACATCACCAAACGCCTTATAATATTATGGATAAACAGTCAGTATTCTCTGGAATATATTCATACTATCCGACATAAATTAGTCAGTACAGTTTGACGTACCAAACGAGCCCTTGTTATTTTTTTATTCCTTCTTTTTATTTATTTTTACTTATTCCCAATACTCAATTATCCAAGTGATTCTTGTAAGTTGTATGGGCCATGATGATGCACACATCTGGGAGAATATAAACTAGATGCATGTCATCAATTCAAGTCAATTTATTGCAAGGCTTTAGAAAAAAAAATTATTATTTGGTTATGATTAAAAAAAAATTGTTAAATTATGATAAGAAATCAAATATAGCAATCCTAATAATTTGTTAAACATGTTACTAACCAGCTATCATCCTGTTTAACATGACTCGAACTAGACATGACACGTTTATTAAATGGGTCAGATTTGAGTTGAGCATTCTTGACACGTTTATGATCCTGACACAACACGATCCATTGCTAGTCCTAACTCAGAGCGTGACTTGGTTGACTAAACTAGAGAGATTGATTCACTTGCTTATTTTGTTTTGTGTTATTATTATTATTATTTTATAAATTAAAGGGAGGATTCAAACTTGAGAAGAAAAATAATACCATATTGAAGAAATTCAAATTTTATGATGATTCAATTGTTTGAGAGAATGAGATAGATGAAATTAAGGGTTAACTACTTAAAACCCCTCCAAATTTTAGGAGTCATTTCAAATTGATACTAATGGACGTTAGTCTGACTAACGGATGTACATTTGTTATGTTTATTTTTTGGCTCAAAGACTAACGAATGTACTTGGGTGTAGAGTTTTCGTGAATTTGTGAGTTAGTGGAGTATCCAATTTAAAATGACCTCCAAAGTTTATGCAGTTAACCCTAAAATTAATCACTGGATATCATTTTTGCTAAATCCAAAGGCATAATGTTGTCTACAAATATGGTGCTCATCTAATCCCAAGTAAGGCAAAACCCCGTGCTTCCTGACGACCCTTGACATTAAGGCTTTGCATGACCAGCGAAATTCAGCATCAACCAGTCAGTGACTCAGTGACTCAGTGGTAGCAACCACCATGCATGTAGGCTTTTAAATGTGTGGCCCATCCTAGGTCCTAAAAGCCTTAATTTTAATCTTGTCAATTTAAATGCTCAACTACCAACTTAATCTAAAATCAGTGAAAAACCATATAAAAGAAATCATGAATCATGGTTGTCAATCTTTTCTGGATTAAAAAAAGAAAAAGAAAAAATGATGCTTGTTGGAGGCTGACATGTAAAGCAAACTATTTCAACCAACTTCCACAATGGCAACATGAGCCTCTTCAATGGAGTCCATGTGTAGGGTTCTATTTTTTTTAGTACAAACGATTCGGGGAGGGGAGTTTACACAAATATTCTTTCCGTAGGGGTTCTATTTTTATCAAGCAAATTTAAGATGAACAAATATCCCACTTAATATACTCCCAAATTTAGCCTATCATTTTCAACAATCCTCTTGATCAATCCTGACCATCTATCATGTTCAATCACGCCTCAACTTAATGATCTTGTTGTTGCAACAACTTCAAGAAGAATCCCATACACATAATATGTCTAAAGCTAAACATTCACTTCTATGATATAAGAGAAAAGCCCACTTAATCCTCTACCGAAGTTACATTGTTAAGTGACAATTGCATTCATAACCTCTGAATTTCCTTTCAGCGAATTGGCCTCAATTTACAACTTACCTAAAGTAGTACAAAAGGTTTGCATAATATCAATATTTTATTTCAGCAATTCAACTCCTAACCAAAATGCTGCGAAGCGTTCTACGAAATAATTTCTGACCAAATGCTGTTGATGCAGGTGCACTTATGTATCATCTGTCAAAAGCTCTAACATGTAAAGCTACTGATAAGAAACAGCAAGGATTTTTAAACAGACAATTCAATAATCACTGTTTGAAGTGGCTGACCAGTTTTAGAATAACGTAAGAATGATATTCTGGCAAAAACCATCAAGGTGTGCCTTCAATTCTAATCAATAAAAGTTGCTTGTTTCCAACCTATTGCAGCATAAATATGCCACAAAGCATAGTTTAGCTCGCTGGATTTTCAAATGGAGGAAGACCCCAATCATTTGGGTTTAAATCCAACAGGGATTTCAGAACTTGGTCTGCAATATCATAAAAAGAGCTGTCCAGCCTTGGATCTGGAACCATGACAACCGACCTGCACAGAGTGTGATTACAATATTAGCAACCCAACTCAAAATGTTCAATTGAATAAAAAAGTCGGTGTTTTGTAGATGTTATAAATATAATCTTGGCATGCAGATACCGTAGACAGTTCAATGTTGCAGCACAAAAGCAGAGAACAAATATTCAAAACAACATAAAGGTCAGACGACCTCTATTGGAGGTCATTAAGTTGGGATGCCACCAAGAACAAGCCATAAAAACCATTAGATTCTAATGAAGAGGTGACTCAAGGTAGGGCACTAGTAGAGAAGGCAAATTACCTATTTGGTGCAGGGGTCTTTCCGGTTCAATTGGGAACAAGCAACAAATGCATATTTTGAATTTTGTTTGCAAGCAGAACTTCTCTACTTTAAAGCATTCATTTCAGTACTACAGATTCATTATGTCCTTCCATTTCTGAATGCATATTACCCATCTATTACTGATTCAAACAGTTAAGAATCAAAAACTCATTTCCGTGCCAAAGGAAAGAAGGCCTCTTTCAAAGACGTTAGGAAACGTTTCTAGCCCTTCCATTAGTGGTTAAGCCTACAAGACTGCAATCCAATTCTGCCTATGGCTCAAGTTCTTTGGTTTCATGGCAATATGATCAGTGGCTGGGGCACAAGCATGTAGGCTCAACCCCCCTTTGGTTTGAAAGAGTGGCATAATCAGATCTTCAGGCTAAACTCTAGACATGTACTACTATATTTCACATTCAGTTTATAAACTTCATTGTCCTTCTTTAACGATTGTATTCAATCATTCTAATATTGAGGTCAAAATTAACATGACATATAATGTTTAGTTTTCTCCCAAGTAGGCGAGTCCACTTTGCAATACTTCAAAACAAATCCCCCACTGTCTCGCTAAAAAATTCTTTATATATTCAATGTTCTATTCTACAAAAGATAAACATGTATCACATCCTTTCATTTGTGAAATTATTAATGCCTAGATAATTACAGACAGATAAGAATGTCACCGACTGTTTACCAAGCATTTAGCCAATAGGTGTCCTTTCGATGTCTGGCAACCAACCACACCAGCAAATGTACACAGGTCTATAGCAAAAATATCATTGATTTAACAACTTGTTTTTAATTTTTGTACTGACATTATCAATCAACCTTCAACATCTGAATCAAATTTGGAGATTTTTCCAAAAGTTGGCAAATATGAATGAATTATTATGATAGGTAAACTGCCGTTTTGCCCCCTGATTTTACCCAAGTATCAAATTGGGGCATAAAACTTTTCTTTTTCAGCCAATTTGAATTACTAACTTTTTTAAATCACCAATTTGAGGTCAACCGTCAGATTTTGTAAGCTCCATCCAATTTGCGTCAAAAGAGATGTCATGTACTGGGCATGTGAGTCACTTTTTAATGGCAATTTAGTCAGTTTATGGTAAAATAATAATTCCAAAAAAAAAATTAGGATTTGAAAAGGAAAAAGAAAAAAAGAAAAACGGCCCAGCTCCTCCGTCACCCATTTTCCCCGCAACTCATGCTGCAACTCCTTCCTTTTGTACTACTACTCAATAGCCTGGCCAACAACATCTACAAGCCCTCTTCCAGATCCCATTGAATCCAGAAATTTCATAGAGGAATAGCATGACTGTGGAAGCCTTTCTTCCCCAAATATCAGCCTTCCCTGTCCATAAATTACTCCATCCGATATCTCCTCTGAGTTCTCTCTCATCCCTCTTTGTATCCAAAGATCAAACACATTGCAAGAAACATCAATACTAGCAACAGAAAAAACAGCAGTCCAGGCCATCATCTCATTCTCGTTTTGACCACCACCCCACGATCCTAACAACAGTACAATTTCCCTCTTTGATTTTGTTTGTAACTACAATGAATTTTGGGAGAATCCCACCTGAAAATTTCATTATTTAATCCATATTTTTGTGATTTGTACTTTTTGTTTCCCATTTCAGAAAGAACAAACTTAAGAAAGTTTGCCAAGTACCAGCTAAGAATCTCTCTTCAGTCTTCGGACATATGGGCATTGCACAAAATTATTTTATGTTAGTCAGTGAATTTGGTTTATTGTTTTGTTTTTCCTATTATTTCTTTGTTTCGGGGAGGGAAGAGGGGGAGGGGCGAGTTGCATGGTCATGGGAGGAGCGGTGAACTGTGAGGTTGGGGTGGTTTTTCCCCTTTTTTTTTGGTTTGTTTTCTAAAATTTAAAATTTAAAATATTGTTTTATCTCATAAAATGTCAAAATTGTCCGAAAAAAGTGCATCATGTGCATTTTTGGGTGGAAATTTGGATGGAATCCTAAAAGTCGATGGTAAACCCCACATTCACCTATTTAAAAAGTTTGTAACACAAATTGGCTGAAAAAATAAGAAGTTTAGACCCCGATTTGACACTTGGTAAAATTGACAGTTTACCCTATATGATATGATAACTGAAATTTTTCACAAGAAAAAAAATTCAAATTATAGCACTTACATCCCAGCATTTTTAGCTGCAAGAACTCCAGCGGGTGCATCTTCAAACACCAGAATTTTCTTTGGATCAATTGGGGCACCCTGTTTACACGAATCTTGTCATCAGTCACTTTTACATAATCACTCCTGATGTTGACTGAAAATACTAATGAGTAAAGGAGCAATAATAGCACAGCCCATGCTGAATAGATATTCCCATAACTATCATAACCTAATGTCATAACCATCTTGTTGCTGTGACAATCAAATCATGCTGAATATTTTGATATCCTAATTTTGTTTGTGTATGAGTTGTGTAAACAAGTGCACATTAATACATTGGTTGTGCATTTATTCATATGGGCTATAAAATTGATTACCGAAAACCCCATTAGTGACTACTCATTTTGGGACGCCATGCCTATGTGTCGAGCATTTCAGGGGTCAGAAAACTAATATAACAAAGGAACACATCTGAGATGGTTTTACCTCAAATCTTTTGGCTGCTGCAAGGAATATATCCGGCGAGGGCTTCCCTTGTTTAACTTCTGGATCATCGCCAAGGACAACATGATGCATCAATGAAAAAAGTTCACCATGGCGTTGTGTTTTCAATTCAAAGTGCCGCTTATGAGAACTGCAAGATATATTTATAAACAAGTGATGCTTGTGCCAGTCTTTGTGATTTTCTCAGTATAAATTATGACGACTCAAAAAGGTTGAAAGGCTTGAAGTTAATGAACATGCAATAAACAAACTGCTCTAGATCTGCATTTGGTAAAACTGGTTATAAGTACAAAACGAAAACATAAATAAGGGAACTATACCCTGTTGCTAAGGCAAACGGTATTCCTTTCTCATGAAGATGCCTGATCAAGCGGCTAGCCCCTACAATTTAGCATAGAAGAAGATAAATTAAAACTAGCAGAACCGTGCTGTATACTAATGATATTCGGTGTGTGCAAATAGAAAGCTAAACTGGGGACGATTAAGTTTAAAATGGGTATTTGATAGAACATAAGGAGTACAAATAGAAGTCGAATAGAAGCAGGCATGTGCATGCAAATATCTGTGCTTCACAGTACTCAAACAATGGTACCTGGCATAAGCTCGCTTGTCGGAAACATACTCTGCAGCTGTGCCTCTCTTTCAACTAGAAAGTCCTCAGCAGTAAGGGTGTCACTAATTCCAGTCTCTTCAACAAAGACCCGAGCAGCTTCTATTGCTTTCTTCCCCATCATTTTGGCTTTCAGAGACCAATCAAAAGTTTTATTATACCTAGCCAGTATAATTTCCTGGACTTCAGTATAGAACTTCTCTGTGTCTGAATCAGCAAAAATCATATCAGATCAGCAGTTTCATTCCTAGAATCTGGGCATAAACCATAATCCTCCAACTTAACAACCAAGCTATTTGATAACTCATTAATAAAAAAACAACATGAAAAAATGCTGTGTCATTAATTATTAGCAACCACAGAATAAAAATTCCTGAGCAAAAATAGTTGCAAATGTTCGAAGCTCCAGCAACACATTTGTTCAACTTCAACCAATACAGTTTCTATGGCCAAGCTCAGCAGAGTATGCAAGAGCAGAAAGAACAAAAAACTACAACAGCCCGTAAAAAAAAAAAAAAAAAAAAAAAAAAAAAAAAGAGAGATACAATACTAAAAATAGTCCACAGAATTATCAAAAACAAAAACCAAGTGAAAATCTGAAAACCATTAGCAATAACTTGTCATGTGGTAGTGTAACATGCGTAGCAAGAGCCCAACTACAGAGAAACGAAGACGATACACAAACAGATTGTAAAGAGAGACAATGCACGGAAAGTGTTTGACAAAATTACCGAGTAAGAGGCCGTCCATATCGAAGATGACATGAGTGATTGGTCCTCTGCTCGAGACAGCTTGAGATGGATTTGCCATTGCAAAACGGAGTCTTGAAATTTCTGGGCTTGTGCGCAAAAATGGATAGTTTTTGGAGGAAGATGAAGAAGAATGCACAAAGGAACGTGGTGGAGGAGCAATAGGATTTGGGAAAGCTAGTCGTTGGCAAAGTCTTAACATACATAGAGTTGGGAAGCGGAACCAACTTCCAAAGCATCCATATGGGCCGGACCGGGTAGTCGTTTTATCCTCTGCCACAAATTCCACTGGTAAAGGCAGTTAAAAAGTTGATAAGCAATTAGGTATCTCCAAGTTTCAAGCTTGTGATATTAATCCACGTGTTATAATGTGAGTAAACAATGAGTTTATATAATCAGTTTGCATTTGAAAATACACGTATTATACCATGAATGAATGAATATGATCTCATCGAAAAATTACTAGCAAAGTTTTATTAAAATTGTCATTTGCGCCAAATAGAGGTTTTACGTGTTATTCTGTTTAGTAATAACACATCAAACACTAACTTGACTCACACATGTCGATGATGTTGACAACATAGCAGAGAACAGAAGAGAGATCTTCTCCTTGAAGACGAGCCTTATAAGAGTAAGTCTAGATGGGGTGAATTTTTGTAAAGCTTGAGAGTTAGCTCTAGGAGGGAGCTCTCTATTTATAAGCATCTCTTTAGGAGTCTTGCCCATCAAGAAACTCTTAGAGATAACTCTAATGCGATAGACTTAATCCAGTCTCAATCCTTATAGAACTAGAAACCTCTAAGCCCTTGTATTTAACTTAAACACTTAGGTCTCGTTTGTTACACATGACTGTTTTGGCATGAACTATGCTTAGGGATTGTCTTGGTTAGGTCTAAGTTGGATAACAATTATCCTACATTTGGTGCATGCTTGGACTAGGACTAGATTATTTTATTTTCCAATATATATATATATATATATATATATATAAGGAGTTTCAGTTGATGGATCCCTCAAATAAGCTTATTTGAGGGACATCATTGTAGGGCCCACTCTGTATTGTATTTCAGTAATTCAACACGTCTATTTTGTAGATATTCATTCAAAGATCATCTTCACAAAAAATCATTTGAATTCGATAGCATTTGATCACTCAATTGAAATATTGAAATTTTAGTGCTTTCTTGAAGCACTATGTTCATTGATTTTGTAGGACACAATTGGATGTTGAAACGGTTTCCAATTTGTCTAATTTTTTGCAAGGATGATCTATGAATGTAGACTTAAAAATAGACAGTTTGGATTGTTGAAAAAAAATTCTTATGTGCCTCACATACATATATAGAGAACTTCCGTTGAGAGACACCCTTATAAGGCCCACTCAGCATTGTATTTCACTAATTTAAACTGTCTGTTTTGTAGATATTCATTCAAAGATAATATCTACAAAATCATTTGAATATGATATCATTTGACCATTCAATGAAATTATTGAAATTTAAGTACTTTCTTGAAACCCCGAGTTTATTGATTTTTTTGGTATCAATTAGAAGCCTTAATGATTTTCAATTTGTCTTATTTTTTGCAAGGATTATCTATGAATGAAGACTTGAAAACTAGACAATTTGGATCGTTGAATTTTTTTTTTTTGTAGTTTACTCTAAATGGTGTCCCTTAAATAAAATTATATGAGGGATCCCTTAATGAAATGGGATTGTATACATATATACATTTATTTTGAGGACCCTTCCTATTAAGAGGGGCGAATCCAGGACCTTGCCCATCAAGAAACTCCAAGAGATAACTCTAATACGATAGACTTAATCCAATCTAAATCCTTATAGAACTAGGAACCTCTAAACCCTTGTATTTAATTGAAACACATAGTAATAGGTTGTTATCCGAGATTAGTCTTGAGTTCGTGATAAACAATGAGTCTTAGCAATCCCACATTGATTAGAAGGTCAATTTAGTAGGTTTAAGACAATAAACATCTTACATTGCGTAGTCTATATTTATGTTACCCCTCTAAACTTAGAGCATGCTTGAGACAACTTCTAAAAGGGCTAGAAACGCTTTCTAACAATAAAAAGTGTTTATGATAGAGTCCAGCAAACAAACTCATAAGTGCTTTTAGGTAACAAAAGCGCTTTTATGGAGAATATCACTTCTTTGATTTTTAATAGAAATTTCGGCATTATTCTAATCGAATCACTTCTTTAAAAAAAAAGGCTTATGAGCATAAGTGCTTTATACAAAAGTAATTCTAATCGGGCTCTTAGTAAATTGGATTGTCTTCAATGTGGGCTTGACCTTCCAGCCCAGTATTTGGGCTTATAATAATCTCTATATATCTATAAAGCAAACTGCCATTATGGATAAGTTTTCGAATAAGCTAAAATTGCACCTCTTTGAAGAATTTTTTTCAAAACACAATTAATTCATTTTAAGGGGACACATACATAAAACAATAGCCAATTAAAAGGTAAATATGAGAATAAGAAACTATGTCCAACAAAAATTCTCTGTATATAAGAAAAAAAGATGCATTGTGGGTAGGTGCATCTGCTCACCCTTCTATGCAAGAAACTTTAATTTTGAAACACCAAAACTAAGGTTTATTTTATGTTGACTAGAGCCCGATGGATGGACATAGTTTTTTTTTCTTTCTAAAGTTTAGTAAAGTTCTACTCGTACCATTAGGTTCTTCCAGAAGACTTGGGCGATTGTAGCTCTCATGATTCAATTATCCAACCAATAATAATTATCTAGGCACTGATTGATATTTTAACTTCTTAAAATCTCAATTGATGAGGTAGTATTTCATTTGTTTATCTTTCACGCCCGCTGTGAATCTCACACAACAAATAAGAATTGTCATGTATATATGACACGTCAGCTGATATTAAGTTATAAATTTGTGTATTAAGAGGAGACTATTCAACTTTGAGTCAGCATGAATGTTAAACTAATAATTTCTCCTTTGTTATTGGTTCATTATCATATCCGTTGTTGACCTACATACAAAACCCTATCAGGGATATTGGATGGGTTATGACCCATTGACTTGATCAAGTAAATTTTTTATAGCAAATCTTGATCAAGGAGTTGAAGCCGAAGTCTTTATAACTGAATAAGCATTCATATATATAGGTTAATATATGAATAAGTCTCTTTCGAAATACCTGCCCCTTATATTACCATGAATTATTTTCGTCGTTTGGGTGTATAGATTATATTATCGTGCCGTAATTCCTCATTGAACGACATTTTCCACATTATCCACAATACCTCTTACGTCCCTTTTGCTTGAGCCATAATTAAAGAATAATCCAAGTTGTGGTTCCAAATGTTAGTATTTAAAATACCAATCCTTGTCCATCACACAAAAATTCTTTGTTGAGTATCCAGAAACAATGCTAATAAAGCTTATTTCTTTTTTCTTTTTGTTCGGTTGCAGACATGGGCTTAGCCAACTTGGCTAGAGCGGATGTGCTTCCCACTCTACACTCGAGTTCGAATCCACCTCTCCATGGTTTAGATTAGTTTAAAGTATTGTATATATATATATATATATATATAAATTATTTAAAAGATGCACATTCTTAAAGTCTATCACCACCTGCCCCCAACCTCATAAAATAATAAAAGGGGCAAGAAAAGGAGCATGCATGTATCCCCCAGACTTAGCAGCAATAAAGAAAGAATAATATGTATGATCATTTTGAATCTCATTTATTTCTAACAAATAAAAGTAAATAAGGAGTTGAAAATTTTCAAAATAGTAATATGGATTTGCATATATGATCATGTATAACGCTTCCAATATTTGATTTGGAATGTTTAGATTTAGGTTATGATGGATTCATTCTATTTTGGACTTTGTCTCATATGCATATAAAATTAAGTAGGTACAGGTGCCTTAGCAAGCATCTCCTCAATCTTGTTTTTTTGGGTTTTGATGACATCTCCCTAACCCTAATTCCATATTCGATCTGTAAAGCTAAAAGACGAACGTTTAAGAGTTATTTTGAAACAAATGAAGGTACAATCTTGAATTAGATAGGGGAGGGGATAGTTACATCTCACCCTACAAGTCATGTTCAAGAGTTGTAGGTGGAGAATGCCCAATGCTTTTAGATATAGGCATATTGATGGCAGTGGCACGAGTGATGACTGAGTCACATTGTGGCCATATATTACCATTTCGTATCCATGTTGAATACTAAATAAACTCTAATTCAACCTAAATATTCAATTAATCGTATGATCATATTACTCAACCCTAACCCGATTGTTTACTAATTGTGTCGTGTTCGAGTTAGCTCACAATGTCTTGCCTGCAAACTCGAAAAATTAAGATGAAACTATAGTTTTTAACCATACACTCTTTATAAATAAATAAATAAAAAGGAAAAGAAAATCGATGTGGCCTTAATATACTAGAAAATAATAACACATGATTCTATAACTCAACGGGAACTCGTAAAATACCATATCGAAAAATGAGAAAAGTTAGACTTCATTCAATACGAGTTAAATAAGTTTGTTGTGTTAAAATCGTGTTACTTTTATTCTACATTAGTTAACGTGACGTATTATTAATTGTTCATTGTTTTAATTAATTTTGTTTGATTATAAGTTTCAGTTAAGTATGATTAATCTTTATATGTTATACATTTACGTTGAACCGAGTAACGTTAGTAGATTGTGTGACAAAATTGTCATCGCAAGCTAATCGGTGATGTTGGTCATGATGACCTAAAACCTTGTTTGGGGATTTTGTAGCCGCCCAAAAAATGTCATATACAAAAGTGACTTCAACCAATAACCACCACCTATATGACCTAACACAAGTGCAAGGTACCCCAAAACTTCCGCTAACTTTTTAAATGGACGGGAAAGTCAAGTATCTCATTTCCCTTTACTAAGTCTCTCACCATTTGAGGTCTCCCTTCTTTCTTCTGGACTCATCTCTTTTCAGTCACTCTCTCTCACTTTGTTTATTTTATTTATTATTTATAGAGAAATGCCCTTTTCTATCTTCTTTTTATCTTTTTATCTTTTTATCTTTTTATCTTCTCTTCTCTTCTAGAAGACTATAACACTCCAAATATCATGTCGCTTTATAAAAACTCCAAACAAAAAAAAGTAAAATCTATAATTAATATTCCAAGAAATCATCGACATAACACCTCTCTCTCTCTCTCTCTCTCTCTCTCTCTCTCTCTCTCTCTCTCTTAATTGTGCCCTTTTATGTATATATTCCCTTTGGTCTCGTCGAAATATATAGAAGCCATTCTTCAACACACAAACCCATTCTTCTCCAAACGCCCCATACCCTTTTCTTCATTTTATCCATCAATTCATCAAAAATGGAAGACGACAATTACATTGACCATCCCCATTACCAAGACAAATCAGAAGAAGAAGATGCAGAAGAGGCACTCTCTCTTTGCGACCTTCCACTAGACAATACCCATGACCAAGTCCACGAATTCCACGACATGTCGTCTAACCACCTACAAGCTCGTCGTTCCTCCTCCGATCAGTTATTCGAGTTCTTCAGCGACATCAGCTCCGACAGCTTCATGTGTTCCGCCGAAGACATCATCGTCTGCGGGAAACTCATACCCTTCAAACAACACATGACCGAAGTCCCCAAGGCTCATCCAAACCCTAACCATTCTCACAAGAATAATCAACCAACTTTTCGAAGGCGGTCTGAGTCGCTTTCCGAGTTACAAAGCTCGGTGACAAGATCGAGCAGCTCAAAAAACCAGATCATGATGAGGAACAGCCGATCATTGGACTATCGAAAGCTTCACCGGCAATCTTCGATGGTGTCGCCGACGCCTGGGGAGATGGAGAGGAATTCCTCGGTGAGGAGCGTTGGAAAATCCGATAAGGTCAAGAGTGGTAATAATAAGCCGAGGTGGTTTTTTCTTATGTTTGGGATTGTGAAGTTTCCGGCGGAGATGGACCTGAGTGACATCAAGAACCGGCAAATTCGGCGAAACCCGTCCACCACAATGTTTCCCCGAGAAGTCGTTGCTGGGAAGTTTCCGGATAATCGGAGCTCCGGCAAGGGCTCTTGGAGACTGCTCAAGGCATTGAGCTGCAAGGACCATGCAAGTGTTGCTGTAACGACGCCGTTTTGTACACAAGTGTGAGTGGCTACTTTTCGTCACGTGCCATGCATGTGCTGTGCTATCATAACTTTGTTCTCTTAACTCATGAATAGGATTATGCGATTGTGAGGTATTATTCTTTTTATCATACACTGTAACATGTTATATTATCAAATTGTCAGTTCAAATCACATCTTTAAACAAAAGTTTATCTTATTAACTATTAAAGATTGACAGTTTGATAATATAATATGTTCTATCGGTTGTATGATAATAGAATAGTTTCACTACAATCAACATGGGGTTTGGCTTGATCAAGGTTTGAATATGATAATGATTTTGATTTGCATGAGAGGGGCAAAATGGTCTCCGGAGGTTCTGGGGGGTTTGCTTGGACGTGGGGATAAATCACTATAATAATGGTTTATGACTTTCCGTAGAAGCAAGGACTATGTACAGGAGCAAAGCCACGGTTGACGATGGTGCCCTCTCACTCTAGTAGTAATTGAGGATGAAGAAGGTTTTGTATGTTAGGTGGCCGGTGCGCCCACAGAAATGAAATGAATGAAAATCACGAGAGCCCCGATTACGACATTAATTCTCATGTTTTTTTTTGGTTTTTTTTTTGGGTGTAATATTGGTTTATTTATTTTATTAATTTGATGTGAATATTTATGTGAGGCTCATAAATATCAGTTTGGGAAATTATTTTTATCGATTTGATTGATATTATATTTGTGATTTGTGGAATTTGGTGGGGGGTGATATCATGATAAATATACTTTATCATATAAATCCATAGATAAATACAAGAATTTAATTGATTTTGTTTTACTTTGTAATCTCAACCTTATAATCATCATTAATGAATAAATTAAAACGTTTTAGTTAGTGAATCTTGTACCGCCGCCCCACCAACTGCATGAAGCTAAAAGCAAAGCTTTTTAATATTTATTCTAATTATTTGGTTGTTATCTAAATGGTCGGATTCTAGTGCTTAGTGGAATATGTTACAATGATGTATTGATAAGGACTGGTAACTTAATAAAAAGGGAATTTAAATGTCAGCTGGACAGAATGTTATCCTTCTGGCTACTTCTTGTGAACACTGTTAGGCCGACACCCAACTTATTTAACAAAATTATGGTGTATATATATAGAGGAAGCTTCTATTAAGGGATTTCTCAAATAAGTTTATTTGATGGACACTCTTGTAGGACTCCACTCCACATTATATTCCACTAATTCAGACCGTCTATTTTTTATATAATCATTCAAAGATCATCACTACAAAAAAAAAAAATAACTTGAATCCGATATCATTTAACCACTCAATTGAGTTTTTGAAATTTTAGTACTTTCTTAAAGCACCATGTTCATTGATTTTGTATGACATAATTAGATGTCGAAATGGTTTCCGATTTGTCTAATTTTGTTGCAAGGATGATCTATGAATATAGACTTAAAAAAACTAGATTGTTTGGATCATTGAAAAAAAAATCGTAGGGTACCCTAAAGGGTGTCTTTCAAATAAAATTATTTAAGAGATCCATCAATAGAAGAAGATTATATATATATATATATATTTATTTATTTATAAAAACATTGTGCCACATGTTTAAAAGGCAAGTTGGCAATTGGGTTATGAGAAAATACTGATATGAAGTGAGAAGCACAAGATTTTTATCATTTAGTGTTTATAGCTTATAATATCAAGAAATATTCTCTCAACAAACATATTTGTAATAATACTATCATTAACATTCTGCAGGAGCGTGTAGTTTAAATGGGTGAGATTCCTACACTTAAACCAATTCATGAACTTCGCTTATATAACAAAACAAAAATTAGTAGCGTAAATCATTTCCCTGATAACGGCATGGTGTGTAACATGTTAAATTCCGTCTGGTAAGATGTTATATTGTAATTGTGTTCGTTTTGGTGCCATCTTTGGACTACGAATTTTAATGACCATCATCGACCAAGTGCCTATATCTAAGAAGTGAAGAACATGTATTGTATATCTTCTTCTTTTTTCAGGTCTAGCATCATTGACAAAATTATTCCATGTTTGAATGAAAACAGGTGAAGGTATTGGCCTCCATAGCAAACTTGTTGTAATCCTTTACCCAATGTCAATAATGATGATGTGGATTATTATATTGTTTCGTCTGACTCATCCCTTTCTGTATTTGCAAGCAATGAATCTAAATGGTTATGTAGAATCATCATCAAGTGCTAATTAGTTGTACACGTAGTCTATTAACAATGGAGAATACTAAATCTAAACTATTGAAATATAATGTTGTCGTACCATTTTGGAAAAGTATGTTGAATATGGGAAAATCCAAGTTATTATTGTTTTAAGCCTTGTTTCATTGCATCCACTTATTTTCAATGAATGCTAAATAATTATATTTTAGCATGCGAAGCAAATAAGCATTAGTAGTGCACTATGCTAAAAATCATTACAACAAATATTATATTGTCACCACTGCCAAACCTATAATTTTTTTTATACGGGAAGTAATAAATTTTCATTAAATTGTCGATGATTACAGACCCGAACAAACAAACGTAGCTTTATTAAACCTAGCTGAGAAAAACTCAGTGAGATAAAACCTAAGATTGAGGAAAAGAATGCCAAACCTATATAATTACTATGTTAATGGAAATGAACCGAAAATTGAAACCCAATACACTATTTATATGGTCCATATGTTTTATGAACAATTTTGAATTTAAATCCCTGCATGCATATTCGATTAAGCTGATGCCATTTGTGAAGTGTTCCACCTGTAGGTTGGGAATCTTCCATGCAACACATTAATTGATGCATGACTTTACGAATTGATCTAACCCTTGGTTAGTAAGATAATTCAACCTTTATGTGCAGGGACTCACCTAATTCTATTGGAGGGTGTCCTATGTACAGTGACGAACCCACCGAGATTCAAGGAGGTGCACTCCTCGCCGGAACTGTATAGGTTATGTACTACTTTTTTATTTCAATAATATCATATCGTTTTTGTTAAAAAATAAAAATAAAAAATTCAAAAGATTGAAAGGATTCATAGTGAAGAACCGACAACATATTTCCAATTTATTGGGTGGGACTTGGAACTAAAGTTCCAATGCAGGCTTAGAATCAACCCTGATTTCTTCTTCGCATTTAAAGCCTGAAAATCTTGTCAAGCGCTGTCGAGTTTTGAATTTGAAGCCGGCTGATGATTCTAGATGGATCATATGCTGGAGGTTTGACTTATTGCATTGACTAGCTGTAGCTAGCCTATTTTTTTCTTTTATGTATTTAGTTTCAACCTATTTTAGTTTTGTTTAGTAGTATGTGTGAACCGGGTCTAGTCCAGTGAAAAGGGCATTGACTTGCAGATAAGTAGTTTAAGGTCTGAACCTCCATGACATCCATACAGTTTGTGTGAGAAAAACCCCCTCTTCAATATCGTTTATGTAAAATAAAAATATGTGTATGATGATGAACCGAAAAATGATACTAATGGTTGGATTGCTGAGTAAAATGATTGTATTAGCATTTGACAACGTTACACCAGTCTTAAAACTGTTATGTATTAATGCAATTTTATCCACACAAAAAAGTATAGATATTCTCAAGAAAAGGCAAGATGGATTCCGCTAAAACTGTTTATGATGTGTGTAATTTGGCCACACGTATGAGAATATAATTTTAATTGATAACATTTACAACATCATTAGCCAAAAAATAGGTTTACTCTAAGTTACGCAATTTCATCTTTATTGTTGTAAAATGAGACAATACATGGAGTAGGTGAAATTTAGAGGAAAGTAACCAAACACTAGAAAAAGTTCATTGGTGTGATGTATGTCGGTCCACAATGTTCACAAACATGTGTCTTATGTTTGAAGTTTTGTTGGAATTGGGACCACTCAGATGAGGTCTTGCCATTGCGAAGATGGTGGGGGGAAATTGGATGAACCAATGAGTTTATGACACCTGTTCTCCAAGTGCAATATGCAAAAGCAACCCCGAACACTTCATTGTCACCAATTTAAACTGCAACACAAGTTAGCAACAGATCATTTGTCTCCATACATATAGGAAGCTATTGATCACAAGCTTATTAACTTTGATCAGCATTGAAGGCTACATGCGACTGTCCCTAGAAGATGTAAAATCCACTGTAAGGGGTTTGTAGCTCAAGTAATTAAGAGCATCTATCCATGCACTCGAGGTCCTAGATTCGATTTCTCCATACTCTCAATATCGCTTGTATAAAAATAAAAATAAAAATAAAAATCTTGTGAGCAATGATCCATTTCTCACCAAGAAAAGGCGGCAATCAAGAAAAAAAAGACTCTTCATGTCTACTTTGTCTGTTGCTAGCTCATACCCTCCCAGTTTGGTAAGTGCAACTGTTGAAGCACGTCGTGGTCCCAGAATTGATTTCAAATGGTTCCACCAAAACCTCAGAGACACTTCACTTTACAGGCTTGGAAGATAAGAATCACAACATCATCGTCGAACAAGAAACAAGAAACAAGAAACATGGGAGAAAGGGAGGAATGCTATCACTTTCCACTCGGAATGCCCAAGATTCACAGATTTGACAAATGCTATCAGTTTTAGAAATTGAAATGCCTACAGAGAGAGTTGCTGAGGGTTTTCTTTTTTAGAGGGAGTTTCTTAGATGGTCACATTGTTATTAAGCTTATTTAACCTCATAACTTGTTTAATATTGATTGATCTTTTATTTTTATTTTTGGAGTCGTGCTTCTATTGTATCTTTTTGTATATTTCCAGGATCTATATATTTATACTACAATAATTTGAGCGACATGAGAGACTTCAAGGACAAACATGGACAAAATGTCCCGTAGAGCAAAGTACATTTGTAGTTTGCCCATGCCCACCCCCTACTCTGAGTTACTAGTCATTCGTCGTCCAACCCACCAAACTCGAACATGCCCACCCCAATTTCAGTTACTAGCCATTCGTTTTCTGTTTTTCAGTACAGAAGTTCCCACATGAATCCCAGAATGTCATGAGGGTTCTTCCCATGCGAAAGTTGAATTACAAAGTACTTTCATAAGTTGATCACATTTTAAGTCTCTCTCTCATCAAAATGTGGGTGGAAATGAATCGCGTGAATCACACAACATTGCATTTGTATTATTTTTTGTGCTCATTCCTTGCACTAAAAGAGGACTTTAGAAGTAAGGTGGGCAGAACATCTTCGGCATGGATTTTCGAGTCCATGTCCAGCCCTGGCATTATACCATAATGTCATAATCGAAGTTTCAAGCTTAGTGAGATTGTGGAATGTCTACACTTACAAATGTTCTTCTTACGTTTTAGAAGCTACCTGAATGCATTTACAATTTAATGGAATCAGGAAATCTAAAAGGACTGCTACCCCATTCCCGTCGTCTTTTCCGCTCCTAGTACTCAAGAGAGGCAGCTTGGCCTATTCCGTAGCCTTGACAACAACCAGGGAGATGTTAGTCGCAAGCATTCACTTTTCAGATTCGTCACCTTAGAAACAGCTTCAACACCTACAGAAAAACAACATTGAGATGTTTTGTAAATGACTTGAGTTATATCATTCCAGCAAAGCAAAAGGCTCGAGCTATTGTTTTAACGTTTTTAGTTTAGTAACACCATCTGTGGAATTAGGGATGTGAATTACGAGACCTCTTTAGGGTTTAGAGAAGAAATGTGGCTGCATTCGCTGGTCAGATCATTTTACATTGTTACTTAATTGCAAAGGCAAAACGGGGTGGAGGTTAAGCATCCACATGAATAAGGGTGTTGCTTAACTTGGAGCACACCACACACTGTTGCCTTCAAAGGCAGAAAAACTCTTCATAAATGCACTCAAACTCTCTGCTTTACTCAATTGAGGATGAGCCATACGTTCGCAGGACAAAGATTAGAAATTGTTGTTTGGAAGTTGATTCAGTTGAAAGTATTGTTCCACAAAGCAGAGGCCAAGGGAGGTTTGTTTAAATACTTCCTCCTCTTTGGAACTAATGATGATCAGATGAGAGTTCAACGTGACCATCACTGGATTCATCAGGATTTTAAATCTTAGAATTTGACAATGTGACTGAGAATACATTTCAACAGGGAAACACACTACCAAACTAATGAAGCAAATCTCCTACGAATAATACACTCCACTATCAACTGCAATGGGGCTGTGAGAATAATCATGTGATGTGATTCATATTTCAACATATTGTCTGTCATTCACAATGAAAAAATCCTTATAGAAGCTCTTAACAGTTAAAATAATAATAACAATAATAAATAATAAAATAATAATAATAAATAAAATAAACTCATTCCTAGGACACATCCAATAAATTCATGCTTGTTAAGAGCATGCCATCTAGAACAACTGTAGGCCATACAACAGGCATGTAGGATATATTACACATTTTGTATAAACTTTCCACCTTATTGTCAAAATTTGGCCAATATAGGACTTTTGTTAAGAAATAAGGATTCTTTTTCATTTTTTTTTTTGACATACAACTGAATTCTGAACCTCATTACGCTTTAAGAATTTTCAAAATTTATAAGATAAAATATGAGAGTGAAAGCAATTAAAAATACCTTTAGTTTTCATCCGGATCAGATGCAGTGTATTTACCACTTTATCTCAGCTTGAATAAAATACAAATGGTACTGCAAAAAGAGAACCCTCATAAGCATAGTTTTATAGAACTAAAAGTACTAACACTTTTTTCATTAAAAAAAAAAGTACTAACATTTTCAAATAATTACGTCTAAATACTTGTAAACCCGTATCCTCTATTATTCAATAATTTCACTGGAAACAACAGAGATAAGACAGTATACAAGCTGGAAGCAAGTGAAGCAACATGATGGACATGGGCACTAGAAGTCATTAAATTTTATCATGTGTCTGCATAAACTAGACCAGAAACAATAATCTAGTGGCTGTTAAAAGGCTTTCCTACTAAATATTGCCAGCAGATACACAAATACCCAAACAGTTCTGCTGCAATCGAGCCTTAGTTACAAAGGATGAGATCTGTTTGAAACGTAGGGCTGTATTCTTTTTGGGGAAAGAAATTGCACAAATTTGAAACATGAAATTATCACCTAAGTCTGACATGAAAACTCCTATTCTTGTTTCTATTTATATTACATACATATTAAGAAAATACAATCTCTAAAACTGTTTCCTGACAGAGCCTATAGCTAATATCTTCTACAAACTCATTTTAATATGTCATGTTGCCTGAGATGGTTATAAATTAAAGCAATTGATTAAAACTTGGAAAGTATTGACCATTTTCAGTTTAGTATACGGTATATTGACTTCTTGATGATTGAAATGCTTCAAGTTCAAGCAAATTAAGCTTACCAAGCAGGAAAACAGTGAGCATTAAACCAAGGGTAGCTTGAACAGAACAACGATTATGTAAGCGTAGTGGTGTTTGCCATTGTTTCTGTGGACTTTGTAATTGCTTCTGAGATGCACCAACCCGACCAAACAGCTGCATAAGACAATTTATAAGTTTTGCTTGGAATTAACGAAAGATAATAATCTATCAACTGTAAGAAAGCAGAGGGTAGAGAACAAATAGAGTATAAGAATCCATGATTGTTTTCTTCTTTCTCCTTGCATGTGTAAGATGTATCACCTTCTAATCAAATGTTATAATCAATTCTTCCTTTCAAATATGTAACAAACTGACCTGGTTGAACAAATTAACTGCTGCTGTTGCCTGATGCAATTGTGCACACCTTTGCTTCCAGAAGACAAGTTTGGATCCTTTTTCTTTAGGTGTGTCCTCGCACCCTGGAATTAGTTTTTTTCTGTGTTCAACTTCATCAGCTATTATGATCCTCAAATCACCATAATTTGGTGAACTGCATGCCTTCCTTGTATTAGTTGTTCTATCTGCATCATAAATGATATCATCCCTCATTCCTGCGATTTCTTTCCCCTTTACTTCCATGACAAAATTTGGATCCTTAGATATAGTAATAACATCTTTAACACCCTTTATTTCATCAGAAATGTCTCTGCTGCAGGCAGCATTAGATTTAAGGTCCACGTCTTTTCTTCTAAAGTCATTTTCCTCGGAGCTTTTCACAGAAGGTCCAAGTTCTACATATTCATTTTTGGCACATAGCAAACTTTGGGGTTTCCCAGACAGAAATGCAGCAAAATCATCACATTCTTCTTCATCCAGGTGTACCCATCGAAGGGGTTGCTTTCCTTCCACACTAAATGATTCCCTTAATGCTGTTTCAACATGAGAAATTTGGTTTTCAATGGCAGCAATAAATTGTTTATGTCTAGCTGTTGTATGATCATCACCACGTTGTCCATAGCTCAACCTGACAGCTTTCTCGAACTCTTCCAACTAAACCAGCATTCACAATTCAACACAACAGAATTACAGTAAGTAAAATTGTAATATTGGCTAAACTGCTTGTGGACAAAACTTTCTCTGAATTATAATTGGTGATAGTATCAATAATAAGGGAAACCAAATCAGGAAATTGAGTGCGAACGGATAGTGCCACTAAAGAAAGCATATATCTCCATCTTAGGAAACTTTGAAACAAAAGACTGAACAATGGTTAAAGCTGAGAAGAGTCTTTGACTTTCCAGAAATCAAACTGATGGAAACCTTATCTAGATCGGGTAGGCTCACAAATTCTCATTAATATTTTTATACAGTGAATAAACAGGCGGGAAAGAGTAGTCAGCTTATCAGAGACAGGAGACCTACCTGCCATTTGGCAGTACCTAAAGCGGTTTGCAGCTCCCTACAAAGTTCATCCAAATTGTCTGGTGCTAACCTTTCTCTCTTCTGTTGAACCCATGCCCTGTACGTGGATTCCATTCTGAAAAACCACAACAAAAAAAAAATAATAATAATAATAATAAGGGCCGGCAAAAGGAAAAATTATTTCGAGTTCCGAATTAGTTGAACATTCTAGACAGAGATAAATACCAACGAATTATACTTTTCAAGTGAGTGGAAAATGTGAATAAGCTCCCTTCAATCTTTGCAAAAACTTAAAGAATAGTAGTACAGTACGACCTAATCCCTATGATCATTGATTGCTGAACATAAGGAGCTGGCAACCTGTCCAGTAACAACTCAAATTTTTTTGAAGTGGAAGAAAGTGGCTTTTCATCTTCCATTCACCTACTCCTGGGATATAGGGTGGTCTATCATCATCTTAACAGTGCAACTAGAGAAGCCTTACCATTACCGAATATGACTGGCTCACGAAGTCATCCAACACTATATGTTCAAGTCCCTTCCATCTTTTGAGCCAAATGATTAGGATAAAAAATTTAATCTTTCCCCATTCCCAGACAGTGCGGAATTTTTTCTTATCATCCAAAACGAAGGATAAAATCATACTAACCCACTAAATTATACCACACATAATCTATACTGAAAACCCACATAATTCTAAATATATGGTAGAAAAAGGCAAAACCTTGTATATTTGTAAACAAATTATCTTTTACACAGCACCATGAGAGCATATTTATCATAAATGTACCCAGTACTTGAAAATGAGCCCAATATAAGCATCACCCACATCATCAAAACTTTAAGAAGGAAAAGGGGAAGAGAAAAAAAGATATAACCTAAAATACCAGAACCCAAAATCCCCCATTGAATTGAAACTTAAAACCAGCAGCACAACCACATAATTGAAAAATATCCAACAAATTACACATCTTAAAAGCACTATGAAAGATATAACCCAATACAATCCATTCTCACTTCAGAAAATCTCATAAAATCCCATAAAAACACAATTTAACACACCCATCTCCAAATTCCAAAAACAAAGTCCACATATACGCAGAAACCAATTAAAGCAACTGAAACCCACATGATCAAAACCAACGAAAAGCAAAAGGAAACGCACATATCAGCTGATTCTTGCACCTCCTCAGCTGCAGGAAAGAAGACATCTTTTTTCCAAAGATCAAAACTGCTTGCCACCATCATCTTGACCAACACCGAAAATCCACAATCAATCAAAAGCAACCAAACCCAATTCCAGTCCAACCCTTAAAGCCAGCAGAAAAGCTCTAAAAATAATTTTCCGGTACAAAGCTTCAAAAAAATTTCAAATAAAACGAGTTTCTTGCTGGGCTCAGTTCTCTCCTCTTGTCTCTTCTCTTCTTTGCTTCTCCCAAGCAAAGAAGGAAGAGAAAGAAAGAAGAGAGAGGGCTAACTCAGACAGAGATAGAGAAGGAGACGTAAAAGCAAATCCTATTCTCTCTATTTTCTCACTACATTCTTTCCCTCTGTATCTGTGTGTGTTTCTTTTTTTCTTTCTTTCTTTCTGTTTTCCTTTTTTTTTAACAATTAAAAATATTAAATAAGTTTTATGAGATAAAGCCGTGATCAGGTGCGGCATCCTAGAAAACATATGAAGTGAGGATCCACTGAGGTTTCGGCACGTTGACAGATTGGCATTAGGTCAACGACTAGGAAGTGTTCGTCAACATAAGAAGAAGTTGTTTTTATTGGACTCAGAGGAGAAAGGTTGGGAAGAGAGTAAAAGATGGCGTTGGCGGTTGGGGACAAACGAGAAAAGAAGGGGTGGTGGGCTGCCCACTTGGCTACAGCCAATGTATGTTTTCTTATTGGGATGGGACCTTTTGCCAGCTTTTAGACATCAACAACAAAATGGGTAATGAGTCACATTGTGCCACGTCATCCATATCAATTATGCATGTTTTGATTTTTTTTATAGCCATATACTCCCTTTAAAAACACTACCGCAAGTTCAAGCGATCAAGAATAGTTAATCATGTACTTGAGGTTCTATATTTGAATATCTGAAAATGCATTTAAAGAGTATGTTTAACAGAATCCATGAAATTAATATCATGTACATGAGTTGTTTTGTTCATTACTTATCTCTCCGTTGAAGTTCCTACAAGTGATCACCTCCACAATTAGATTGTAATTAGTGCTGAGTTGAACCATAACCTTTTCGCTATATCCAAAAGCCCAAGTTCGTCTCACTCCTATTATTTTTGTTTTGTTAACATTCTTTTGGTTAAAAATTCCAACAAGAGACGAAATCAAGTGCTGTTTTACCCTATACAAACAAAAGTTTAGAATTATATAATGAGGGCCTTCCTTTTTTTTCTTTTTCTTTTTATAACGAGGGCCTCCTTCTTAAAAGTCAAATAGAACAACTACAAAATTAGTATCCATAATATTCGCATTTGAAATATCTTTCAATTAAGTGAAGAAAAAATCAGTTAATTAATAGCTCGTTTGAGAGAAATTTTGGATAAGTCAATAATTAATTCTATGGAGAATCACTTCAAGTGGTTTTATGTGACTTTAAGTGATTATATGGAGAAGCACGTGGGAGGTGCTTCTCCCCATAAGTGATTTTGGCATTCTTAGAATCACTCTCAAACGAGCCCAAGGATGATGGCTAGAAAAATCATTTTTATGAGAAAAATCATCATGATGTAATGAATTGATCATTGGGAAGGAAACACGTAAACATCATAATCATATCCTTCTTATTCAACTCACAAATCACAACCTCCTTAACCACCACTTTAACTACCATTTCCTTCAAACTTCTATTTTCTTTTGTTTGGACAAAAAATCTGCCTTAATTATATTTATAATTAATATTACTTAGTAACAAAACTAACGTTAATGCGAAACGAGTTGCATGTGGAATATAATCTTGAATGGCTTGAGTGGGCCCTTCTGTTGGCACAAGCGAATTAGTCATAATATGAAGGAATATTTGAACATGTCCCATTTATATTTAAAAGAAAAACAAAAAGCCTCAAGTTCGATTCCCTTTTCTCAATTAATCAGAAATTAAGTCCCTCAAATTTGTGGAAGCTAATAAGAGCCATTAAAACTCATTGCATCGTATGCATAATTTGGTGGGTGACTATGAGCATATCAGAACTTGGGGGATTCTACAATAACCAAAAAAATTATATCCCTTTAGTGAAAGGGGTGAGTACTACACGAGCTCGTAGTAAAATAGGGGATTCTTGGGAACCTTTACGAAAATTAATTTAATTAAATTTCGTGTATATTATGAAAATATATAATTCTTTGGCTACAATCAATCAAAACCTTATAAAAAAAAACAAAGTTGTAAATTAATGGAAGGCTCTGAGTCAAACGTTGGCATCCTTATCTCATTCCAAAAAGTATACTTTTGACCTCCTACAATAATCTAAAATTGACAAGAATACACTGACCACATTAAAAAGGCAATGTCCATGCCTTTGTTTTCTTTCATTTTTGGCCCTTCATGATTCTTCTTCTCAACCCACCTCCTCCCCACCAGAAAGAAAAATAAAAAAATATAGATTTAGTTGAGGTAGGGATATTATACAAAAAGCAGCACAATGACAAGCATAATTGCTTTACCAAAGTAATATTCTATGCTCAAGCAGCTCATGTCATACAATGAGGACAAACAAAATTCTGTCAATTTGTCAGCTCATATTGACAGATCATTGACCTTGTGGCCTAAATTTGATCACTAGTTTGGTTGGTATATTCTCTACTAAAACAGAATTGTGCCTTATCAAAGTTGTACACTAAAAAGCTTTCTTATTTGTAAACTTATATCTGCTTTGAGCCAGGAGTGTCCTCAGCCAGGCATTTAGACAATTCATCTTTCACCAGTTTCAGGCCACAATAACATGAAGTTAAAACTGAAGAGACAATACTTCTTTGTATATCTTTGAACTTGATTGCCAGCTTTACATCCCAATTAGTGTTTTTCTGCAACACAACAAAAAAAAAAAAAAAAAAAAAAGAAAAAAAAATAGATGCACATTTCATCAAAGGAAAGTTTTCTGCTGCTTCAATCAATCACAGATTCACAGATTATGTCATGAAGTGTTAGGAGACTTTACCTGTCATCAAGGTCTGCATCACCAAGATTATCCATCATGTCATCACAGATGGCGCGAAGATCTTCAAGAATTTCAATTTCATTCTTCAAATTTTCCGGCAGCTGTGAAATAAAGAATTGGAAGTTCATATATGAGAATATTGAATCGACATAAAAACCAAATCAAGAAAGAAATTTCAAACTAAAGCTAAACAATATTGGAAAGAAAATGCAAATCTGACAAATATTTTTTTGTTCTTAACACACAAGAGTAATGTGAGAGTAATAATAGCATTTCATTAGAATAGATCATACACAATAGTAAATACCATTTCCTAATGAAAAATATACAAAAGAAAATGAAGATGATATCAACCACTATAACATAAATAAGCATAGAAAATTACTAGGTCCTTAGTATGCGGCATGGGGCTCCGAGCTCTCCTTAGGCAGTCCAAGAATGGCGAAGGCAGGCCGTAATAGAAAATATTGCAGTTATGTGATAACCAAGTAGCCCGCACCATGTGAGTGGTCCAGTTCGATATGGAGCTGCCTTCAGTAAAATCATCTTGGGCAGCATCAATATCTGCACGGGAAATGTTACTAGTTAATATTATATAGCACAAGTCCTAGACAATTTTTCAACAATACAATGGCATGTGAAGATATATCAGGACTATGTCACGTTTGGTACTGCTTGATCAATCGTAAAAAATATCCATGAGTGAGATAGAGTAATAAAACTCACCTAGAGGAATGACATCATATAGGTTGTCACCTTGAGGTACAAAGCCATAGAAGGTAATTAGATGAGAACTAGAGAAGTTTCCGTAACTAAGACAGCATTCTTGCCCTGCATTGCATGGTCTTGATAGACGGAATTTCAAGGTATTTGTTGCAGAATCCACTCTGCCATAGTGCACTACATGGGGGTCTAGCTGTGATAAGGAATAAAGCAAAAACATGACCACGGGATATCACATTGATATGAACAACTCAAAAGTTTTTTTTTTTTTTTTTTTTTTTTTTTTTTTTTTTTCAATGAACCATTACAAACACATCTTAATTAAACCCAAAACTGACTGTCCAGAAAGTAGATAACAAAAGGTCATTCTTGTCCTTGTAACCTCTTAGTTTCTACAATATAAAGAAACTGTTTTGGAATCTGGCAATGAATTCACAAAAGTACACTTGAAAGATGGTTATGATAAGTTGTTGGAAGAAATTCTCAGTATATTTTATACTTTTAGTTTATCTCAACAATCAGGACATAAAATGTTGGGGCATAAAAAAAGGGTGACATACCGAATGGTTCAAGAAGCCAGCAATGGGAATCAAGCATGTCCTCAGCTTTCCATCAGGGAACTTGATTTTCATGCTATTTGAGTACCACAGTTCACATGCCCACAAGAATTGCTCCCATGTGTAAAGCTCTGGTGGAAAGATATCAGGATGATCTTTGCACAGTGCAGGGAAGAGATCATCATATTGAGCATGCAAATGCTGTGACAAGAAAAGGACTTATATGTTTAATTTTTAATTACTAGTAACCTTTTCCTTTAAATAAAGTTTTATATATATAGGTATGAGAAATTTCTATGATGAAATCCTATCAGAAAATTTAAAAAAAGGAAAGAAATGGGATGTAAATACAACATTCCATTCTTAGTTTATACGAAAGTGAGAGATCAAATATTTCAATGGCAATTAGAAAGTGATTGGCTGGAGGCTCCATAATTGATTTGGGCATCTCCATGTTCTTCCTGTATTTACTAACTCATTCAGGTTGGGTCAGACCCTGTTCTCATAGTAGATTTGTTATTGGGCAGCATTCTCTATTAAAGATAACTTGAAAAGGCAACATATAGAATAACTCAAAACCAGGTACAAATAATCAAATCCTACTTTTATAAATGGGAAAGACAGCAAACAAGCAACATTATCAGACAAGAAAGTGAACTTCAATATTGCCCAAGATGCAAACAATCTCAGAGAAGAAGAGTAGAGTAGGAGTGTGATCACTGCAGAATGTAGGACCTTTGAGGGAACTCAGATAGATTATGAAGGACTACTAAAACTGTATACTAAATGAGGTGATTTTTGT